AAGGACCGGAATGCCCGGCCCCGCTTTCCCCAGGTGGTCAGCGCTCTGGATAAGATGATCCGGAATCCTGCTAGCCTCAAAATCGTGGCCAGGGAGAATGGCGGGTGAGGATCCCAGAGAACAGCCCCCTCCGTCCCTGACTCTGCCACCACCCAAGAGCCCTTCTAAGTGGCCCTGGAGTATCCATCCCTTTGATGGTATATGGATTGGTCTGTGTTGGTCTTCCCAGAGCCCTCTGATACGGTAGCTGCCCAGCTTAGCATTTCTCTCCATCTTTATCCTTCCCATCCCCAGGGCCTCACATCCACTCCTGGACCAACGGCAGCCTCATTACTCTGCTTTTGGCTCTGTGGGTGAGTGGCTTCGAGCCATCAAGATGGGAAGATATGAGGAAAGTTTTGCAGCAGCTGGGTTCGGCTCCTTTGAGGTGGTCAGCCAGATCTCTGCAGAGTAAGTGGAAAGGACCACAGAGAGGGCATAGCACCCAGATGGTGCCTGGGTATAGGAGGACGAGTCAGACCCTCAGGTTCAGTAGGGGCCTCTGGGTCCGACCTCTAGGGCTAATTGTTATATTGGTGGTCTAGCACTGGGAACATTGCCCGGGACCACGCTCAGGGCTGCAAACCAAACAAATCATGCCCGAGGCTGACACTCCAGATTCTCTCCCAGAATAGCAATGCCCTGCTGGTGTCCATTCTGGAGCCTTCTCAACCCTGGGTCATCTCCCTTCCCACTTCCAGCCTGTATCTATCTTTGTGCTTCTATCTGCATTCCAAACCCTGCTCTCACATTAATGTGTCAACTCTGCTTCTCTTTCCCACCCATAAAAGGAGAAGACGGGACTGAGATTTGGAAATCCCTTTCCAGCTTTGATGTTAAATGGTTTTATGATTCTATCAACTCCCAAGGAACTGCTCCCTTGCCTGTCTGCACTTGGAACACCTCCTTTCTCCCTTCTCTGGTTCTCCCTCAAGGCACAGACTTATGTAGGTGGACGTGGCTGTGGTGGTATACCACTGTCCTCCCAGCTCTTGGGAGGCTGAGGCAGGAGGATTTTTCATCTGAGGCTAGTAAAGGCCTTCTCTCAAATAACCAAATAAGATAAGATATATAAAGTAGAACAAAAAACCCTGAAAACAAACCGTCATAAGATGTCTGGGTGGGCGAGCCCCCTGGTCCCTCCTTGACATCTTTCTTGAGCCCTGCCCTGGTTCTTTTTCTGTCGTCCCCTTTACTCATTTCTCTCTAAAGCAGTTTCCGAAGCCTCTTTCCCCTAACTTCTCTTTGAGGCCTTTTTCTGTCCTCTACTTTAGCTGCACAGCAGAGGCTTGCTGTCTAAATCTGCATCGCAGCTCCTGACATCATCATCCTATGGCCTTCCCGATTGTCTGGCCCCCGAACTCATCCAGACTTCTGTTTTTCCACAGGGACCTGCTCCGAATTGGAGTCACTCTAGCAGGACACCAGAAGAAAATCTTGGCCAGTGTGCAGCATATGAAGTCCCAAGCTAAGCCAGGAGCTCCTGGTGGGACAGGAGGACCAGCCCAGCAATTCTGACCTCCAAAGACTCACCACGCCAGAGCTGTGGCCTCCCCCTCTTTCTGGGGCAGAGTTGGGTGGGGACTCATAGAGATGCCCCTCTCCCCCATCACAGACTCTTATTGGATTGCACTTTGAACTGAGGGGGCTGGGACTTGGTAATCTTTGAGACCCAGGATTTGGGGAGCTGTGCCATATGGGATGGTAAGAATTGTATCTATACCCTCCAGGCGGGGAACCCCAAACTCAGAGTGAGTCTTTCCCTCAAGCCTGGGCAAAGAAACATCCCTAATCTCCCATCTTCCCAGAGGGCTCACTCCCCAAGAGCCTTCCACCTCAGTGGGCATGTCCCTACAGACCAAAGAGAAAGGTGACCAGCCTGCCAACTTGGGAGTGGAAAATGTCCCAGGAGGCAGGAAGGGGCTGTCAAGACCCAGTGATGTAATCATTGGATTTTGATGTCCCAACTTGCTGCTGTCATCACCAAAGGCAATCATTTCCCCCTTGTAAATGCCCCTCCCCTCATCTGCCTTCATATTGAAGGTTCTGGATTTTTACTATTTTTATTTTGTTATTTTTCCTCCCCCTTACCCCGCCCCCCCTTGTTCAAATTTTGTGTGTTGAAGGGTACCTGTTTCCATTCTTTCCTTTGGAAACAAGGACCCATTGATATGTTCTAGAACAGTGCCTTGGAAATGCCACACACCCAGACAGTTCCTTTCTCCTTCCCTCCCGACAAGTGTCCCAAGTCCTTGAGTGGAGGGGAGTGGGGTGAGGTTGTAAAAGGGGCAGGAGGGTGGTGGCATTCAACAGAGGCAGACGTCGGTGCTTGGAAGGGGATTCTTAAATTATATTTAAAAAAGAAACTTTTTTTTTTTTGTATGAATAAAAGAAAATGGGGTATGTTCCAGTACTGAGGGTGATTGGGAGCTGGGTTAGGCTAGATCTCTGAGAATAGGGGACCCTTAAGGATCTGGATTTGGAGGGTCAGGTGAGGTGGGGAGGGCTGTGGAGGGGCTGGATGCTGGCTCCCAGCCCCAGGGTGTTACATGTTTGGGTTGGTGGGAGGTGAGTCATTGGCAGCTGGTGCTAACTGCTCCAGCTGTCCCTGCCAAGGGCCTCAGGCACCTCCGGGGTGGGGCTGCCACCTCCTGCCCCTCCCCTGTCTCCTTAGCCCTGGCAGGGGTTGTATGAGGAAAACCAAGCCTGTAACCCATAGTCCTATCCTGGAGCTCCTTCAGAGGGAAGAGGGGACACAGGAGACAGTGGGGGGTCCAGCTAGGTGTTCACAGACTTGGGCCAGATGTCCACAGCTGGGCTTGGTTTAGAGGTAATGGGAGAGCTGGCATTGGCTGTGGGGGAGTGGCTGGAAGGGGGGCCTCACATGTGTGTACAGATGCCAGGGAGCTCTCAGGACAATTCCCCCATTCAAGATGCTGCCCAGGCAGGTTTTCCTGGCCACTCCTGGAAGGGGAGGGGGAGCTACCCTAGTGTGTCTGATACTAACTTTCCCCTCCCAGGCAGGAAGAGGAGGATGAGGTTCATATCCCATTGCAACCTTCATACTTAACCCCTTGTAGTGTCTTCTCAGCTGCCTCCCCAGGGATGCCTGCGAGGGCAGGTCAAGGCATGGGCTAGCCTGACTGAACTGTAGCCTTTTCCACAGCTGCTCTCTGTTGTACAGAACCTTACAGCACAATGATCCCAAGGCAGCGTCCCTGTCCATGATTCCCATGCTGTGGGCCTTTGTGGAGTCCCTAATGTATGTGTATGCATGCATGTGCACACATTTGTATTAGGGGGTTATGTCCATGTGAATGTAGGTGCCCACAGAGGCCAGAAGATTATGCCAAGTCTCTCTTGGAGCTGGAGTTTCAGGCTGTTGTGAGCTGTCTGACATGGGTGTTGGGAACTAAACTCTGATCCTCTGTAAGAGTAGCAAGTGCTCTTAACCACTGAGTCATTTCTCTAGATCTTTAGGTGTGTGTGCAAGCAGGAGACACACACAAAGACAGGGTCTCTCAGTGGCCTGGAACTGGCCAAGTGGGTAGGCTGGCTGGCCAGCAATGTCTAGGAAATCAGTTTCTTCCTCCACAGTTCTAGAATGTTAAGCCCACACGACCACTCCTGTTACTTGCTCCCTCCTCCACCACAGACAGACTCCTGATCCTAGAGCTTGCCTACTGACTGAACTATGCCACACCTCATGCCCATATTTTGTAAGCCAGGGCTTGCTACATAGTCCAGGACAGCTAGAACTCACTATCCTCCTGTCTCAGCTTCTGGGGTGCTAGGGTTATAGGCATGGAATCACACTAAGTCCTTTGTCTCCTCTCTCTGGGTGACATTTAATATCCTTGGGGGGGGGGCTCAATACTACAAGGAAGGGCATGTCCCAGGGGACACTGGTCCAGCCAACTGCCTTTTGCTGCCAAACAGACATCCTGGCTGGATAGTGACCTTCGGAGAACTGCCATAGGAAGAATGATGATAAAGGCCAAGGGAACAAAGCACTACAAAGATGGGGGCTGGGGAGAGAACCTGGGATCAAGGCAGGAGGCTTCCCACAGAGGTGTACTGTCTTCCTGAGTAAAGGGATTTCTCTTCTAATAAGGGAGGGAAAACATGGCCATGCGGGCCCTCTTCCTTTTCCGTACTTACATTGGTTTGGTTGGCTGGCTTCAGGAAAGGTCTCCAAGGTCTGGCTTGTCACACAAGACAGATTCATATCTCCCCAGTACATGTGTCAACCCGCCTCAACACTCTCAGGCTAAGTCACCCTGCTTCTTGAGGTCATGCAATCTAATCCGTCACTTGGCTGTCTTCTCTTCATCAGAGCCTAGATTTTGCCCAAGCAATGAGTGACCCCGAAGGAGACACAGACTCTCAGGGCCTTCTCTGGCTTGCCATGCAGTCACTTCTACCTGTCAGAATGGCTCCCAAAGCCTGTAACCACCCACAGTTTCCATAGTAACCAAGTACAGTGCTCTTGGGAGAAATGGAATGGAGAGGGTGTGATACCCTCTGGGAGAAGGCCAATTAGAAACAAAACCCAGAATGGCCTTGCCTTCCCTCTAGTGGAGGAACTCAGATGCCAGGTCCTCCATGAGTCTGGGCTCCTAGACCCATGGAGTCCCTATAGACTCAGGAGGCTGAAGTAGAAAGCCTGAGCTCCATGAGTGCAAAGCCAGCGAGGGTTATATAGCAAGTTTGAAGACACCAAAAAAAAAAAAAAAAAAAAAAAAAACAACAACAACAACAAAAAACACCTGGGGTAGGAGCACGGCAGTGACATGGCTCAGCCAGGAAAGGTGCTGGCTGCCAACCCTGACCTGAGTTTGGCCCCTTCAGCCCACACAGTAAAAAGAGAACTGGCTCCTAGCTGTCTTCTGACCTCTACATTTCGGTGCGAGCATAGTAAAATTAGAACAATTAACGGCACTGGGGAGCTGGAGAGATGTTCAGTTGGCGATGTGCTGGTTGCACGGATGATGACCTGAGTCTTCCTCCCATGGCCTGACGCAGTGCAGTGGTGGGCGCTGTAAAATGGTGGGGGTGGGCTGGGAGGGGAGATAGGTGGACACGGAAGCTGGCTGGCTTCCTGGCAGAGGCTCATGAGGTGGAAGGAGCCTGAGGAGTGATGGTGGAGGCTGTCCTCTGCCCACTACCGGGTGGGTGTGCACTCAGGGGAGAGTGCAGCTGCTGCCTGGACTTCTAGTTGATAGGCCTTACCTTCGAGAGAAGCTTGTGAGGGCTCAGGATGCTGGGCTACAGAGATGGCTCCATGCCATGCTGCTCCTTCCCGGGGACCTGAGTTTGGTTCCCAGCACTCCCATCAGCTGGATTACAACTACCTGTGACTCCAGTTCCAAGGAGTTCAGTGCCCCCTTTTGGCCTTTATGGGCATCTTCACACACACAGAAGACATTCTCTCTCATACACACACAAGTTTGACTCTGTGTTCTAACGGGAGGCTCCTGAAGGCCCAGGAACTAAACAATTCAGGATGTCCCTACAGCTGACTAAAACTATCACCACACTAGGCCCCTTCTTCCTAAGCCTGTGTCAGCAGTAAGGACTGCTAAGAACACTGTCAGACCATCTGAGAGGAGATACCCTCCAGTCTGTCAAGCTGCCTGCAAGCTGTGCAATGACAGCAAGTCTCCAGCTTTCACGGGCCATTCTAACCACCTTTGAGTCATTTCTGCAGCTGTAACCCCTCACCCATACCCCTGTAAGTAATCCCAGTAAACTCGTGAGTTCACCATGTTGGACTTCAGTGGTGTCCATTGTTAGTTCCCTATCTGGGATGAGCAGATGTCTGTCTGTGTCTTTGAAGGGATGGTGTCACACAACAGCGCCTGTACATGCTCTCTCTCTCTCTCTCTCTCTCTCTCTCTCTCTAAAACGGGGCTTCTGGAATAAAAGTGTATGATTGGTGCTGGAAAAATGGCTCAGAGAGCAGGGCTTGCCTGGCATCCATAAAACCTTGGGCTCCAGCCCCAGCATAAACTAGGTGTAGTGACTTATGCCTGTCATCTCAACAAGTAGAGGCAGGAGGACCAGGAGTTCAAAGTCATCCTCTGTTACATAGTGATTAGTCACAAATAGATAAGTAAGTAAATAAATAAACAAATAAAGTATGTGCATAGAAAGTCTTTTCTCCTGTCTTGCAGGAGTCTAGGGCTATAGTTCATTCTTCCTTCTGGAAGTTTCCCTCCCTGTCCCTTCTGTCATCCATTGCTATCAACTTACCAGAACTGAATGGGCCACCTGACTGGCTCTCAGTGAGTGACATTGTCCTTCCTGAGACCTAAGGTTCTCTCCCCGTGGACATCTTCCCGCCTTGCACAGCACCCAGCTTTCAGGAAACAACACACACCTGTCTCCCTTTCCTCTCTCTCTTTGTCTCCACCAGTCAAGGGGAAATCCATATCTAAAAGCACTAAGTTTGGGGCTATCGAGGTATCTCAATGGAGAGGTGTTTGCTGTGTAGCCTGGTCACCTGAGTTTGATCCCCACATCCCACGAAGTAAAGGGACAGAACTGACTCCCACAAACTTCTGACCTCCAGACATGCATGTGGCAGGTGTGTGCATACCCACCCACACAACACACAACCACACAGTAACAAATGTAAAAGAAAGAGTATTTAAAAAAATAAATTATTTTTATCTGTCTGTTTGAGGACAAGTCAGAACTCAGTGGCTTTGAAGGAAGGCTCTGGAACATCTGAGGAGAGAGCAAAGAAACCCACGTTGGAGGAGGACTCACCTCTTGGCCAGGACTTGCACGCCCCCAGGGCTGGTTCTCACCTGTGTCTTCCAGCCTGGGTCTACTTTGTCTCAACAGTTTCTCCCTAGAGGTAGTGGGGGACCAGATGAGGGGCACAGCTTTTGTGTGCATGAGGCCCCGCCCATCGACTCCCTACTCGCTCCCCTCCCCACACCGGGACTTACCCCCTCCTCCTCGCCATGGCAGTTCTCGTCGTCATGTAAACATACACTCTGGGCAGTAAGACAGGGACTAACACCATCACAAGCACCCCTGGCAGGATGGCCACTAAGCTGGATGATTCTGAGTGCAGAAAGGAAAACAGCAATGGGGCCGTGAGTGGGCGCAGTGGGTAAAGTGCGCAGTGGCCTCCAACCCAGACCCCAGAACCCATGTAAAAAGTGGTGGTGCATGCCTGACGTCCCAGCAATGGCAAGCTGCCCCTAATGCTAGCCCTAACCCTAGAGGGGGAAGGCAAGTGGATCCCTGTACACTGGTAAAGCTTCAGGCCAGTGAGACTGTGCAGACTCTGTGTGTGTGTGTGTGTGTGTGTGTGCGCGCGCGCGCGCACGCGCACGCGCGTGCGCTTGTGCACCAGGCCTGGCAAGCCCCCGTCTTAAGCAAGAGGTGGAAGACAGCTGAACACCCACATCCTAGGTCGTCCTCTGGCCTCCACATGCACACTGGGCTCGTGCATACCCCCACTCCCACCCATACACGACAGGGATTGGCAAAAGGCTGAGGGGCACGGGAGGTAGCCTTCCTTTCGACCCTTAGCTGTCAGCTTGAGGCGTCTGGTCCTCCTAAATCTCTTGGCTCTCCCTCCAGGAGGCCCAGGGACTTGAAGATTTCAATGTCCTCACCCAGGAACCCTTACTGATTGTGGTCACAGTTCCCTGCAGGGGCTCTTCTTGCCAGGTGTCGACGGGACCTCTCTCCCTATCTGTCCTCTTGATCTTTTGATGATGCCTCCCTCTAGCCTAGGCTGTCCTGGAACTCACTATGTAGCCCAGGCAGACTGGCCTTGAACTCAGTGTGAGCCTCCCACCTCACTGCCATCCTTTTTTTTTTTTTTGTTCTATAACACAGGCTGTGTAGTCCAGGCTGGTCCCCTGCCTCACCCTCTTAAGTGCTATGATTACAGACATGCATCATCATATTCAACTGATGCCATGCTGAGGTGAATCCAGAACTTCATGTGTGCTAGGTAAGCAACTGAGCCACAGATTCCAGTCCTCTGTCACTATTTCTCAGCCCCAGAAATACTTGCAGCCTAGAAGCTTGTGAGGGAAGCAGATGTCTATGCCCACCTAACCTGAACCTCTTGGGGAAATTCTGATAGGTAGGTGTTAAATAGGTTATGCTCTTCCAAGAACAGACTTGGAAAAATGATGGCCCAGAGGTGCAGTGGATTCCAGTTTGGGTAGGGAAAAGCAGAAGGTGGAGAGGTACTGAGCCAGGACAGCTCAGGGGGGAGCACACAGGGGTGGGCAGTGGAAGTTCAGCCAGGTGTGAAGGTGCGTGCTAATAACCCTAGTACATGCCAGGGGAAGCAGGAGTATCAGAAAAAGTTCAAGGTCATTTTCAGCAAAATAGTCAGGTCAAAGCCAGCCGGGGCTACATGACACCATGCTGCAAACAAGTTAATCAAACAAGCAAATAAGCAAGGACGGGAGCGACTGGAGAGGAACTCAGTTGGTAGTGTGCTTGTCTTGAAAGAACAAGGAGCAGAGTTTGATTCCCAGAACCCACATGAATGACAATCTCGGTGTGCACTTGCAATCCTAGTGCTTGGGAAGAGGAGAAAGGTGGATTTGGGGCTCACTACCCACCCCCTTGCACCTTGTGGTCGGTTCCAGGCCAGTGAGAGGCCCTGCCTCAAAAACAAAACAAAACAAAAGTGGATTGTGCTTGAAGAATACCATCAGGGGGTGTCCTTTGGCCTCCACATATATGTATAAACACATGAATAGACATCTGCTCGCACACGCGCGCGCACACACACACACACACACACACACACACACACAGAAGCACTAGGGTTCAGAGAGATGATCCCAGTGTATTCCACTAGGAGACAAACAAAAGACAGATTGAGAACTATTGTCTTGCTGATCCCTGGGGATCTCACAGTGACATGATCCCTATTATGTTTCATATGTAATATATTATTGTTACATAATACACATTTTAGGGTTTTCTACATGAGATAGGGTTTCATATAACCAGGCTGGACTCAAACTCCTATACAGCTGAGGACGACCTTGAACTCCTGATCTTCTTGTCTTCACTTCCAACATGCTAGGGTTACAGGCCTGTGCTGCCATGCTTGAGTATCACACATGTTTTATAGTACATAGGACATGAACTGGCAAGACAGCTGGGTAGGTTAAGGTGCTTGGCACCAGGCCTAGAGACCTGAGTTGGATTCCAGAGTTTCACATAGCAGAAGGAGATAGATGAGTCCTTTGCGTTGCCCTCTGAAACCCACACATTCACCCCACCACAACAAATACATTAAAACTCCCAAATGTATAGATTATTACATATTATCATATAAATTATATTCTGTAATTTATAGTATATCTAAAATATACATCATAGCATAATTTATATATTATAATTTAACATATATTATCAATTTATAATACACCCAAAATATTTATATAACTACAAACTATATATGCAATATGTAATTGTGTATTTTATATATTACCTATATTATATAATGCACAATATTGCCTATGATATATTACTTACTATATGAATATCTTGCGATAGATTATAATATTGTATGGTATAACTACCAATGTCACCCCTATTACATGTCTTGATATATAGTAGATATTATAATGTGTATGAAAATTAAAAACAGAGTAATTCTGTGGCAATGGGACACGGGCCTGGGATGTGGCTGTTACCTAGCTTTTTTCTAGATGGGATATCCCGAGGTTCTGTGCAGAATTCTCCTCCATAACCAAGGTCACAGTGGCAGATGAAGGTGGCTCCCTGCTCCTGACAGCGGCCATCATTGTGACAGGGGTTCTGTAGACACGGGCTATCTGCAAGGGCAGAAGGGTGTGAGTGGATCCCAAGAGGATACTCAAAGTGCAGAAGATGCTTGGTTGTGGGATAGGCCCCAGCACAGAAAGCAACAGTCATCAGAGCCTGACTGGGGTCCATTCAGCAATCTAAGCTTAAACCCTGCTACCCTGGGTTTGGAATTTGTTCAACCTCCTGGAACCCCATTCTCTCTCTCTCTCTCCCTCTCCCTCTCTCTCCCTCTCTCTCCTCCTCCTCCCGCGTGTGTGTGTGTGTCTGTCTCTGTGTGTGTGTGTGTGTATGTGTCTGTGTGTGTATGTGTGTCTCTCTGTGTGTGTAAAGGTTCAGAGGTCAACTTGTGGTGTCATTTATGTTTCTGTCTACTTTGTTCTTTCTAGAGACAGAGTCTCTTACAAGCCTGGAGCTCACTGATTAGTCTAGGCTGGAAGTCCCACAGTCCTACAGATCCATTTTATGTGCATGTATGAGTACCTGCTGCATGTATGTGAACCACAAGTGTGTCTGGTGTCTTCAGAGGCCAGAACTGGAGTTACAGGCAGTTGGGGGCTGCCATGTGGGTATTGGGAACTGAACCTGGGTCCTCTGCAAGAACAGCAAGTGTGCTTAACCACCAAGCCATCTCTCTAACTGTGATTGACTTTGTCAACATGGGTTTTAGATCCAACTTAGGACCCTATACTTATGCAGGAAGTACTTTACAAACTAGACTGTCTTTCAGCCTTGGAACCCTCTCCCTTTCTTTTGAGAGATGGGGTCTCATTATGTAGTCCTGTCTGGCCTGGAACCCACTGTAGACCAGGCTGGCCTCACACTCACAGTGACCCACCTGCCTCTGCCTCTTGACAGTGCTGGGATTGAGATGTGCACCACTGTGCTTGGCTGGAACCCTGTTTTCATTGCTCATAAAGTGGGGTGCCATACTTTCTACTAGGTAAGGATTAAAGTCTACTTTTGGAACAGATCTCTGCATGGGCAGTAGTAAACATTTGGTAAGGGATGGTTCTTTTCCTATAACCCTTCCTACAAAGGAATCCCACTCAGGCAAAGGACAGGGAGGGAGGGTATTCCTGGTGTTAAGAGACCAGAAAGACCCAGACTCACCCCGGAAGCAGCCTCGAGTAAAGTTGGCCACGGTGCAGGACTCTCCAGCTCTGCAGCCATAGGGCTCACACAGCAGGGTCCCCTGACTTGCACAGGTACAGTGCTGGGAGCAGTCGTCAGTTACAAAGCTGTCACCCAGCTGGAAAAGAGGAAGTGAAGACAGGAGACATTCTAGATTCATCCCAGATCTCAATCTCGATACCTGGATTCCCAGGCCTCCATGCCACCCAGACCTTGTAATAGATGCCATTGGTGGTGCACCCGCAGTGGGTCACTGGGAGGCTCTGGGTGTCACTGTAGATGTAGCCTGGGATGCTGGCACAGCCTTCCACACAGGGGCCATCACAGACCTTGGGGGTCACAAATTTGGCACAGGATGCTGGGCAGGGTGTCATACAGTGCTGGTACACAGTATTGGCAGGGCATGTCATGGCTGAGGGGATAGAAGCATAGTTAGGAGCTGGCTGGTCCTGGGGCCAAACAAATAAAGGGACTAGGTGGGCAAGAAACAGAAAGTGGGGTACAAGATCATTCAACCGAGCACAGAGCTCCCTGTACACAGGGAAGCTGGGGCAAGCAGGCCAGTTCTGCCTGAGGACCTTTGTCTGGGACACAAGATGTTTGATGAAAACAGGGACAGGCGAAGGTAGGTATAATAGCAAATACTTGTAATTCCAGCACTCAAGAACTGAGGTAGAAGGCTCACCAGGAGTTTGAGGTCAGCTTGGGCTACAGAGTGAGATTTGTCTCAAAAAACAAAAAACAGGGGCTAGAGAAATGGCTCAGCAGTTAGAAGCCCTTGCAGAGATTGCTCCTGATTCTGTCCCCAGTGCCCACACGGCAGTTTACAAACATCTGTAACTCCATTTCCAGGCGATCTGACACCCCCTTCTGGCCTCTGTGGGCACCAGAAGGCACATGACGCACAGGATGCATCCAGGCAAAGCACTCATACGCACACATCAAATAAATATAAAATCTCAAATAAAACCCACCCCAAAACATAAATACAGAGCTGAGGGATAGCCGAGAAATTACGGGGAGAGCCAAGGGATAGCAGAGCTGAGGGACAGCCAAGGGATAGCCAGGTGTGGTGGCATGTGCTTGTCATCTCAGTTCTGGGGAGGCAGAGATCTGAGGATACTCGGGGCTTGCTAGGCAGCCAGCCAGCCTAGTCTAATCACCAGGCTTTGGGTCCCAGTGAGAAACCCTGTCTCCAAAAACAAGATGGGGCTAGTGAAATGGCTTAGTGGGTGAAGGTGACCTGAACTGGATCCCTCCTACATGGTGGCTGAAAAGAACTAACTCCTCAAAGTTGTCTTGTGACCTTCACATGTGTGCTGTGCAACATGTGAACCCCACACAAACAGAAGGACAAGGTAAATGGCTCCTGTTCTCTGCATCCACATATACGCACACACAAATGCAAACACACATGGGCATACACATACAAAACAAAAACAAAAAATAAAGGAAGAGAAAACACAACGACAAAAACACGGGCAGGGAGGAGGAGGAATGGGATTGGACAGTGGAGGAGTAGGCAGGCATCAGTCTGGAATCATTTGCTGCCTGGAACTCGGGATGGAAGAATCAAGGCTGGAAGGCCACAGTGAGGGTGAGGGTGGCGGCAGCAGAGCTGAGCAGAGTGACTGAGGAGTCGAGCAGAGCCTCACCACAGTGTGTCTGGTCCCGCCAGCCAGTCATGTTGGCACCTGCCTCCTGGCAAATGATGGCATATCCACTGAGGACCCGGCATCGAAGTTCCTCTTCTTCTTTGGTTTTCCAACCAGTGCACATATCAGACATACAGTGCCTGGGGTAGAAAGGGAAGGGTGGAGTAGGTATGCTGTTAGAGAGGGGAAGCAAAGAGATCCGGACTTGCTGGAAAGGGCCCAGGATGAGGGGCTGGGAGCTGCGGACGAGGCTAAGCTGACAAAGTGCTTGCCTTGCAAGAATAAGGAGCTGTTTGATTTCTGGTACCCACGTTAAGAAGGAGCAGGCTATGGTGATGTGTTTGTAATCCCAAAGCTGGTGAAGGGGGGAGAGGAGGGTCTCGAGGCTCGCTGGCCAGACAGCTTAGCTTACTCAGTAAGCATTGGGTTTCAGTTAGAAACTTTGCCTCAGAAAACAAGATAGAAGTTGGGGAAATGCTCACTGGGAAAAAGCACCGGCTGTTCAACTATGAGGAACTGAGTTTGAATCCCCACATGTGCCTGCAATCCCAGCTTTGTGGGGGAGCAAAGACAGAAGCCAAAAAATAATGAGCTGAAGGTTCAGTGTGAGACCCTGTCTCAAAGGAATAAGGCAGAGAGAGATAGAGCAGGACACCTGATTTTCAACAATGCCCTGAGAACACATACCCATATCCACACTCACACAAAAAGAAAGGAAAAAATAAAAATCAAGGTGGATGGCTCCTGAAGGACACAAAGTTGATCTCTGGCCTATGTAAACATACATGATATATACACTGAACAAACATGTGTATACCCATCCTGCTCAAAAATCCTCCCAAATAAACAAGTAAACAAAAGCTGAGGATGCAGCCTAGTTGGTAGAATGTTTGCTTAGCATGCATGGAGCCCTGGGTCCCATCCCCTGTACCATATGAGCAAGACATTGTGGTCCATGCCTATAATCCCAGCACTTATGAGGTGGAGGCAGGAGAATCAGAAATTCAAGGCCATCTTTAGGTATATATTAGCGTGGGCTACACGAGACCTAGATAAATAAAGAATAAAATAGATTAAAAATAAACTAGCAAAGAAGGGCCCAGAACCCCACACAGAAAGTCAGCAGGCTAGAGGGATAGCTTGGGGACAGGGCATGTGATTATAGAAAGACAGGCTGTGGAATGGGGGGAGTCAGTCGGAAACGAGGTCACAAAGGAGAAGAACTAAGCTCACAGAGCTGGAGGGGGTCAGGGAGGGAGGAAAACCACAGCAGGAATCTGGAACATTCTTGTAAGTACTGGGCCTGTGACTCACTGCTCGAAGGGCTCTGGGGCTATGATCTGGTGACAGGCAGCAAAGGGGCCCTGGGGGTCCACCAGCACCCTACAGGCCTGGGTGCTGCTGATGAGTGCTGTCTGCTCCGGGCTGCACTCTGACAGTAGAAGCTCGGGTTCTTCCTCTCCTCCATCGTCTTCTGGCAGGGCCCTGAAGTAGGGATGGCAAGGGGCTGCTTGAGGCTTGGGGGGGGAGGTAAACTTAAGGAGAAAAAACAAGTCTGCAGAAAGGCAAAAGGAAGGACGGACAAGGACATCATAGGGATTTCTAATGAGCAGCTGTCAGTGAGAGACCAAGTGTTCGAAGGTGCCTCTGTGCTGAGGACCAGAGGGTTAAGGCAGTAGAAAAGAGATGCCCATCTCAGAGGGGCAGCATCTGCCTAGAATCCCCCAGTGAGGGGCTGGGGGGCGTGGCTCGGTGATAAGAATGCTTGACTTTAATTCTCCATAAGGGGTGAAGAATGTGGCTCATATTACATGCATGCAGTCATAGGTTCAATCCTCTGCCCTCTAAGGAAAGAGACTCTTAGTCATCTCCCTAATCCCCAGCCCTTACCTTGGTGATCGGAAGAGGACATTTACCACCTTCACCTCCCAACTGCTGCCAAAGATATTGAGGTTTGAGGTAAGCATTCCATTGGGCAACATGAAATCATTGGCTTGGTTCTTGTCATAGTTTCCACACAGACCCCGTATCAGCCCACGGTACATGGTAGGCAAGGAGATCACTGCAGGAAGAAGATTCCCTGCAGTGAGCCGAACTCTGTCCTCCCCACCAAAGTCTAGTCTCCCTCTCGGGCTGGGGGCTCGATCCCCACGTATAAGTCATCTTCCTGTTTGAGCTGTGCCTTTCCACCTTCCATCCCAGAAATGGGGTTCCTGTTTCCTGTGGTTATTGGTTTTATTGTTGCTGTTTTCATTTTTGAGACAGGGTCTCGTATAGCCTAAGCTGGACTCAAACTGGCTATGGAGCTGAGGCTAGCTTCAAACTCCTGATCCTTCTGCGTCTACCTTCCAACTGCTAAGATTACAGATGTGCTCCACCACACCCTGCACTGGCCTTTTCTTTTCTTTTCTTTTCCTTTTTGTTTATTTGTTTTTCAAGACAGGGTTTTATCTGTGTAACAGCCCTGGCTGTCCTGGAACTCGCTCTGTAGACCAGGCTGGCCTGGAACTCACAGACCCAACTGCCTCTGCCTCCCGAGTGCTGGGATTAAAAGTGTGCCGCCTGGCTTGATTAGATTTCTTTGAGACAGAATCTCACTATAAACCCTGGGTAGCTTGGCACTCACTATGTAGACCAAGTTGGCCCCAACCTCATGGGAGATCCTCTTGCCTCTGGTCCTGAGGGTTGGGATCACACGTGTGAGCTAGCATCCCTGGCTCTGAGACTGGGCTTCTGCAGGCTGTGGTCTGTCTCAGTTACCTGCACTGTGCTTTCCATCGAAGTCCACCACCATTTCAAAGTCAGTGATGAGAATCAGGCGTTGTGACCGCAACATGATCTGCAGATGGTCATTTGGATTGTAGGGGATTGCCACCTTTTGATTGTTGACCTTGAAACGGAAGACTGCAGCTGCAGCTGCGTAGCATGCTAAGTGGGCCACCCTCTCTGTTGCTGTTCTCTGTGCCATGATGTTATTCCAGAGTCTTCATTACCCCCAGTGTCAGAGATTTCCCTTTATACCCCAGTGCCTTCCTTGCAAAAACTCAAAAAGACAAATGGCTCAGTGGGTAGAGAGAGAGGCACTTGCCACTAATCTGGAGGACCTGAGTTCGATTTCCAGGACCCATATGGTGGATGTAAAGAAGTGACTCCCCCAAGTTGTCTTCTGACCTCCACACAGGCACCACAGCACATGCATGCCCATGCATGTACACATACAGCAAATTCATGCAACAGAGAGATGGCCCATTGGTTGACAGTGGTTGCTGTCCCTCCAGTGGACCTGCATTTGGTTTCCAGAATCCTTGTAGGACTGCTCACAACTACCTATAACTTTAGCTCCAAGTACATGACACCTACTGGCCTCTGTGGGTACCCGTACATATGTGGGATATACTTACACAGACACACATAAGTAAATAAACACATGAATATTAAAAATTAAATGAGTGTAAAAGGAATGCTCCAGCCTCATTTCAAACGTGCGTCACCACCAAAGCTCTCCCCTTCATTCCCCTCAGCCTTTGGTCAGCCCCACTGCTCTGTGCCACCATTCTCTACATGTAAAGTGACACCAATTCTGACTTGTAAACACCGTATGGACCCCTGGAAACTCCCTGGCAGTGGGGCACTCTGGCTTTGCCAACTCCAGGTGGCCTTCAGGTCTGGTCCTGCCCCTTACTCACCAAAACCACCAGCCCTTCTTGGAGCTGGATTTTATAACCATAGACGATGACGGTCATTTCATGCAAGGTTGGACTTCCTTTGGAGGATATCTTGTTGCGCCCCTCCGTGACCAGCTGCTCGACCCCCTCTGGGAGCTTGTCCACTGTCTTAATGAGATAGTAGTTCATCCGGCCCAGGAATCGGTAGGTGAAGCCATCAAAAGTATGGTAATAGGGGTCCCCAAAGACGGTACATTTTTCCAATTCTGTCAAGAAGTGTGAACACCGAAAAGGACCTCAACCCAGTTACTGGTCTCCTAGATCCTCTGCCCAGCTGCGGTGTTTCTGATCGCCCCCTCTTAGGCCAGGACTCTGCCTCTGTTCTTCGGGCTACCAGGGCACCCTCCTCTCCCCCTCCCCCACAGCTCCCTTACTGTTGGCTGCACAGTTACTGCTGCCATCTTCAGTGTGCTGGCAGTGGGACCCCGTGGGGCAGACGAAGTTCCGGCACTGAACACCACCATCCACACAGGCACAGCTCTGGGTGCAGCCACTGGAGATCCAGGTCTTGCCTGCCTGCAGAAGCCACGGGAATAGATAGAATGTGAGGACAGAGATGGTTAAGTAAAGAGAAAGGCCCAGCTTCCTGTGTGAATGGCTTACATCTGCCCTCCCTACTTGCAGGCCCCAAATCTATTAAGCCAACCAACTATGGATGAAAATATTTGAAAAAAAAATTGTCTCCAGCCTTTATATGAGGGCTCGTGCCTAGTGTTATTGCAGCTTGTTACGCCACGCTCAGTTGATAACCCTGGGAGGCCTGCTCTTTACTGAAGGGAGGAGGAGGAGTGGATCTAGGGAAGAATGTAGGTGGGGGGGCCTGGAAGGAGGAGAGGGAGGGAAGGATGCTGTCAGGAGGCATTGCGTGAGAAAAGAATAAATAAAAAGAAAAACTAGATAAAACTATCACATGATCTATCTAAACAATTGCATCTATGGTTGGGGCATAGCTCAGTGGTGGAGTGTGTGCATAGAATCCCCTAGTGAGGATCTAGGGTGAGGCTCAGTGGTAGATCACCTGGCTAGAACTCCCCAGTGAGGGGCTGGGGTGTGGCTCAGTAGAATTCCTAGAGTCTCCCCAGTAAAGGGTTCAGAGTATGAATCAGTGGTAGAGTTAGTGCCTAGCATGAATGAGGCCCTAAGTTCTAGAAAGAAAATCAATGTATTTTATGTCATTATTCGCTAATTAATACAGCAGAACTATTTGTATAACTTTACATAGTTTTATCACTAGAATTCTTATAGAATTTCTTAAAACATATTGGAAGATACACAAATACTATGTATTTTACTTATTTGTGCATGAACATGTGTGTGCTTGAGTGCGTGTATTCACATGCATGTGCATACCCATATAGACATGAGCCTGTAGAGGAGGGCCGAAGGACAATCTTATTCCTCAGGAACTGTCTTCCTTGTTCTTTGATGCATGGTCTCTCAGTAAGTCTTGGACTTGCCAAGGAGGCTAGGCTGGCTGGCCAGTGAGGCTTAGGGATCTACCTGTTGCCACAGCATGTGTGTGTGTGTGTGTGTGTGTGAGGGCATTTTATTCAGGGGCCCATTCTCTCTTTCCACTATGTGGGTTTCTGGGACCAGAGTCAGGTCACTGGGCTTTGTGAGAGGTGCTGAGCCACCTCCAGCCTCAGGACTGGCTTTTTCTACAGGAGTTCTAGGAATCAAACTGGCAGCCTCATGCTCACGGCAGAAACTTACAGACTGAGCTGTCTGCCCAGTTGTTTGTTTGTTTAGAGAGCTTGCTTGGAGGTTCTAGCAGGAAAGCCCAGCTACTATATACCTACCTTTGCCAAAAAAAAAAAAAAAAAAAAAAAAAAAAGAAAGAAAGAAAGAAAGAAAGAAAGAAAGAAAAGGAAGAAAAACAGAAAAACAACATCAAAACAGTCTTCCTCAACCAGGTGAGCAGCTTTGGGAGGGACACATAAGGGGTGTTGAAGGGGAAGAAGAAACCTGCCTAGCCAGCCACATCATACAAATCAATACTGGGGACCAAGGGGGTGACAGATGTCACAGCCAGATGGCCTTCACATTCTTCCTTATTTTTTGCAACAGAGTCTCACATAGACCAGGCTGGCCTCCAATTCCCTATGTAGCCAAGGAGGACTTTGAACTTCTGAGTCTGTTGCTTCTGTCTTCCTGGTGCTAGGAAGACAGGTGTGCACCACCAGTCCTGGTTCACGTGGCGCTGGGGACAGAACCCAGGGCTCTGTGTGCCAGCATGAGGGCCTGAACAGCTGCATATTTGGGTATCTTCAGTGTGCTCTGGAACCAAGAACATAATTCCTGTGCATGCCCAGGAACTGATGCAATTGGCTTTCTCTGGAAGACAGCTACAATGCCATGTGAACCTTGGTACCATGTGTCCCTCCTTTTCAAGACATTGTCCTTGGCCTTTTGCTATGTTTAGTTGAGATAAGGTCTTAAGTAGCTCAGGCCAGTCTCAAAGTCACTATGTATCTGAGGATAGCCTTCAACTTCTGATCTTCCTGTTCCCTAAGTGACTGGATTTGAGGTGTGTACCATGACACACAGCTTGTTCTTGGTGTCTTAAACACATTGCTCAGGAGGGTCTACTGGACCCATCTGCAGATGAGGAAATGGAGTAGCAGGGTTCTTCCTGTCTACCTTGGTGTTTAGTTGTGTGGATTCCCTGACACAATTGCCAGTCTATGAGGGCTGGGAATGTGGCTCGATTGGTAGAGTACTGGTCTATGATGCACAAAGCCCTGGGTTCCACCTCAAGTACCACATGACCCAGGCGTGGTGGGGCATCCTGTTATCCCAGCACTCAGGAAGTCAAAGCAGGATGACCAGGAATTCAAGGCCATCTTCAGCTATGCAGTGAGTTTGAGACCAGCCTGAGTTATATGAGTCCTTGTCTTTGAAAACAAAAACAAAAAGCAAAACTCAATCTACAGCCTACCAGCCTTCACACTCCAGAGCTAGCCATATAAACAAGGGCATCCAAGGCTGAGAAAGGCAGAGGGTGCCACCCCCCAATCCCAGTCTCTACACCAACTCACCGGGATCAAGTCACCCTTGGCATCTTTGCAGCCACATTGGTCTTTGGGCACACACTTGTCCTTATTGATCAGGAAGCCCGGTCGACAGACGCAGCCCTCCTTGCAGGTGGAGGGGGCTTTGTTGCCCACACTCTCACAGAGGCCATTCGGGTTGGAGCAGGAAGGTAAACAGGAGGGAAGGCAGTTGGTGTAGAGGCTATTGGCTGGGCACTGCAGCTCTGTGGGGTGGAAGGAGAACAGGGCTCATGCCATGCCTCAGATTCCTCCAGCCGTGAGCTGGTTCTGTCCTTCCCTTCCCACGGGCTCCCTTACTCTTGGAGACACAGTTACTGCTTCCATCTTCATATACTTTGCACTGGGTTCCCGAGGGGCACTGGAAATTGTGGCACTGAAAGAGCCCTCCCTTGCATTCACAAATCTGGGTACAGTCAGAGGAGATCCATGTCTGGCCAGTCTGCAGAAGCCACCGGAAGGGAAAGAAGACAGAGCATAAGGGTTCTGTAAGACAAGTTTAGCTTTTTGTCTGAGGGTCTTACATTTGCCCTCTGCATCTACAGGTTCCATATGCATTGAGTCAACCAACTGCAGATAACAATTCATTTTTTTTAATTGCCAATGGGACTGTGGGCATAATTAAGCCTGTCTAGAACGTTCAGCGAGGGGATGGGAGCACGGCTCAGAGCTAGAGCAATTGCCTAGGGTTCCTCAGTGAAGAACTGTGATGTGACCCTGCAGTAGCCACTGGCCTAGAACCCCCAGTGAGGTGTTGGGGGTGCTGCCCAGTGGTAGGTACAATACTTGTTTAAAATCCCCCAGAGAGTGTTAAAAATGTGGTTCAGCAGAGGAATGTCTGTCTGGAACCCTCCACCGAACACCAGTTTAGTGGCAGAGCATTTCCTTGGCACATGCCTTCAAAACCCTGGACTAACCATATGAATAAGAGCATCCAGAGAGACAGAGAAAAGGGAAAAGCAGCCCTAACCCTACTCTTAAAAATCTAGGTGTGCATGAGCGTGCATGTGTGTATGAGAGCGTGCATGTGTGTATGAGAGCGTGCATGTGTGTATGAGAGCGTGCATGTGTGTATGAGAGCGTGCATGTGTGTATGAGAGCGTGCATGTATGTATGAGAGCGTGCATGTGTGTATGAGAGCGTGCGTGTGTGTGAGCGCACATCTATGGTGAGGGTAGATATTAGGTTTGTTTCTGGCCTTCCCTTTGCACTTAGACTCATTCTGCCTCTCTCTGTCTTAGTGCTGTTATTCACTGCTTGTGTACACTACTAGAGTCGGCCCCCACATTTCTTGGGATTTTCCTGGCTTCACCTCCTATATCATGGCAGGAAAACTGGGGTCACAGTGAGCTGTGCCCAGCTTCCATGGGAATTCAATTCAGGTTCTCACATTTATGGGGCAACTCACTTGAGCCCTCATTGCCTTCTTCATGCCTGCTCACCTGGATGAGGTTACCCTTGGAGATTTTGCAGGCACAGTGAATTCTAAGTGTACACTTGTCGTTATGCAGCACGTAGCCAGCTCTGCAGACACAGCCCTCCTTGCAGGTGGAGGGGCCTTTCGGGCTGGAGCCCTGGCAGAGGCCCTCGGGGTCCAAGCAGGAAGGTAGACAGGACGGAAGGCAGCTGGTGTAGAGGCTGTGGGCCGGGCATTTCAGAGCTTTGTGGTGGAAAGAGAGTGGCATTAGTGTAGCGAACCAGTGGGGCCCAAGGAAGCAGGGGCCACATTAAACAGATGGGTAGAGCACGAAGAGACTTGAGGGCTCTGCCCCTTTTGCTATTTGTCCAGCAAATGTTTACTGATTTCCTTCTTGCCCTTTCTCTGATTCTTCTATCCATGAGCACAAACCTCCTGTCTTCCTGCCATGGTTTCCTTACCACTGGTGGCACAGTTACTGCTGCCATTTTCGCTGAGCTGGCAACGGGACCCTGTCGGGCATTTGAAGCCCTGACACTGAACAGCCCCTTCCTTGCAGGTACAGCTCTGGGTACATCCACTGGAGAGCCAAGTCTTGCCTTCCTGTAGAAGCCACAAGAAGGGGACAGAAGTGAGGGTGCCAGCGGCGGGCTCACCAGCTGCCTGAGGGACTTACGTCTTCTAGCCCTGTATGCAGGCTCCACATCTACTGAGTCAATCGAGTTTAAAATAGTTTTAAAAGAATTGCAACTCTGGCTGGGGGTACAACTTAGCTTGACTATAATCCCCAATCAACAACAGAGGGTGTGGCTCAGTGATAGAGCAATTGCCTAGACTCCCCAAGCAAGGGGATAGGGGTGTGGTTCAGCAGTAGAGCAATGATCTAACATATGCCAAGAACTGACCACCTTTCAACTCCAGGGCAGGTCATAAAGATAGGAGCATCGTGTGGCAAGATAGAGAAAAGGAGAAAAAGACTCCACACCCTCTTTTTATTTTATTTTTATTTTTAAATTTATTTATTTATTTATTTATAATGTATACAGTGTTCTGGCTGCATGTATGCCTGCATGCCAGATGAGGGCACTAGATCTCATTATAGATGGTTGTGAGCCACCATGTGGTTGCTGGGAATTGAACACAAATCCTCTGGAAGAACAGCTAGTGCTCTTAACCTCTGAGCCATCTCTCCAGCCTCTCCAAGCCCACTTAAAAACAAAAAAAAAAGTGTGTGTACATTGGTGTTCACATATGTGAGTGGGTGTGCACGTACTCCTGAAGGTCAGAAGACATTCTCAGGTGTTGGTCCTTGCATTCCAAACCCTGCACTGAAACAGGCTCGTTCTCCCCAATCTGGGCTTTGATGTTGTTCACCACTGTGCATACCAGAACGTTTAGCCTACAACTTTCTGAGGGTTGTCCTCCCATATTTCAGTAGGAGCTCTGGGATTACAGACCCAGACTACTGTACCCAGTTTAAATGAATTACAGGGACTTGAACTGGAGTCTTCACCCACTGATCCATCTCCTTAACCCTCACTAATTCCATTTTCCATACTCACTCACCGGAATGGGAGCACCCTGGGCATCTTTGCAGCCACACTGGATTCTGAGGATACATTTGTCTTTATTCAGCACATAGCCAGGTTGGCAGAGGCAGCCTGCCTTGCAGACGGCTGGGACTTTGGGGCTGGTGCCCTTACAGTGCCCATCAGGATCCAAACAGGAAGGTAAACAGGAGGGAAGGCAGTTGGTGAATTGGCTGTGGGCCGGGCATTGGAGAGCTGTCACAGGGTGGAAGTGGGGTGGTGTTAGTGGGGAGGCCTGAGGATGATGATGGAAGCAGAGGCTTCAGAAACGGACAGAGCTTGTTTGTGGGGGTTTCCTCCGTTTATTATTCATTCAGTAAACCAGTGGTGAGCATGGGCTCTGTGCTAATTCCCCAGAGAAGAAGGGTGGACCTCCCAAGTCACTGTGGGAGCTGAACCACTGGGAGACTAACACTGAGCAAAGGCCTTGCTGAGGGTCCCCAGAGCCCTCCCCGCTGTGGTACCTCCTGCCTCTGATCACCACCTTCCCCAGTAGCTTCCTTACTGTTGGAGGCACAGTTACTGCTGCCATCATCACTATGTTGGCAGTGGGTCCCTGAGGGGCAGTTGAACTTGTTGCACTGGATGTTCCCTTTGATGCAGGTACAACTCTCGGTGCAGCCACTGGAGATCCAGGTCTTGCCTGCCTGTAGAAGCCAGGGAAGAAAAAGAGATCGAGGAGAGGATGATTCTAAGGAGCCAAGCTCAGTCTGCAGATCCACATCTATTGAGTTAACCAACTGCAGTATAGTTCAGTGGCACATGGCCTGTATAGAGTCTATTAGGAAGAGTGCAGAAGTAGGACTTTGTCATAGGGTACTTGGCACAGTCCCCAGTGAGGGGCTTGGGATGTGATTCTACCTAGAAAGCCTGCCTATCATCCTGCACTATGGATGAGGGAGTCTGGATCAGATGTAGCACACCTGCCTAGAATCCCCCAGTGAGGGGCTGGGGTGTGGCTCAGTGGTAGAGCTCCTGCCTAGAATCCCCCAGTGAGGGGCTGGCGTGTGGCTCAGTGGTGGAGCTCCAGCCTTGAACCCCCCTCCCCCAGTGAGGGGCTGGCTGAGATGCTCAGAGGAGAACATTTGCCCAGCATGTCCCAGGCCCTGACTGATCTTCACAAACCAGGAACAGCCATACAGACAGATGCATCCAAAATAAAGAGAAACAGACAAAGAAAAAAGGTCATCTACTCTCTCTCTCTCTCTCTCTCTCTATCTCTCTCTCTCTCTGTGTGTGTGTAGATAATCTTTATGTTTGTGTGAATTATCACGTATGAGAGAATACAGATGTACATACATGGGGAGGTGGGGGGCAATGTCAGGCGTTGGTTATGACCTTCTACTTTGTAATGAGACATGTACCCTCTTGTTGCTGTTGTTTACCTCTGGGTACAGAAGACTATCTGCGCCCCCATTTTCAGAGGATTCTCCTGTGTCCCTCCCATTGCCCAATAGCAGCCCTAGGATTATAGACACTGTCCTGTTCAGTTTACATGGATAGTAAAGATTAGAACTCAGACCATCAGCTGGGCAAGGTGGTATACATCTTTAATCCCAGTACTTGGGAGGCAGAAGCAGGCAGATCTCTGTGAGTTTGAGGTCAGCCTGGTCTACTACAGAGTGAGCTCCAGGACAGCCAGGGCTGCACAGAGAAACCCTGTCTCAGAAATCAAACCAACAACAACACAAAGAACTCAGATCCTCCTCACACTTTCAGAGCAAGAGTTTAACTCAGTCATTTTCAAACTCCCCTACCAATCCCACTTTAGATGCCCACTCACCAAGATGATGTTACCCCGGACATCTTTGCAGCTGCATTGAACTTTGGGAATACACTTGCCATTATTCATCACATAGCCATAATGACAGACACAGCCCTCTTTGCAAGTGGGGGCTTTGGGGCTGGTGCCCTTGCAAAGGCCTTCTGGGTCCAAGCAAGAAGGCAGACAAGAGGGAAGGCAGTTGGTGTAGCGACTGTGAACTGGGCACTGCACAGCTGTGGAGTGGAGGGAGAATGGGTTAGTGAAGGTAAAGGCTATGGAGGAGATACAGGGGTGGCAAGGAAGTCGAGATTACAGAAAGAAGCCAGGAAGACAGACTGGCCAACAGAACTCAGGGTTTTTCTCCTTTTGTTATTCGTTCAGCAAACATTTACTGGGCATGGACTGTGTGCCAAGCCCCAAAGAAAGAAAATAAGAATGATTTTTCTCAACTCTATGTGGGAAACTCATTATTAACACACTGGCACCTGCTGGGTGGCGGTGGCGCACGCCTGTAATCCCAGCACTCGGGAGGCAGAAGCCAGTGGATCTCTGTGAGTTTGAGGCCAGCCTGGTGTACAAAGTGAGTTGCAGGACAGCCAAGGCTACACAGAGAAACCCTGTCTCAAAAAGCCAGAGGTGGGGGGGCGCACTGGGAAGACTGAGAAGAGATGGCTTAGCCACAGTTAGCCACAGTCTCCATGTTCCCTCTCCATCCAGGTGCCACCTCCAGTCCCTGAACTCTCAGGCTCGGGGACTAAGGGCCTCTGAGTCCCCCAGTCACAAGACGGTCTCGCCACCTCCCCTCATGGTTCCCTTACCGTTTTCAGTACAATCACTGCTGCCGTCCTCGATGTCCTGGCACTGAGTCCCTGTGGGGCACTTGAAGTCATGGCACTGAACAAGTCCTCCCATGCAGACACATCTCTGGGAACAGCCTGTGACAAGCCAGGTCTTGCCTGCCTACAGAAGCCACAGGAGGATACGGGAAGTGAGGACAAAGGGGCTTAGCCTGTTGTCTGAAGGGCTTACATTTGTCCTCTTTACCTGAAGGCTCCACATCTACTAAGTCAACCAAGTACAGGTAGGAAACAGGAAAACGCTATCTGGAGTTGTTCAGCGGTAGAGGGCCTATGTAGACTCCACCAAGAAGAAGGTGGGAGCATGACTCTGCCTTAGGTTATCTGTCCACAATCCCCTAGTGAGGGGCTGGAATCCCACAGTGACAGAGCATGGTCACAGCCTGTCCCTGGCCCTGAACAAGTCCAGGGCCAACGATATAGTCATGATGTACATTCCAGGCTCATAGAACAGAGGGAAGCAGGAAGGGCCCAGATCCCAAATTCTGTGCCCACTCACCGGAATGAGGGCACCCTGGATGTCTTTGCAGCCACATTCAGTTTTGGGCACACACTTGTCCTTACTGAGCACAAAGCCAGGCTGACAGAGGCAGCCCTCCTTGCAGGTAGAGGGGACTCTGAGACCTGAGACCTCACAGTGCTCATTCAGGTTGGAGCAGGATGGGATGCAGGAGGGAAGGCAGTTGGTGTGGTAGCTGTGGTCTGGGCAATCCAGAGCTATGGGGTGGAAGGAAATGTGATCAGTGCACAGGGCTTGAGAGAGCCTAGGGAAGTAGGGGAAACGGAAACTAGGCTGGGCAGGATGGCAAGAAGAGCTTGTGATTTTTTCCCTTTTGCTTATCCACACAGCAAACCCTTAGTGAACCTAAACCATGCCAAGTCCTGAGAGAAGAAAGCGAGGGGAGTGGGCCTCCCAAGTTAGTGTGGGAGCCAAGCCACTGGGAGATGAGCACCAAAGAGAGACCCTGTTGTGGGTCCCCAAACCCTCCCCACCATGGTACCTACTACCCTGACCTCTTAGGCTCAGGGACTAAGCTCCTTCTCGTTCTATCTCCGATCTATCCAGCTATGAACCCACCCTCTCTGTTCCCCCATGGCTTCCTTACTACCTTTGGCACAGTTACTATTGCCATCAACATTGTCCTTGCAGCGAGTCCCGGAGGGACACTGGAAATTCTGGCAACGAATGTTCCCTGCTATGCAGGTACAGTTCTGGGTGCAGCCTCTGGAGAGCCAGTTCTTATCTGCCTGCAGAGATCACAGAGAGAGAAAAGAAGTAAACAGAGATGGCAGTTCTGGGTAGACAGCTTTATGCTCTGTCTGAAGGACTCACATTTGTCCTCCCAGTCCACAACAAAACACAGATGGAAAACATTGGAAAAACTATTACAACTGGGAGTTTGGGTGTATCTGAGTAGGATTGTGCCTACCTAGAATCACCCAGTGAGGGGCTAGGGTGTGGCTCAGGAGTAGAGCACCTGCTTAGAATCCTTAATGAGAAAGGGTTGTGGCTCAGTGGTAGAACTATGGCTAAGATAGAGCACTTACATAGCATGTGCCAGGCCTGACCAAGCTTCATGCTGCAGGGCTAGCCATAAAGTCAGGAGAACCCCTAGAACCAGGCAGCAGTGGCACATGCCTTTAATCCCAGCACTTAGGAAGCAGAGGCAGATGGATCTCTGTGAGTTTAAGGCCAGCCTGTTCTACAGAGCGAATGCCAGGATAGGCTCCAAAGCTACATAAGAAACTCTGTCTTATCTGTTCAACTATGTTCATAGCAGCATTATTTGTACTAGCAAGAACCTGGAAGCAACCTAGATGCCCCTCAACTGAAGAATGGACAAAGAAGATGTGGCACAATGGAATACTACTCAGCAGGGAAAAAAAAAAAAAAACAATGGAATCTTGAAATTCTCAGGCAAATGGATGGAACTTGAAGAAACCATCCTGAGTGTGGTAACTCAGTCACAAAAAGAGGAACATGGTATGTACTCACTCATATATGGATTTTAGACATAGAGCAAAGGATCACCAGCCTATAATTCACACTGCCAGAGAAACTAGGATACAATGAGGAATCTAAAAGATTCATACAAGGTCCCTCACAGAGGGGAAAGGAACAAGATCTCCTGAGCATAGTGGGAGTGGGGAGGCAATGAGTGGAGAGGTGGAGAGGGAGTTAGGAGAAAGAGAAGGGGAGGAGAGAACATGTAGGACCAGGAAGAGAGAGAGTGCATAATAGAAGGAGCCATTATGGATTTGAAGAGAAAATCGACTCTAGAGAAATGTTCAGAGACCTACAAGGATGACCCCAACTAACAATCTGAGCAACAGTGGAGAGGCTACCTTAAATGCCCTTCCCTGATAATGAGATTGATAACTAACTTACATGACATCATAGAGCCCTCATCTAGTAGCTGATGGAAACAGAAGCAGACACCCACAGCTAAACACTGAGCCAAACTGGAACCCAGTTGCAGAGAGGGAGGAGTGATAAGAAAAGGGGTCAAGACCAGGCTACAGAAACCCACAGAGACAGCGATTTGAACAAGGGGGAGATAATGGACCCTCAGACTGATAGCTGGGTACCCAGCATTGTACCAAGTCAGACCCCCTGAACATGGGTCTCAGAAGGCCTGGGCAGTCTAAGGGACCTCTGATAGTAAAACCAGGATGTATCCCTGGTGCATGAACGGACTTTGGGAGCACATTCCCCATGGAGGGATACTCCCTTAGCCTAGAGGCAGGAGAGAGGGCCTGGTCCCTACTCCAAATGACTTGACAGATTTTGATGATCCCTCCTGGAAGGCCTCACCCTCCCTGTGGAGTGTGGAGGGGTGGGGGCATGGGAGGGAGGGAAAGGGAACTGGGATCAATATGTAAAATAAGAAAAATTATATATATAAAGAAAGACAGGTGAACCCCAGATGGACAAAAGCAAAGGGAAGGAGAAAATGAAAAAATCTTTTATTACACTTTTTTCTCTCTGTGTGCACAAACATGCATCTGCCATGGTACACATGTGGTGGTCAAAAGACAGCTTGCTGGAGTCAATTCTCTTCTTCTACCACATGGGTTCCAGAAATTGGCTTGCCCTATAGGCAAGTGACTTTACCTATGGAGCCATGGTTTTTTGTTGTTGTTTGTTTTTGTTTGTTTGGGTTTTTGAGAGAGGGTTTCTCTGTGAAATAGTTCTAGAGATCCTAGGACTCACTACCAGACTGGTCTCAAATTCACACAGATCTACTTGCTTCTGCCTCAGAAGCTCTGGAGTTAAAAGCGTGTGCCACCACTGCCCTGCTGGTACGCTGCTTTTTAAAATTACTTTTATGTGCATTGGTGTTTTGCCATGGGCGTCCCCTGGAACTGGAGTTAGACAGTTGTGAGCTGCCGTGTGGGTGCTAGGAATTGAACCTTGGTCCTCTAGAAGAGCAACCAGTGTTCTTAACTGCTGAGTCATCTCTCTAGCCCCTATTTAAAAACAAAAACTAATCTTTGTGTGTGTGTTCTGTGTTTAATCATGACACACATATGTGTGGAGATCAGATGACAAATCTTGGGTGTTGGTATTCACTTTTCACCCCATAATTAGATATTCAGACAGCAAAGACTAGTGAGCTCCTAAATTTTGGGGTGTGTCCTATCTCTGCCCTGATCTCACATAGAAACCCTGAAATGACATAAAGGCCTCAGGCAGACAGTGCACTGGACTGTGGAGACTCCAAGCAAGTGCTCCATTTGTGCCGAATCAGGGCCTCACTGAGCCATCTGCCCAGGCCAACCAGTCTTCTATTTGGCACACACTTACCGGGATGAGGGCACCCTGAGCATCTTTGCAGCTACACAGAATTCTGAGCATACACTTGTCGTTATGCAGCACATAGCCAGATCGACAGACACAGCCCTCCTTGCAGGTAGAGGGGGCTTTTGGCCTGGTGCCCCCACAGAGGCCCTCTGGGTCCGAGCAGGAAGGTGGACAGGAAGGAAGGCAGTTGGTGTAGCGGCTGTGGGCCGGGCACTGCACACCTAAGGAGTAGAGACTAGTGTTAGCAGAGAGTTCACTTTTTTGGGTTTTTTCCCTTTTGTTATTCATTCAGCAACCACATACTGAGCATGGGCTAGGTGCCAGTCCTAAGGAGAGATCCAATGACTGTATCTCCCAAGTCAGTGTGGGAACCTAACAATTGAGAGACTAGTACGGAAAAGGAATGCAGTTGAGTGGCCCCCAAATTCCTTTGTATTATGATATTTCTTATGCCCAACCTCCAAAGCCAGGAAGCGATGCTCTTTGTTGTGCCTCTGACCCCTGTACCCATGAGCACACTTCCCTCTATTGTCCTCTTACTGATTTTGGCGCAGATACTGTTGCCATCCCGGCCATCCTGGCACTGAGTCCCTGGGGGGCAGCTGAAGTTGTGACATTGGACAGCACCTCCCATGCAGGTACAGCTCTTGGCGCAGTCCCTGGAGGTCCAGGTCTTGCCTGCCTGCACAAGCCATGGGAAGGGAGGAGTGAGGGCAGAGAGACTGTCCCAGGGGCACAGCCTTGCCTGTTTGATCACAGGTGGGGTGTATCTGAAACGAGAACTGGATGTGGGCAGGGGATTATCTGCTCGTTGGTAGATCATGCTCCTGAATCCTCAGAAGGGACCTCTAAGAACTCACTGGCCAGGAGTGCCCAGTAAGGGGCCTGGGGTGTGGCTCAGTGGATAGAACAACTGCCTAGAGTCCTTAGTAAGGGTTTGGGGGTGTGGCTCAGTGGTAGAATCTTCCACTGATGACTGGAGGCCTGGCTTAGTGGTAGAGCTCTTGCCTAGCTTGTGCCGGAACCCGAGCAACCTTCAAACTCAAAGGGCAGATATATGGACAGGAACATTCCAGAAGGAATTAGATGAAAGGAAAGTGGCCCACAACAATCCAACTTAAAAAAATGTTTCTTTCACATGGCTCCAGAGACGGCTTAGTTGTTAAGAGCACCTGCTGCCCATGAGAGGACCCAGATCAATTCCAGCACCCATACACACAGCTCACGACCCCTATCGCTCTAATTCTGGAAATCCAATGCCTTCTTTTGGCCTCTGTGGGCACCAGGTTACCAAGTGAATACATGCAGTCACTCACACATAAAAAAAAAATAAGTCTTAATCAAGATAGTACTGTGTGTGTGGGTGTGTGTTCATGTGTGTGAGTACTGGCCCATCTGCACATGTAATTCAGAGGACAATTTCAGGTATTGGTTTCTGGGGATTGTCCTGTCTCTGTCCACCATTTTCTGGTAGAGTGATGAGTTGCAGACACAGGTAACTGTGCCCATCTATAGTGAGTTGTGGAGATTCAAACTCAGGTCCTCACACATGCACAAGAAAGCAATTGACCCACTGAGCTAGCATCCCCAACCCTATTTCCACACCCACTCACCGGAATGAGGCCACCCTGGGCATCTTTGCAGCCACAGTGAATTTGGAGCACACACTTGCCATTATTCAGGAAGTAGCCAGGTTGACAGAGACAGCCCTCCTTGCAGGTGGAGGGGACTTTGGGGCTGGTGCCCCCACAGAGACCATCCAGATCAGTACAGGAAGGTAGACATGGGGGAAGGCAGCTTGTGTAGCGGCTGTGGGCTGGACATTGCAGAGCTATGGGGTGGAGGGAGATTGGGGTTAATGGATGGGGCCCAAGGAAGCAGAGAAATGTCCCATAGAGCTTCAGGATTTTTTCCTATCATTATTAATTTTGAAACTAGTTACTGAGCATGGTGGGTGTGTGTCAAGCTCTTAGAAAAGTAAAAAGAATGCATCTCCCAACTAAATGGAGAAGACTAACCGTTGAGAGACCAGCACTGAGGGAGATCTCAGCAGAGCCAAAGGGCCACAGACTCTCTCCCATCATATGGTACGTAGTATCCCAACCTCTAAGGCCCAAGGGACTAAGCTCTGCCTTAACCTGTCTCTCACCCTCCAGCCATGAGCACACCCTCCCCACCTCCCCCATGGCTCCCTTACTGATTTTGGCACAGTTACTGCTGCCATCATTGTTGTCCTTGCAGTAAGTCTCTGATGGACACTGGAAATTCCTGCACTGGACAGTCCCTCCCATGCAGTTACAGGTCTCTGTGCAGCCTCTGTTGATCCAGGTCTTACCTGCCTGCAGAAGCCATGGGAAGAGAAAGGCAGTGAGGACTGGGCCAGCTCTAAGGAGACAGCCTCACTGTTCCAGGGGATGCAGGCTTGTCCCCACTGTCTGCAGTTCCACCTCTGTTGAGTCAACAAAATACCGGTGGAAAATCTTTGCAAAAATAATGAGGAGATGTGGGGCATCGCCTAAGAGGCAAGGACTCCTGTACTTAGGAGTTGGAGCTGTGACTCAGTTATGGACAGCTTGCCTAGAATTCTCAGCGATAGAGCACTTGTCTCTCATGAGTCAGGCCATGACTGTCCTTCACACGCTAGGTTCAGCTCTGAAGACAGGTGTAACCATGTGGTGATACACATCTTCACTCCTAGCATTCAGGAGACAAAGCCAAGCAGATCTCTGTGAGTTCCAGACCTGCCTAGTCTGTCTACATAGTAAATTCCAGGACAGTCAGGGCTATATAGAGAGACCCTGTTTCAAAAAACAAAAATTAAAAAAATTACAGGCACATCTCAGGTTAACAAGAGCAGAGGGAAAGGGGTGCATTCCACTTTTATTTTAAATCTCTGTGTGTGTGTGTGTGTGTGTGTGTGTGTGCTTTCATGTTCATGTGTGTGAGAATATTTGTGCATGTATGTATGAAAGTAAGAATACAGCCTGGAATGTTGGTCCTCACCTTCAACCTTGTATTGTGAGGCTATCTGTCTCTGTGCAATCATAAGACTGGCTAGCCTACAAGTTTCTACGGATTCTCCTGTCTCCCAATAGAAGCTAGTCGCTGCCACATCCAGCTCACATAGGTTCTGGACATTCAACTCAGGCCCATACACATGCAAGGCAAACATTCTAGCCAGTGAGCCATTTCCTCAGCCACCCACCAATTCCTCTTTCCACACCCACTCACCGGAATGAGGCCACCGTGGACATCTTTGCAGCCACACTGAATTCGGAGCACACACTTGTCATTGTTCAACAAGTAGCCAGGTTGACAGATACAGCCTTCCTTACAGGTTGCAGGGACTTTGGAGCTGGATTCCTCACAGTGGCCATCCAGAATTGAACAGGAAGGTGGACAGGAGGGAAGGCAGCTGGTGAAATGGCTGTGGGCGGGGCACTGCATAGCTTTGGGGTGGAGAGAGAGGAGTCAATAAGGAGATCCAAGTGAGCACAGGCCATAGAAACCAAATTTGGCAAAATGAGCAATAGCTCTTTGGGCCTTATTTTTCTGTCGTTATTCATTTAGTAAACATTTACTGGACATGGGCTGTTGTGTCAAACCCTGGGGAACGAAGGTAAGAGTAACTTTTCTCCTAATTCAGTGTGGGAGACTAAAAACAATGGCTCCCCCAAGGACGCGTGGGAGAGTGACCGGTGAGGGACTTACACTGTGGACTCTCCCCATTATGGCACCTCCTATCTGCACACCGCCCCCCATCGTCCTCCAGGGCTCCCTTACTGATCTTGGCGCAGCTACTATTGCCATCACTACTGTCTTTGCAGTAAGTCCCCGAGGGACACTGGAAACTCTGGCATTGGACAGCTCCTCCTGCGCAGGTACAGCTCTGGGTGCACCCCTTGGAGGTCCAGGTCTTGCCTGCCTGCAGAAGCCACAGGAAGAGAAAGGGAGGCTGGAGGAGCTTGTCCTAGGGAGACAGACTCGCCTCCTGTCTGAAGTCTTTGCATTTGCCCCCTGTCTATAGGCTTCACATCTATTGAATCACCAACCAGAGGTGGAAATACTGAAAAAAAGAATTATATCTAGGGCAGGTGGGTTAGCTCAGTGGTAGAGTACCCATGCAGAATCCCCCAGTGAGGGCTGGGTGTGGCTCAGTGGTAGAGCACCTGCCTGGAATCCCCTTTGAGAAGCACCAGAAGAGGCTCAGTGGCAGAGTGCAGGCCTAGAATACTCAGAAAGAGCCTCTGAGCATGGCTCACCCACACAGCTCACTTGCATACAATTTTCATTGAGAGGCCAGGTACACAGCTCAGTGGTAGAGTACTTGCCCAGCAAATACCAAGACTTGACCAACTTTCAAACTCAAGAGCCAGCTAGAGACAAGTACACATGAGGAGGTCAGAGGCTTGTGTGAGTCAGTTCATTCTTCCAACACATGGCTCCTGGGTACTTGAACTCAGGTGTTCACGCTCGAAGGCAAGTGTCTTTATCAAGCCATGTGTCTGGCCCTCTACGTTGTAAAATTAATTTTTTAGTATGTATATGTATGTGTAGTATGTGTGTGCTTGTGTGTGCATGTGTAGGAGCGTCCGTGTGTGTGTGTGTGTGTGTGTGTGTGTGTGTGTGTGTGTGTGTGTGTGTGTGTGTGTGTGTGTATACCTGTGCACAGGAAAGGCAGTCAGAGAACAGGCTCAGGGGTTGAGTCTCACTTCCTCCACTTTGCAGTGAGACAAAGTATCTCAACTCCCTTGTTTCATTGTTGCTTTCATTTTTCGGCAGTATCCTGGCTGGTTAGCTTGCAGGTTTTGGGGGATTCTACACACAGCTTAACATGGTTACGTGGGATTTCAACTCATGTCCCCACACTTGCATAGCAAGCACTTCATTCACTGAGCCATCTTCCCAGCTGGCCCAATCCCACTTCCCACGCCCACTCACCGGAATGAGGCCACCCTGGGCATCTTTGCAGTCACAGTGAATTTGGAGCACACACTTGCCATTATTCAGGAAGTAGCCAGGTTGGCAGAGGCAGCCCTCCTTGCAGGTGGAGGGGACTTTGGGACTGGTATGCTCACAGTGGCCATCCAGGTTGAAACAGGAAGGTGGGCAGGAGGGAAGGCAGCTGGAGAAGTGGCTGTGATCTGGGCACTGCAGAGCTATGGGGTACACAAAGAGTAGGGTTAGAGGAGAAGACAGGAGCATGGCCCTTGTGTAGTCCTGAGAGAAGAAAGTAAGAAGAATCACTCCCGCATCAGTGTGGGAGATCAGCCACTGGGAGAGGACTCAGCTGCAGTCTCCAGAATCCACCCTCACTGCTGTAAATTTTTTTTTTTGAGACAGGGTTCTCTGTGGTTTTGGAGGCTGTCCTGTCCTGGAACTAGCTCTTGTAGACCAGGCTGGTCTCGAACTCACAGAGATCCGCCTGCCTCTGCCTCCCAAGTAATTTTTGCACTGACCTCTAGCTCTAGACTCAGAGGAAGAAGCTCTTTGTTGCCTTGCCTCTGGTTCCTCCAATCAGGAGCCCACCCTCCCCACCCTCCCCACGGCTCCCTTACGTATTTCAGCACAGTTACTGCTGCCATCATTGCTGCCCTTGCAGTAGGTCCCTTGGGGACACTGGAAATTCTGGCACTGGATGGCCCCTTCCACACAGGTACAGCTCTGGGTGCAGCCTGTAGCAATCCAGGTCTTGCCTACCTGCAGAAGCCACAAGAAATGGAAGGAGGTAAAGTAAGTGTCTTCTAACTCAGTGTGGTAGTTTCTATTTCATTTATTTATATTTGTGTGCGTGTGTCCATGTGAATATATGCATATGATTGTTCATGAAGGCCAGAAGACACATCAATCCCTTGAAGCTGGAGTTATAGGCATCTGTGAGTTGCTGGGATCCAAACTCCAATCCTCTTGATAGAGTCACGGTGTGTGCTCTTAACCCCAGAGCAATCTCTCTGGCCCCTAGTTCTCAGGAGACTACCCCACTTCCTGTCTGGGGTACTTACCTCACTGTCTAGAGATTTCAAATCAATTGAGTCTACCAGCTATGTCCCTCTAGCGTTCTGATTTCCCCGCTCACTCACCGGAATGAAAGTGCCTCGGTCATCTTTGCAGCCACACTCAATTTTGAGCACACATGTGCCATTAGCCAGCACATAGCCAGGTTGACACGAGCAGCCCTCCTTGCAGGTAGAAGGGACTTGAGGCCTGGTGCCCTCACAGCGGCCATCAGGGTCAGAGCAGGAAGGTTGACAGGAGGGAAGGCAGTTGGTGTAGTGGCTGTGGGCCGGGCACTGCAGAGCTTTGGGGTAGAAACACAGTAGGATTAGTGGAGAGGCCACACACAGAGGCTGTAAATGCCAAACCAGGCAGAGTGACCAACAGAGTTTGGGGCCTTTTCCTTTCCTCTGAGTGTTCATTTAGTAAATATTCATTGAGTATGGGTATGTGTCCAACATAGAGGACAGTCGGAAAGAATAGTTCCTTCTAACTCAGTGTAGAAGACTCATGCTGAGAAGGGACTCAGCCCCATCCATGTCCCTAGAGTCCCTTCTTATTTGGGACCTCCTAGCCCATGGCCTCTTAAGTGGGGACGTCTTGCTGTGCCTCAGACTCCTCCAGTCACGAGCAGACTCCCCACCTTCCCCACGGCTTACGTATTTCAGCACAATCACTGCTGCCATCATTGCTGTCCTTGCAGTAGGTCCCCGAGGGACACTGGAAACTCCGGCACTCAACAGTCCCTCCCATGCAGGTACAGCTCTGGGTACAGCCTTTGGGAGTCCAGGTCTTGCCTGCCTGTAGAAGCCACAGGAAGAGAAAGGGATAGGGGATAGAGGGGCTGGTTAAAGGAAGACAGACTTACCCCTGTCTGCAGGACTTTAATTTCCCCTCCCATTCTATAGGTCCATAGCTATTGAGTCAACCATTAGTGCATGGAAAATATTTGAAAAAATATCACATCTATGGGTGGGGTTTAGCCTAAAATCTGACAGTGAGGCACTGGTGACTATTTCAACAAAGAGCATCTGTCTAGAATTACCCAGTGAAGTGCTGGGGCATGACTCAGTGGTAGAACAACTACCTAGAATACCACAACAAGGGGCTAAGAATGGCTCTCAGGGGAAGATCACTTGGCTAGTCTATGCCAGGACACACTTTTCTCCACATTACCAGGCCACCAATATAGACATGAGCATTCCAGACTAAGAGAGGCAGACGAAAGGAGAGGAGGAGAAAAGGAGAAGGAAGGAGGAGGAGGAAAAGGAGGAGGAGAATGAGGAGGAGGAGAGAAGGAGGAGACATTCCTACTCCCCACTTCCACTCACCGGGATGAGAGCACCCTGGGGACCTTTGCAGTCACACTGAATTTTGGGCAAACACTTGTCCTTATTGAGCACAAATCCAGGGTGGCAGAGGCAGCCTTCCTTGCAGGTGGAGGGGCCTTTGGGGCCAGAGCCTTCACAGTGCCCCTCTGGATCCAAGCAAGAGGGTGGGCATGGGGGAAGGCAGTCGGTGAACTGGCTGTTGGATGGACACTGTAGGGCTATAGAGTGGAGGGGAAACAGAGTTAGTGGAGGAGACCCAAGCAAGCAGAGGTTTCTGTGCGGAGGTCAGACTTGACAAAATGGCCAGGAGATCCTTCTCCACACCACCTGCATTTACTATTCATTCAACAAGCATTCATTGAGCGTGCCCCATTTGTCAATTCATGAGAGGGAAAATAAGAAAAATGGATCCCCCAAGTCAATGATGGAGACTAAACATTGAGAAGGGGCTCAGCCCAGCCATGGCTCCACAAAATCTCTCTCTACTGTGGTATCTTCTATCCCCAACCTCTAAAAGGCAAGGGAATAAGCTCGTTCTTGCCCTGCCTCTGGTCCCTCCAGCCAGCAGCACAATTTCTCCATTTCCCCATGGCCCCTTACGGATTTTAGCACAGTTACTGCTGCCATCATTGCTCTTCTTGCAGTAAGTCCCTGAAGGACACTGGAAACTCAGGCACTGGATGGTCCTGCCTGTACAGGTACAGCTCTGGGTGCAGCCTCTGGAGACCCAGGTCTTGCCTTCCTGCAGAAGCCATAGAAAGAGATGATAGGAAGGCTAGAGACATACTCACCTGTCTGAAGGGCCTTAGGTTTGTCCTCCCTACTGCTACCGCACATCTACTGAGTCAACCAGCAGTAGGCAGAAAATATTGGAGAAATATTTCCTTCTGTCACTATATGCATAACTCAGCAGAATAGAACCTGCCTAGAATCTCCCAGTGAGGAGGTGGGGGAGGCGTGGGTGATCAGCAGAACTTCTGCTGGGAATCCTAGGTCAGGGCACTGGTGGAGTGGGTCAGTGGTAGAATGCTGGCCCTGAATCCTATAGTAGGGACCAGGGGAGCATAGCTCAGTTGCAGAGCACCTGACTAGAATCCTCAGTGATGGGTGGTTGTGTGGCTTTGAAGTAGAATACTTGCCTGGATCCCCCAGAGAAAGGCTGGGGAGTGGTTCGGTGGTAGAGCACCTGCCTACCCAGTGCCTGAACTTGAACAACCTTCACATTTCAGCACCAGCCACACAGGCTGGAGCATCCCAGGTGCAAAGAAGCAGAAGAAATGAGCTAGTGGCTCCCAATCCTATGTGGGCTTTGGTCTCATTTGTTGGTTTGTTTGTCTGTTTGCAACAAGTTCTCTTCTATGTAGTCCTGGCTGGTCTAGAACTTGCTATGTAGCTCAGGCAGGTCTTGAATTTGTAGGAATATACCTGACTCTGCTTTCCAAATACTGTGACTAAAGCCACCTTTCTCTCCTCTCTCTCTCTCTCTCTCTCTCTCTCTCTCTCTCTCTCTCTCTCTGTGTGTGTGTGTGTGTGTGCATGTATGTGCTCATGCATGTGTGTGTGCTCATATGTGTGTGTGTGCGTGTTGTTAGTACTTATGCTGTAGCTTGTATTGAAAATTCAGTCTCTCTGGGTCAGTGTTTTTCTCTGTCTTCTTTGTTGTTGGTCATCACTGCTTACACAAGACTAGCTAGCTCTCAAGTTTTTAAGGATTCTACTGTCTCCCTTTCCTGTCTTCCAGTAGAAGAACCAGGGCTATAGATATAATCTACTATGTCCATCTCTCATGTGTTGTGGGGATTCAAACCCAGGTCCAAACGCTTGCAGGATAGACACTTTATAATGGAGCTATCTCCATAGACCCCACCGATCCCACCACCCATGCCCACTCACCGGGATGAGAGCACCCTGGGCATCTTTGCAGCCACACTGAATTCTGAGTATACATGTGTCATTATGCCACACATGGCCAGGTTGACAGACACAGCCCTCCTTGCAAGTGGAGGGGCCGTTGGGACTGGTTCCCTTACAGAGCCCTTCTGGGTCCAAGCAGGAAGGTAGACAGGAGGGAAGGCAGTTGGTGAACAGGCTATGGGCCGGGCACTTCAGAGCTATGGGGTAAAAAATCGAGTGGAGTTAATGGAGAGGCCCAGAGGGTACCCAAGGAAGCAGAAATTACAGAAACCAAGCTGGGCATAATGACCAAGAGAGGGTTTTTTTCCTTTTTGTTATTCATTCAGAAAACGCTTCTGGGCATAGCCTATGTGCCAAACCTTGAGAGAAGAAGGTTAGAATGGCTCTCCCCAGTTATCAGAGATTATGGAGAGGCTAATGCCAAGAAGGGTCTCAGTAGGACTATGGGTTGCCAGAAACCTCTTAGGGAAAAAGCTCAAGCTCCTTTCCCTGCCTCCAATCTGTCCAGGCATGAGCACACACACCCTCCCCACCTTCCCTGTGGTCTCTTACTTATTTTAGCACAATCACTGCTGCCTTCGTTATTGTTCTTGCAGTAAGTCCCTGAGGGACACTGAAAATTCTGGCACTGAACAGTCCCTTCCATGCAGGCACAGCTCTGGGCACAGCCCGTGGAGATCCAGGTCTTGCCTGCCTGCAGAAGCCACAGGAAGAGAAAGAATGTGAGGACAGAGGGATTGGTTAGAGAGAGACAGTGCCACTTCCAGCTTCAGGGACTTAGGTTTGAATAGAGGTATCTATTCACAGCTATTAAGACTACCAACCTGGTGTAAAACATGTTGGGAAAAAATGCTGCTATTGCTGTGTACACAGATCAGCAATAGTGCCTGCCTAGAGTTCTCCACTGAGGGTGTGGAAGTGGCCCAGTGCTAGCACTCTGTCCCAGAATCCTACAATGGGGACCTGGGACTATAGTTTAGTTGTAGAGCACCTGATCAGAATCTCCATGGACTGGGGGTTCATGTGATTTAGGTCTACTTGCCTGGCTCCCTTCACTGAGGGCTAGAGGTATGGCTCAATGGTAGAGCACTTCCCTAGTTTGTGCCAAGACATGGTCAACCTTCGTACCTCAGGCATACAGACAGGAGCATTCCAGGTAAGACTTAAAGAGGCAATGAGAAAGTGACCCTCCCAATCCTACGTTGGTTTTCAAACCATTCTCCTGCCCAGTAAGTGGTGTGTGTGTGTGTGTATTCATATTTCTTTGTATGTGAGCGCAGACTCACTTAAGTGTCTACATCAGAAGACAATCTATAATGTTGACCCTCATCTCCCACTGTGTATTGAGACACGGTGTCTCTGTATCACTGTCTCTGTCTCTCTCCTGTCACCCCATCTCCTCTCCCTCCCTGTCCCCTCCTCATTGATGTTCAGCACTATCATAAGAATAGCTAGCTCACAAGTTTCTGGGGACTCAGCACTCCTAAGGGGAGGGAACCCTGGCATTAAAGACCCAGTTTGCAAGGGTTGTATGGATTCAAACTCAACTTGCATCACAAATATTTTACCCACTGATTAATCCCTGCAACTTTCTCCAGTCGCACAGCAGGTGGCAGGTGCCCACTCACCGGGATGAGAGCACCCTGGGAGTCTTTGCAGCCACACTGAACTCTAAGAATACACTTGTTGTTATTTAGCACGTAGCCAGGTTGGCAGACACAGCCCTCCTTGCAGGTGGAGGGGACTTTAGATTTGGTGTCTTTGCAGAGGGCCTCGGGGTCCGAGCAGGAAGGTAGACAGGAGGGAAGGCAGCTGGTGTAGAGGGTGTGGGCTGGACACTGCAGAGCTATGGGGTAGAGGGAGAGAGGTTAGTGAAGAGGAACAGAGAGGGGTTCAATAAAGCAGATGTGATTAAAAAAGAAATCAAGCTGTACAGACTTGACAGCAGAGCCTCCCTGCCCCATTTTGTCATTCATTCATCAAACACTTATGGAGCATGCTGCTGTGCCTTAAACTGGGGAAAGAAGTAAGAAGATTCGATCTCTCAGCCAATGAAGCACTGGGAAGGGACCCAGCCTGGCAGTGGGCCCCCTGAATCCCAACCTCTTAGGGCAGAGCACCAAGCTCCTACTTGCCCTGCCTCCAATCTCATCTAGCAGTAGTAACTACCACACCCCAGCCGCTGCGGATAGCCTCCTTACTGATTTTGGTGCAAGTACTACTGTCATCACTGTTGTCCTTGCAGTGAGTCCCCGAGGGACACTGGAAATTCTGACACTGGATATCACCTTCCACGCAGGCACATGTCTGAGTGCAGCCTCGGGAGGTCCAAGTCTTGCCTGCCTGCAGAAGCCAGGGAATGAGAAACAAGTGGAGACTGAGTGGATGCTCTAGTGAGTCAGGCTTAGCCTCATGCCTGAAGGGTTTACGCATGCTCTCCTTATCCAGTTTCCTCCTCTAAGGTGCAGGCAGAAGGTGTGTTGTTTGGGCAGACAATGCAGAGTGGACAGATTTCCACTCTGGTCCTCTCCACTAACCCCAATTACTCTCGTCTAGAGCTGGGATTAGACAGGGAACATGTACGGAATCCTTTAATGGGAGCTGCTGCATGGCTCTCCCAGAGTGTGTCAGGCCCTGAGCCGTCTTCTCATTCCAAGGTCAGTCTTTGAGAATGGAGTATCCCAGGCTGAGAGATGCCGATAAAAGGAGAAAGTGGCCCTCAGCCCCAGTCTCCACACCCACTCACCGGAATGAAGTCACCCTTGGCATCTTTGCAGCCACACTGAGTTCTCGGCATACACTTGTCCTCATTGAGCACAAAGCCATGGTCGCAGAGACACCCCTCCTTGCAGTCGGAGGGGACTTTGGGGCTGGTGATCTCACAGTGGTTGGAGCAAGAAGGTAGGCAGGAGGGAAGGCAGCCCGTGAAGTGGCTGTGGGTTGGGCATTGCAGACCTATAGTAAGGAGGGGGAGTGGTGTTAGTGAAAAGGAGCAGAGGGGTCCATGGAAGCAGTGGTTAGGGAAACTGTGGGAGGCTGGATTACAGGTGAGTTTGGGCTCTTTTCTTCCTTTTGTTATTCATTTGACAAATGTTTTTAAGCTGTTGCCAAGCCATGAGGAAATAAGAAGATAGATCTCCCAAGTCAATGTAAGAAACTAAACACAGAGCAACTAACACTGAGAAGATGCTCAGGCTAGCCACGGGTATCCAGAATCCCTCCCCAGTGTGGTACTTCCTATCCCTACCTCTAAACCCAGGGATTGAGGTCCTTCTTGCCCTCCTTGGAATCCCCACACATGAGCACGCCCTCCCTGCATTCTCACGGCTCCCTTACTGATTTTGGTGCAGTTACTGCTGCCATCATCTCTGTTCTTGCAGTAAGTCCCCGAGGGACACTGGATATTCCTGCAGTGGATGATCCCTCCCACACAGGTACAGCTCTGTGCACAGTCTCTGGTGATCCAGGTCTTGTCTGCCTGCAGATGTCATGGGAATAGAAGACACCTGAGGGCCATGGGCCAGTTCTAAAGAGACAGACTCACTTCTGGCCTGAAGATTCCAAACTGCATATCCTATCTCAAAGTTCTATATCCATTGGCTTAACACTGTAGATTAAATATATATTTTTAATTGCAGCTGGGGCTGTGCCCATAGCCTAGCAGTATAGTGTCTACCTAGAATTTTCCAGTGGAGTAATGACAGCATGGAGAAATAGTAGAAGGCATGTCTAGAATTCCCAGTGAAGGCCTTGGGGTGTGGCTCAGTGGTAGACCAATTCCCTAGTTTGTACCAAGTCCTGACCAATCTTCTAACTACAAGGCCAGCCAAACAGGTAGGGGAAAGTGGAAAGGAGAAGGACCCTCAATCCCACTTTTTAGTAAAAAGGTCTCAGTGTCCGTATGTGATTCATGTGTGTACGTGAATACACGTGTTCTGAGGGCAGAACACAATCTCAGGTGTAGGTCCTCACATTCCACCCTGTACTGAGACAAAGTCAGTCAGTCAGTCTGCCTGCCTGTCTGTCTTCCTCGTTGATGATTACACCTCTACCCATACAAGACTAGCTACAAGTTTCAGGGACTCTTCTGTGTCCCTCTCCTGGAGCCCTGGGGTTGGAGACACAGACTACACCCCAGTTTACATGGGTTGTGGGGATTAGTAGACAGGTCCTCCTCCTCCCTGAGCAAATATTCTACCCAGTTAGCCACTCTCTAGCCTCACCAAGCCCATCTTCCACACACTCACTGGGATGAGGGCACCCTGGGCATCTTTGCAGCTACACAGAATTCTGAGCATACACTTGTCGTTATGCAGCACATAGCCAGATCGACAGACGCAGCCCTCCTTGCAGGTGGAGGGAGCTTTAGGACTAGTGCTGCCACAGAGGCCCTCTGGGTCCAAGCACGAGGGTGGACAGGAGGGAAGGCAGTTGGTATAGCGGCTGTGGGCTGGGCACTGCAGAGCTATAGGACAGAGGGAGATTACAATTAGTAGAGAGGACCAGAAGGGCCCAAGGAAGCAGAAGCTACAGAATCATGCTGGGCTGAAAGACCAACAGTTTGTCTGTCTGTCTGTTTTCCCTTTTGCTATCGATTCAACAAATATTTCCCGATCACAAACTGTGTCCGGGACAGAAAGTAAAGTAAAGAAGGGGGATATATAGGGCTGGAGAGATGGCTCAGTGGTTAAGAGCACTTGATGGACTTGCAGAGGACCTGAGTTTGGTTCCCAGAATCCAAAAACACCTGTAAACTCCAGCTCCGGGACACCTACGAGCCTCTTCTGGCCCCTGACAGCATCCACCGGCATTCACATGGAATCTATACAGCTAATTTAACTTAAAGACGGTGTATCTTTAAGTTAAATGTGGAAAACTAACCACTGAGAGACTAGTGTGATGAGCCCAGCATGGTCCCTCAGAATGCCTCTCCACCATGACATCACCTTATCCCCGACTTCTTATGCCCATGAGACTGAGCTCCTTCTTGCCCTGCCTCTAGTCTCTCCAGGCATGCGCACACCCTTTCACCTTCCCCCGTGGCTCCCTTACCGATTTTGATGCAGCTACTGTTGTCGTCATCACTATTCATGCAGGAGGTCCCTGAGGGACACTGGAAAGTCCTGCACTGGATGACCCCTTCCATGCAGTTACAGCTCTGAGTACACTTTCTGGTGATCCAGGTCTTGCCTTCCTGCAAAAGCCACGGGGAGAGAAAAGCCAGTGACCAAGTGACCACAAAGGTGCTGTACTGGTTCTGGGTGCTGCTTGCCTCCTATGAAGAGCTTGGTACGTGCTGCCAGCAGGTTCTGTCCCAACCGATTAAAACAAGCACTAACAGAGAGTACTCACAGGGGAAAACTCAACATGGGCTATGAGAGTATCTCAGTCCAGTAAGGGGATGGTCGGTTGCTCACTTGTAGAGCAGAGGTCTAGAATCCTCTGTCGGGCACCTGGGAGTATAACTCAAATGCAGAACCTCTGTCTAGAATCCTCCAGTGAGGGGCTAGTAGTGGTTCATTGGTAGATCTAAAGCCTAGAATCCTCCAATGGGACTCTGGGGCTGTAGCTCAAATGCAGAACCTTTACCTAGAATCCTTTAAGAGTAGCGGGGAGCATGGCTCAGCTGTAGAGCCTCTGACTAGAATCTCCTAGGGAGAGTCTTAGGGCGTGGCTCAGCAGTAAAGAACCTGCCTTACTTTCTCCAGGAAAGACTGACTTTCAGCTGCATAGTTAGGCACATCCCGGGTGCAGAGAAGCAGAAGAAAGGAGAAAATGACGCACGCCCCCATTCTCCCTTAAAAAATGGCTGTGAGAGTATATCTGTGTGGCTGTGTGAGCATGGACACACGTATGTGTGGAGGTCAGAAGACCATCTCACATGCTGGTCTCACTTTCCACCCCCGATGCTGTTGCTGCTGTTCATTGCTACTCACATTAACAGCCAGCTCACACATTTCTAGGGATCATCCTGTTCCCGCTTCCCATCTCCTAGAAAGAGCCCTGGGATTATAGACACACCACCAAGGCTTACGTTGGTTATACATATTCAAACTCAGGTCCTCACAGTACTAGGTGAGGGGAGAGACAAATAGTTTACCCACTGAGCTCTCTCTCCAGCCCTGACCAATACCACGTTAGGTGCCCACGCACCGGGATGAGGGCACCCTGGGCATCTTTGCAGCCACACTGATTTCTGAGTATACACTTGTCATTATGCAGCACGTAGCCAGATTGACAGACGCAGCCCTCCTTGCAGGTGGAGGGGGCTTTGGTGCTGGAGTCCTCACAGTGGCCATTCATATTAGAGCAGGATGGTTGACAGGAGGGAAGGCAGTTGGTGAATTGGCTGTTGGCTGGACATTGCAGAGCTGTGAAAGAGAGAGAGCAGGGTTAGGAGAGAGGAACATAAGTGGCCAGAGCAAGCAGAAGCTACAGAAACTATACTAGAAGTTCCAAAAGTGAAGGGATTTTTTTCCTTTTGCTATTCATCCGCTAAACAGTTAGTAATTGTGAACTCTCTGCCAAACCTCAAGGAGAGAAAGAATGGATTACTTGGGGCTGGAGAGGTAGAAGGCTCAGCAGTCATGAGCACTTGCTGTTCTTGCAAAGGAGCTGAGCTGCGTTCGGCTCACCCAGATAGTGCTGTTCACAGTCTCCTGTAATTTCAGCCCCAGGAGACACAATCCACTCTTCTGGCTGCCATGCGCAGTGCACTCATGTGACAGACAGGTCCATAGACATATATTAATATGTGTGATTAAAAGTAAAAAAGTAATGATGAATGACTACCCCAAGTTAATGTGGGGGACCAACCATTCAGACACTAAAAAATGAGCCAAAGGTCCCCAAAAGCCCTCCTCACCATGGTGCTTCCTATCTCTGGTCTCTGAGCTTCATCTTGCCCTGCCTCTGGGCTCTCCAGCCAAATGCATACATTCTCTACCTTCCCTCACGGCTCCCTTACTGATTTTGGTGCAGTTACTGTTGCCGTCCTTGATGTCCTTGCAGTAAGTCTCTGAGGGACACTGAAATATCCTACACAGGATGGCCCCTCCCGCACAGGTACAGCTCTGGGTGCAGCCTCTGTTGATCCAAGTCTTATCTGCCTGCAGAAGCCAAGGGGAGAGAAAGGAAGTGAGGGCAGAGGGACTGGTTAGAAGGAAAGAGCCTCACCTCCAGTCTGCAGGGCTGACCTTTGCCCTCCCTATCAGCAGGTTCCACATCACTGAGTGAGTAACCCAACCACGGGGTGGGGGGTGGGGGGATCTGGAGTGACAGAGGATGCCTCTGGGATTGTGGACTCTTTCAGTAAGGGGCTGGGGTGTGGCTCACTGGTAGAACTAGGGCAGATGACTTTCTCTTGGTGCTTGGAAGCACAGCTCAGATGAAGAACCTATGCCTAGAATCCTCAGTGATGAGAGGCAGGAGGTTGGGAGGGGGTTCAGAGATTGTAGCTTACAGGTAGACCATTTGCCTACAATTCTCTACGAGAATTTAGGATCATGATCCAGCTTTGCAAAATTGGCTAGTATCTTCCGGTGAGAGTCTGGGAGTGTGGCACAGTTGTAGAGAACTTGCCAAGAGTTTGACTTAGCAGTAGAGCAATTGCCTAGGAATCACTGATAGGAAGATAAAGGCTACACTAGTTCCAATAACAGCTGCCAAGAGTTCAGAGGAGGTAGTGGGAGGGTGGCTCAGGAGTGGCATTTAGGCACAGACTCCTCAGTGAGTGCCAGAGGGTATATCGCAGTGTTAGAGCCCCGACTACAACTCCAGAGAGGGGCTGGAGGCCTGTCTCAGCAGTTGACCATTGGCTTAGCTTGCTGCTCCAGGACATCATCAACCTTCACATTACAGGACCAGCCACACAAACAGGAAGAGGAAAGCAAAGGAAAAAAGAAAGTGGTCCCCAGTCAGGCCTAAAAAAAAAAAAAAAAAAAAGCTTTTGGGAGGGGCGTGGAGTGTAGATGTAGGCGTGAAAGTCAGAGGACAATGCTGGTCCTCATCTTCCACCTTTCCACGTTCCATTGAGACAGTCTCTTTCTTTCTGTCCCCCCATTCCTCTCTTCCCCCTCCCTCATCTCTGTTTCTCCCTTCTCTTTGCTGTGGTCCTCCACCCCTGCCCATACAACACTAGCTAGCTCCCACATTTCTAGGGATTATCCTATCACAACCTCCCATCTCCTAATAGGATCCTTGGATTATAGTCACACACCACCAAGGTTTACATTGGCTGTATGCATTAAAACTCATGCCCTCACACCAGGGCGTGCAAACATTTACCACTGAGCTTTCTCTCTCTCTCTCTCTCTCTCTCTCTCTCTCTCTCTCTCTCTCTCTCTCTCTCTCCAGCCACCACCAATACCACTTTAGATGCCTACTCACCGGGATGAGGGCACCCTGGGCATCTTTGCAGCCACACTCAGTTCTGAGTATACACTTGTTGTTATACAGCACAAAGCCAGGTAGACAAACACAGCCCTCCTTGCAGGTGGAGGGGGTTTTGGTACTGGAGCCCAAACAGTTGCCTTCTGGGTCCGAGCAGGATGGTTGACAGGAGGGAAGGCAGTTGGTGTAACGGCTGTGGGCAGGACACTGCAGAGCTATGGGGAAGAGAGTGTGGTTAATGGAGAGGAACACAGGATCAAAACAGACTACAGAAACCAGACTAGGCAGAATGCTCAAGACAGTGAGCATTTTGTTATTTCAGCCAGCATTTACTGAGTATGAACTTTGTGCCAAGCCCTAAGGAAAAAAGTAAGACTGGATCTTTTGGGACTGGAGAGATGAGTCAAGACTACTTGCTGCTCTTGCCATGTATCCAAGTTAAGTTTGTCCTGTTCAAAAGTCTCATGTAACTCAGGCTCCATGTAATGTCCTCTGTGGCCCCTGCATGAACTGACTCAGGTGCATAGCCCATATACAGACACATCATCATACATGGAATTAAAAATAATATATCTTCCAAGTTAATGGGGAGCCTGACAACCGAGAGACTAATAGTGAGAAGGGACCCAGACCAGTCACGGGTCCCCACAGTCCATTCCCATTGTAGTATCTCTTATTCCAGATCTCATAGGCATAGGGGCCTAAGCTTCTTCTTGCTCTGCCTCTGGTCCCTCCAGCCATGAGCACACCCTCCCCACCTCCCCCCACGGCTCTCTCACTGATTTTGGCACAGTTACTGTTGCCGTCCTCGGTGTCCTTGCAGTAAGTCCCTGAGGGACAGTGGAAATTCTGGCACTGGATGACCCCTCCCATGCAGGTACAGCTCTGAGTGCAGCCTCTGTTGATCCAGGTCTTATCTGCCTGCAGAGGTCAAGGGAGAGAAGTGGGAGCATAGGGCTTGTTAGAGAAAGACAGCTTTGCTTCCTGTCTGAGGGACTTACCTTTGCCTTCCCTGTCTTTAGAGTCTGTGAATATTCATTTAGCCAACTATGGATGGAAGGTATATGGGGAGAAAATGCATTGAAGGCTATGGACATAGCTCAGCAGTATAGTGTATGCCTAGAATCCTCCAGTGAGTGGCTAAGGGCATAACTCAGCCCTAGAGTTCTCAACTGGGAGTTTGGGAGCACAGTTCAAATGCAGAACCTATGTCTGGACTCTTCAGTGATAAATGGTACATGGGATAGATGGCAGGCTGTGGTTTACAGGTGTAACACTTGCCTAGAGGGTCTGGGGGGGTTAGGGTTAGAGGTAGAAAACTGCCCAGCATCCTCCAAGAGGGTCTGGGGGTTTGACTTAGAGGTAGAAAACTGCCCAGCATCCTCCAAGAGGGTCTGGGGGTATGGCTTAGAGGTAGAGCAATTGTCCCATTGAGGTCTGGGAATATAGCTCAGTTGTAAAGCACTTGAATAGGATTCCCAAGAGGGGTTGACCTATGGCATCTTCTAGAACCTTTATACTTCAGGACTGGACATACCAACAGGAGCATTCCAGGTGGAGAAAAGCAGAAGAAATGAAAAAAGTGGCCCACAATCTCAAGTTTACAAGAAGTTTTATGTGTTTGGGAGCGGGGCACAGGAGCACATGTATGTGTGGAGTTGGAAGACAATCTTGAACATTTGTCCTCATCTTTTACTTTGTATTGAGACTCTTGTTCTTTTTCCTTTCCTCCCACCCTTCATTCCTCCCATTCCCTCTCTTTATTGCTGTTCACTCCTGCCCACACCTTTCTAGGGATTACCCTGACTGTTTCCAATCTCCTAGTTGGAGCCCTGGGATTATGGACACACCAGTAAGGCTTACATTGATTAAATAGATTCAAACTCAGCACTCTTCAGCAAATGTTTCACACTGAGCCTTTCCCATCCCCCACCAACCCCACTTTATTTTTAGATGCCCACTCACCGGGATGAGAACACCCTGGGCATCTTTGCAGCCACACTGAATTCTGAGTATACACTTGTCATTATGCAGCACGTAGCCAGACTGACAGACGCAGCCCTCCTTGCAGGTGGAGGTGGCTTTGGTGATGGTGCCCAAACAGCGGCCATCAGGGTCAGAGCAGGATGGTTGACAGGAGGGAAGGCAGTTGGTGTAGTGGCTGTGGGCTGGGCACTGGAGAGCTATGGGGTGGGGGGAGATTGGAATTACTGGAGGTGACCTTGAAGGCTCAAGTGAGCAAGCTACAGAGACCAGACTAGGAGGCTGGAGAGATGGCTCAGCATTTAAGATTGCTTGTTGCTCTTACATGGGACTTGAATTCAGATCTCAGCATCCATGTACAGTGGCTCAGTACCTCTTATAACTCCACTTTAAGGGGACCTAGCATCCCTTCTGGCCTCCACATGCACTGAACTCAGATGATGCGCGCGCGCGCGCGCACACACACACACACACACACACACACACACACAGACACACCATTATGCGTGTGTTTAAAAATCTGCCAAGTCAATTTGGAGACTAACAATGTAAAGACTACTACCAGTGGGATCCAGCCCAGCCTTGGGTTCTCACATCCTTCCTGACAGTGGTAACCCCATCCCAAAGGACTACCCTCCTCCTTCCCCTTCTGATCCCTCCAGCCATGAGTACACCCTTCCTGTCTTCCCCAATGGCTCTCTCACTGATTTTGGTGCAGTTACTGTTGCCGTCTTCGATGTCCTTGCAGTAAGTCTCTGAGGGACACTGAAATTTCCTACACAGGATGGCCCCTCCCGCACAGGTACAGCTCTGGGTGCAGCCTCTGTTGATCCAGGTCTTATCTGCCTGCAGAAGCCAAGGGGAGAGAAAGGAAGTGAGGACGGAGGGACTGACTGGTTAGAAGGGAAGAGCCTCACCTCCAGTCTGCAGGGCTGACCTTTACCCGACTTGTAAACAGTTTCTGAATCTATCCTAAACATGGAAGGAAACAATTTGAGGGAAAAATGCATCTAGGCTGTGGACATAGGTTAGTGGCATAGTACAGTGTGAGCGCTTTAGCCTAGAATCCTCTGCTGGTGGCTCAGATATAGAAACTCTGCCTAGGATCCTCAGCGACAGTGGGAAGGTCGAGCTCGCCTAGAGTCCTTGGGTGAGGGGTGAGGGGCCTGGCTCATGAGAGAGTATCTGATAAGATTCTCCAGTGGGGAGTGGGGAGTGGCAGAGCTCAAGTCCAAACTTCACGTGAGGGCTAGGTAGTGTAACCTAACCTCACAGATCCTGATCAGAATGTCCCTGGGAGGGGAAGGAACGTGGCTCAGCACAGCAATACTTACCCAACCTTTATCCATTCAGACAGGAGCATCTCAGAGAAAAACAGAAGAAGGGAGGAGGTGGCCCCAGTTCTAGCTGGGTTTTTTTAGTTTGTTTGTTTTTGCTTTTGTTTTGAGACAGGGTCTCACTTTCTAGCCCTGGCTGTCCTGGAACTCAAACTCTGCCTGCCTGCCTCTGCCTACTGAGTGCTAGGCTGAAAGAAATGGCCACCATGACCACCACAATCTCAGTTTTTAGAACAAATGTACATGCTGGTATTTTCTTTGGCTCACCTGTAAATAGGAGTGCATGTATTTGAGGACACCTCAAGTGTCGGTCCTCACTGCCCGCTTTTTTTGAGACAGCTCTCTGTCTCTGTCTCCTTCCCTCATTCTCTCCTCCCTCATTGTTCACTGCTACTCACACAGGACTAGCTAGCCCTTAAGTTTCTGGGAATTCTCCTGTCCCTGCCCCCGACATTCTAGTAGGAGGCCCTGGGACTAGAGATAGGCTAATAAGGTTTACATGGGTTTAGAGATTCAAACTCAGGTTCTATACTTGCAGAGCAAATGTTTCACACTGAGACTTTCCCACTCCCCACAAACCCCACGTTAGGTGCCCACTCACCGGGATGAGAGCACCCTGGGCATCTTTGCAGCCACACCGAATTCTGAGCATACACTTGTCCTTATGCAGCACGTAGCCAGATCCACAGATGCAGCCCTCCTTGCAGGTGGAGGGGCCTTTAGGGCTGATGCTCCTACAGAGGCCATCTGGGTCCGAGCAAGAAGGCAGGCAGGAGGGAAGGCAGCTGGTGTAGAGGGTATGGGCTGGACACTGCAGAGCTTTCGGATGGAGAGAGCATGCGGTTAGTGGGTAGGAATAGAATGGTGTAAGGAAGCAGAGGAAACCAGGCTATGCCAAATGACCCACAGAACTTGGGAATTTCCTGTTGTTTCCTTTTCTTTTTTCTTTTCTTTTTTTTTTTTTTTTTAAGATTTATTTATTGTGTATACAATATTCTGTCTGCATGTCTGCCTGCAGACCAGAAGAGGGCACCAGATCTCATTACAGATGGTTGTCAGCCACCATGTCATTGTTGGGAATTGAACTCAGGACCTCTGGAAGAGCAGTCAGTGCCCCTTAACCACTAAGCCATCTCTCCAGCCCTCCTTTTGCTATTTCTTTAGCAAACATTTACCGCGCATGGGGAATGTGCCAAGTTCTAAGGAAAGAAACTACGAAGAGTGGATCTTGGACTGGAGAGTGTTTAACTCAGTGGTCATATTGCTTTCTGCTCTTGTAGAAGATTTGAGTTCAATTCTCAGCATCCACATTGAGTGGCTTACACCATCCTGTAATTTCAGCACTGGGGGATCCAACACACACACACACACACACACACACACACACACACACACACACACACACGCCTTTAAAAAGAAAGAAGAAAACAAGTAGTAAGAGGAAGATCTCCCAAATCTGTGTAGAAAACTAAGATCTGAGAAAGTAACATTGAGAAAGGATATGGTCCAGCCATGGATTCCCAGAATCCTTCCCCACTGTGGAACCCCTAAATTCTCAGAATGTGGGGACTAAGCTTCTTCTTGCCCTTTCTCTGGTCCCTCCAGCCATGAGCACACCCTCCTCAACTTTCTCCCACAGCTCCCTTACTGATTTTGGTGCAGTTACTGCTGCCATCATTGCTGTCCTTGCAATAGGTCCCTTGGGGACACTGGAAATCCCGGCACTGGATGACACCTCCCATGCAGGTACAGCTCTGGGTACAGCCCCGAGAGGTCCAGGTCTTGCCTGCCTGCAGAAGCCACAGGAAGAGAAAGGGAGTGAGAACTTGTCAGGGTCTTCTCAAGAGACAAGTTCACAGCCTGAATGGATTACCTACACATTCCATCTGCAGGTTCCCTGTCTACTGAGTCAACCATCCACAGGTGGAAGACACTGGATTTCAAAATTGCATTCAAGGACTAGAGAGACGACTGAACATTTAAGAGCACTTGCTGCTCTATTACAGTATCAAAGTTTAGACTCCTGTACACACATCGGGACCCTCAAAACTATAACTCTAGTTCCGGATTATCTGACAGTCTCTATTAGCCTCTTCAGACACTTGTACTCACATGCCATGCATTCACACAGACACTCAGATATACACATAAACAAAATTTATAAAATCTTTTTAAAAATTGCATTTGCTGCTGGTGGATGCAGTTCATTGGTAGAAGGTCTATGTAGAACCCCCCTACCCCCAGTGAGGAGTTGAGGGCAAGGCTCAGCAGTAGATTGCTAGCCTGGAACCCTCAAATGAGTAATTGCCGTGTGGTAGAGAGTTACATCCCTTGCCTGGAACCTCATGGGTGACTCACATGTAGAGTACTAGTCCACTGAGTGCCAGGCCCTGATCAGGGTTCACACTCCAGGGCTAGCCATTCAGACATGTACATCCCAGACTCCGTGAAGCAGAGGGAATGAGGAAGGGAACTCCAAACCCGTTCTCCACACCCACTCACCGGGATGAAGGTACCCTGGGCATCTTTGCAGCCACACTGAATTCTGGGTATACATTTGTTCTCATTAAACACGAAGCCTGGCTCACAGACACAGCCCTCCTTGCAGGTGGAGGGGACTGTGGTGCTAACACCCTCACAGTTGTCATCCACGTTGGGACAGGAAGGTAGACAGGAGGGAAGGCAGTTGGTGAATAGGCTGTGGTCTGGGCACTGCAGAGCTACAGGGTAGAGGGAGAGTGGGTTAGTGGAGAGGCCCAGAGGGGGCTTGAGGAAGCAGAGGCTACAGAAACCAGAGGACTGCTAAAGAGAATTTAAACATAGGTTGTTTTTGTTTTTCCCCACCATTTACTGGCCACAGCCTGTGTGCCAAGCTCCTAGGAAAGAAAGTAAGAATAACGTATCTTCTAGGTTATTGTGGGTACTAGCCTTGGAGACGCCATGACTGAGAAGCACCCAGCCTGGAAGCACCAGTCCTCACTGTGATGCCTCCTGCCCTGACTTCTGAGGCCCAGGTGAGTTCCTTCTTGCCCACCCCTGATCTGTCCAATCATCCTCAGCCTCCCTGCTCTTTTCCTGTGGCTCTCTCACTGATTTTGGTGCAGTTACTGTTGCCGTCCTCGATGTCCTTGCAGTAAGTCCCTGGAGGGCACTTGAAATTCCTGCAGTGGATGACTCCTCCCACGCAGGTACAGATCTGGGTGCAGCCTCTGTTGATCCAGGTCTTATCTTCCTGCAGAAGCCACGGGGAGAGAAAGGAAGTGAGGGCAGAGGGACTGGCTAGAGGACAAAGGCTTCATCTCTCTGAAGTGCTGACCTTTGCCCTTCCTATCTGCAGATTTCTCACCCATTTAGTCAACCTGACACTGATGGAGAATTTGGGGGGGGGAGTGACTTGGGTGATTGGTAGAGCACCTGCCTTGGTGGCCTGGGAGCACAGCTCTGTTCATTTGGCTTCTGGCTACACACAGTCTCTCTCTAGCGGGGATTCAGCTGTGCAGGCTCAGCTACAGAGCACTTGTCTAGCATGTCCCAGACTTGATCAACCTTCACACTCCAAGGCAACCATGTGTACAGACAGGTGCATTCCAGGTGCAAGAAATAGAAGAAAAGAGCAAGCCGCCCCAACCCCACTTTTCAAAACAACCTTTGTGTGTGTGGGTGGGCTTTGTGGGACTAGGGCACATTTACCTGTAGAGGTCAGAGGATGACCTCCTTCCACTCTGCACTGAGACAGCTCGCCCTCCTCTTTTCTTTTTACTGTCATCCTTCTCCACGAACACACAAAACTAGCTAGCTTTCAAGTTTCTAGGGATTCTCTTGTCTACCTTCCATCCGGCTACCCAGTCAGTTTACATGGGTTGTGGAGATCCAATCTCAGGTCCATATTCTTTTGGTGTATGTACTTTACACACTAAGCCATCTCCTTATCCCTGGCCCTCCCACTCACCACACCCACTCACCGGGATGAGAGTACCCTGGGCATCTTTGCAGCCACACAGAATTCTGAGCATACACTTATTTTTATGCATCACAAAACCAGATCGGCAGACACAGCCCTCCTTGCAGATGGAGGGGGCTTTAGTGCTGGTGCCATCACAGTGGCCTTCAGGGTCCAAGCAGGAAGCCACACAAGAAGGTAGGCAGTTGGTGTACAGGCTATGGGCAGGGCACTGCTCACCTATTGGGTAGAGGGAGAGTTGGGTTAGTGGAAAAGATTAGAGGGGCTTAAGAAACAGTAGCTACAGAAACAAGGTGGGGTCAAATAGCCAACTGTGCTTTGAGATTTTTACCCCTCCCGTATTATTCATTCAGCAAACATTAACTGAGCATGGGATGTGTGATGGGAGATGTAATTCTGTAAATATGTTTCTCATACTGGTTTCTGATATTGTTGACCAATAGGAAAACAAGATAGATGGGACTAGGAGACAAGGAGGATTTGAGGAAGTAGTAAGGAGGAGTCAACATGGAGAGACTAGAGAGACAACACCAGCCCACTCTCCGGTAAGATGAGACGCACCGCGGTGGGTCCAGGCTGGCAGGGAAAACCCACTCCTTACATATGGCTCTGCAACGTGGCGAATAAGAACTTCCATTTGAAACTTAATAGAAACTTAAAAGGGTTTTAGAAACCAAAAAACAGAGAAAGGCAAGGCTTCTTGGTAACAGCATTTTTCTCAGTTGGACTCTGTTTTGCTAGAGACAAACAGAGATTTGTACAGCTCCTTTAAGGAAGGTTTCCTGACTCAGCATAAGCGGCAAAAAACCGCAAGGCTTTTAAGAAACTCTGCTAACAATTTATTGGTGTGTATCAGAGCTGGCAATGGCAGTGACCACATCTCCAAGCCGGCAGCATGCTGCTGGATGGCAGCATAGACCAAGACAGTGAGCACAGCTCTCAGTTCTGGCAGTAAAGGTCCACCCGCTGCCATCTTGGATAGACTGCGGCTATGACTTTAATTTTAGCAATGTTGTTGTTTACCAAATAAAGACTCGTGGCCAGAAAAAGATAAAGATTTACAGTAAAGACAGATTCACATTAAGAAAAACTTCTAAAGATTTATAGTGTGTTTTAAAATATACGTAGTCTTAGAAGAGAAAAAGACAGAGAGGTTTTAAAAAGACAGAGAGGAGCTGGGTGTGGTGGCACGCGCCTTTAATTCCAGCACTTGGGAGACAGAGGCAAGCAGATCTCTGTGATTGCAGAGTAAACCTGGTATGCAGAGTGAATTCCAGGACAGATAAAAGTTACACAGAGAAACCTGTCTCAAAAAATGAATAAATAAAAAGTAAAAGAAACAGAGTAATAAAAAAAGCCAGGTAAAAATGGAAAGCACAGAAAAACTGTGGATACTATACACTACTCTGTTGTCTTTAAATTGTTTGACTGCTGAGGAAATAACAACTGATAAAAGAAATGCTGCTGGATTAATTCAATTTATATATTTTAAAAATGCTTTGACTCCAAAATTTAAGTCTAAGGACAAGTTACTGGGGAAAAGGATTTCTATTTTTGTTTCCACAGAAAATGAAAAGCTGTGGATTCTTCCAGACAAGTGTGGTTTGAGCAAGCCAGACCACCTGAAACAGAGTACCAGGTGATCCTACATTCAAAACAGCTGGGACAGGGCAGCCTTGCAGACTACAGCCAGGATTTCTGCATCTCCTTAGGATCTCCCATGACAGTGCCCTTTACCAGCAGGAAGTAGTTTGGAAAGAACAACGCCCAAATTCCCAAATGTTGTTTATGTTTGTTTTCATTTAAATGGGGTTGGTTATAAATGGTTAATGACCACAACCAATCTCTTTTTAAAGGTAAAAAGGGGATATGTATAGATATGAATACTTTGTTTTGGAATGGATTTTCATTTATTGATACAATTTAACGTCAATTTTGTGATATGTATATTTCTCCCCTTGTTTAGGTATTGTGTAGAAATGTAATGTATAATTCAATACAGATTATAGATAGTACCTATTTTATCAGATCTTATAGTGAAGTTAGTTAAGATTTCTAGATATATAGACATGTATTTGAGATAAATAGGCATTCTTCAAACCTTTCAAAGACCTGCAGAATATGGCATTTAAAATGGTTTAGGGTTTTTCTTGACACTGCTCCTGGCAATACCACCTTCATCAGAAAGGAAGATGGACCTTGAAGAAACGCAGTTATGGAGTTTGCCTCAAGTATGACAAGACTAGCCATTTGGGTAAGACACTGCTCTTGTCTGGACTGTTTGACCTTATGCTGTATAAACTGGACATGCAGGACCCACAGGAAAGTGACTGCTGATTCAAGATGAACAGTGTTGCGGACACAGAGAAAAGTGACTGACAAATTGCCAATACAAGAAGACAGTTTAAACTTTCCTGCTTTGCTGAAGAGTCTGCCAGACACACTATTGCCTATGGGCTGAAGATGAAAGATTGCAGAAGAACTTCAGGTGACTGATCAGGTAGTGAGTTGTCTCTGTCATTTCTAGAGTTTATATATTATCCTTCTGTGGTCTTTGAGGGTGTTGAAGACAAATAGTTATGGTTATAGTTTTCCTTAGTTAGGATTAAAGATAAGTTACATAGACTTTAGAAACACAAAGATAGGATAGATGATGGAATATTTTCTTCAAATCTTGCTAAATGTTAATGGACTAAATATTGTTAACTGTGATTCTTACTTGATAAGTGTTGTGTGATATATTTTGCTATGTTAAGGTTAAAACCCTTCTTTTTATTTAGACAGAAAAGAGGAGATGATGGGAGATGTAATTCTGTAAATATGTTTCTCATACTGGTTAATGAATAAAGCACTGTTGGCCAATAGGAAAGCAAGGTAGGCGGGACTAGGAGACAAGGAGGATTCGAGAAAGTAGTAAGGAGTCAGCATGTGGAGACTGCAGAGAACAGTGGCCCGGGCCCATTCTCCGGTAAGATGAGACCACGTGGAAATACTTAGATTAATAGAAATGGGTTAATACTTAAGACAGAGCTAGCCAATAAGAAACAAGTAACTGGCCAACAGCATTATATCTAATACAGTGTCTCTGTGTGTTATTTGAGGCTGGTGCCTCAGAGGGTCCAGACTGGCGGCGGGGGGGGGGGGGGGAGGGACCTACTCGCAACAGATGTGTGCCAAGCCCCAAAGTAATAAAATGGATTTTGCAAGTCAACATGGGAGACTAACCATGAAGAGGCTAACACCAAGAAGAGACCCAGTTGAGCAGTGAGGCCCCAGAGTCTCTCTACTCTAACCCCCACCCTAATGGCCCAGGGAACTAAGCCCCTTCTTGCCGTGCCTCTGATCCCTTAGTCATGAGCAAACCCCTTCCACCTTCCCCCAAGGTGGCTCCCTTACTGGCTTTGGCACAGTTACTGGTGTCACCCTCAGTGTCCTGGCAGTAAGTCCCTGAGGGACACTGGAATTCCTGGCATCGAATGACCCCTCCCATGCAGTTACAGCTCCTGGAACAGCCTCTGGAGATCCAGCTCTTGCCTGCCTGAAGAAGCCATGAGAAAAGAAAGTGAGGAAGGAGGGCTGCTTTAGGGCGGCAGTCTCACCCACTATGCGAAGGGCTTCAGTCTGCCCTCTGGGGCTAGCAGTACAGTTAGGTGTATAGTGCCTGCCTAGAATCCTCCTGTGGGGGACTAGAGAATGGCTCACCTGGAGACTCTAATCCCTATTGAGGGGATGGGGAATGCCTCGGTGTTAAAGCTGAGGTCTAGAAATTGGGAGCCCGGTGTGTAGGTTATCCACAGAGTACCAGAGTAGGGCTCAACTGACAGGCAAGGGTGGGAGGTGGTGGTGGGCATGTACTGGAGATAGAGCACCTGCCTAGAATCCCCCAGTGAGGGGCTGGGGTATTACTTAGCAGTAGAACACGTACCTAGACTCCTCCAGTCAGGGCATAGAGGAGTGGCTTCTTGGTAGTGAGCCTGCCTAGCCTATGGTAAGCCCTGACCAACCAGGGAAGGACATTCCAGGTGGAGAGAAGCATGGCAAACTAGAATGTGGCCACGAAACCCTTTTTTTTTTTTTTAAAAAAAAAAAAATATTTGTATGTGTTTGTGTATGTTTTTGTGGGGGAGTGATTGGGAAAGTACTTACCCGTTGAAGCCAGAGGACAAACTAGCTTTGACTCATACCTTCTATTTTGTGTTGTGATAGCCGCCCCCCCACACACACACACCTCTTTCTCTGATGTGCTTCTCCACAAAACTAGCTAGCTCCAACTTTGTGAAGATTCTCCTTCTGCCACCCACCAGCAGGAACTTTAAGAGAACTATTGCACTTGTGTGTGTGGGCTGTGGTCACTCAAGCCCGATCCTCATCCTTGCAGCCTGATGGCTGCTCTTGGTTGTTAGCTTGACTACATCTGGAGTGAACTAAAACCCAAATGAATGGGCCCACTTGTGAGGGCTTTAGTTATTTTCTTAATTGAATCATTTGAAGTGGGAAGACCTGCTTCTAATCCATCCTAATCCAGATCTTTGAGGTGGGACGATACACCTTCTAGACTATACCTTCTGTTGGAAGCCTATCTAAAAGACATGGAAGAAGAAAGTTCTCTCTCTCACTCCCTCTCTCTCCCCATCCCCCCCCCCCCCCGCCTGCTTGCTCTCACTGGAAAATCTTCTCCTTCACTGAAGAGCCTCCTTCTTTGGGATTCTGGCATATACTGAAGATCAGTTGAGACATCCAGCCTCACAGACTGAACAAACTATTGGATTCTTGGACCTTCCATTCATAGACAGCCACTGTCGAATTAGACTTTTAGGCTTAAGACTTCCCGTGTAAATCATTCTAATAAGTCCTTTCACTATCTAGAGAGATTCATTCCACAGAGAAGCCTGACTAATTCACACCCACTGAGCCCTCTCAAACCTACTTTCTATGCCAACTCACTGGGATGAAGACACCCTGGGTGTCTTGGCAGCCACACTCAATTTTGAGCATACACTTGTTATTATTTAGCACGTAGCCAGGCTGGCAGACACAGCCCTCCTTGCAGGTGGAGGGGTCTTTGGTGTTGGCGCCCTCACAGTGTCCTTCCGGGTCCACACATGAAGGCAGGCAGGAGGGAAGGCAGTTGGTGTACTGGCTGTGCGCTGGGCACTGCAGAGCTAGGGAGTGGAAGAGTGAGGTTAGTGGAGAAAACAGGCAGACCATGGAAACCAGGCTGGGCAGGGTGGCCAGGAGAGCTCGCCCCCCGCCCCTTGCCTGCGCTTTCAGCAAACATTCACTGATGTGGGTTGTTTGCCAAACCATGAGAGAAGAAAGCAAGAAGACTGTGGGGAAGTAGCCATTTAGAAACCAACCCTGAGAAGGGATTTGTCCCAGCCCAACATGGGTCACCAGAACCTTTCTTACTATGGTAGCTCTTATCCCTGGGCTTTGAGGCCCAAACCAAGATCCTCCTTGCCCTGCCTCGCTGGGCCCACCTTGCCCACGGCTCCCTTACTGATTTTGACACAGTTACTGCTGCCATCATTGTCGTTCTTGCAGTAAGTCCCCGAGGGACATTGGAAGTTCCGGCACCTGATGGCCCCTCTCGTGCAGGCACATGTCTGGGTACAGCCCGTGGACATCCAAGTCTTGCCTGCCTGCAGAAGCCAGGGAATGAGAAGTAAGTGGAGACTGAGTGGGTGCCCTAGTGAGTCAGGCTTAGCCACATGCCTGAAGGGTTTACATATGCTCTCCCTATATTCAATCTCCAAATATACTCAGTCAAGCAAGCACCAGTAGAAGATGTCTGATTTTTAAAAGTGGCATTTGGGGCTGTAGATTTTGGTTCAGAGACACAAGGCCCATGTAGAATTCCCCAGTGAAATCTAGGGGTGTGGCTAAGCAGTACACTGCTTGCCTAGAATCACATTAGGCAGGTTATGCTGCATGGCTTCAGGGTTAGAAGGGTTGCTGAGAACCCAGTATTACAATGCTGGGGGCAAGGCGCATCTTTAGAGCATTTGCCTGCTGTATACCAGGTCTTTATATTCCAGAGCCAGCCATACAGACAGGAACATCCCAACGAGAGAAGCACAGGGAAGGAGGAAGGTACCCCAAACCCAGTCTCCACACCCACTCACTGGGATGAAGGCACCCTGGGTATCTTTGCAGCCACAGTGAGTTCTGGGTACACACTTGTCCTTATCAAGCACAAAGCCAGGGTGGCAGAGGCAGCCTTCTTTGCAAGTGGAAGGGACTTTGGGGCTTGTGTCCTTGCAGCGGCCATCCAAGTCAGAGCAGGAAGGAGGACAGGGGGGAAGGCAGTCGGTGTAGAGGCTGTGGGCTGGGCACTGCAGAGCTACAGGGAGGAGGAGAGATGGGTTATTGGAGAGATTCAGAGGGGCCCATGGAAGCAGAAACTACAGAAACCAGACTGGGCGGAATAACAAACAGATCTGGGAACATTTTCATCCTTTTGTTACTCACTTAGCAACCATTTACTGAGTGTGGGCTATGTGCCAAGCCCCTAGGAAAGAAGATGGATCTCCCAAGTTAATGTGGGAGACTAATCATTTAGAGATTTAAATTGAAAAGGAACACAGCCCAGCCGTGCATCCCCAGAATCCCCCTCTATGGTGGTATTTCCTGTCCTCCACCTCTTAGGCCAGGAGACTAAGCATCCTCTTGCCTTGCCGTTGACCCTGCTAGTCATGAGCACCCTCTTTCTACCTTCCCCAGGGCTCCCTTACTGATTTTGATACAATTACTGCTGCCATCTTCATTGTCCAGGCACTGAGCTCCCGAGGGACACTGGAAGTTCTGGCACTCAATAGCCCCTTCAATGCAGACACAGTTCTGGGTGCAGCTACTGGAGATCCAGTTCTTGCCTTCCTGCAGAAGCCATTTGCAGTGAAATTCAGTGAGGCAGGGGAACTGCTCCTGGGGAGACAGCCCCCCTCCTGCTGACAGACTTGCCCTCTCAGTCTGCAGGTTTCACCCCTACTGAATCAGTAAGCCACAGATGGGAAAATATGCTTAAAAATCTGCAGCTGAGGCTAGGGGTGGCCCTCAGTGAAGAGCTTCTATGTGCAGTTCTCCATCAAGTGGCTGGGGATATAGCTCAGGCCCTGACCAACTTTCATACTCTGGCACCATTCCTAGAGGGAAGTTCATTCCAGACAGAGAGAAGGAATGAAAAGGAAAACGGTGGCCCCCAATCCTACTCTCTACACCACTCACCGGGACGAAGACACCCTGGGCATCTTTGCAGCCACAGTGAGTTTTGAGCACACACTTGTCATTATTCAGCACATAGCCAGGTTGGCAGATGCAGCCCTCCTTGCAAGTGGCAGGGACTTTGTGGCCAGAGCCCTCACACCGGCTGTCTGGATCCAAGCAGGAAGGTGGACAGGAGGGAAGGCAGTTGGTGTAGTGACTGTGAGCTGGGCATTCCAGAGCTATGGATTAGAGGTAGAATAGCATCACTTAAGAGGGCCCGGGGAAGCAAAGGCTGCAGAAACCAGGGTGGGGTAGATCATCACCATAACTTGCCTCCCCTTTATTATCCATTTAATACTGACTATGGGCTGTGTGCTTAGCCCTGAGGAAATAAACAAACAAACAAACAAACAAATAAGGTTCTTTTAAATTAACATGGGGAACTTATTCAGATCAATCACCAATAGAAGTGATCTTCATGTCCTCAGTCTTCCTATGCTTACTAGCATAGAATCACAGTTGAGCACCAGGTATAATGGGGCCACAGGGCAGGGAGGGGAAACTTTCAAAGAATTTAAAATGGTTTTTAAGGGAAACAGCTAGGCATGGTGCCTCATAGCTCTGTACTTGGAGTACAGAGGCAGGAGGATCCAGAACCAAGGCTATGCTTGGCTGCACAAGTGAGTTTAGCAATGGAGAGACAGAGCTGAAGAGCTATCCCAGAGAGTAAAAGTGCTTGCAATCAAGCCTGAGGACCTGATACAGTGGGAAGAGAGAATTAACCCCCCAAAGTTGTCTCTGACATCCACATGTGTGTTGTTACATGTGTGCACACATGTACACACACACACACACACACACACACACACACACACACACACACTAAATAATGTAATACACAAAGCAAAACAGAGAGTGACCAAGTGGATTATATACTGTGTTCATGGGTAGGGAGAGCCAGCAATGTGCTGTTCGTGTCAGTTTTCCCTCAGCTAAGTAACTTGCTTTCCCCCCAGACCCTCACAGAGAGACTCTAGGCTCTGCCCCTGAGCTATACTCCGGGTCTGGCTGACTTAGCATGTGTATTATATCAGATATCATAATCCATCTAGAGAGGGTTGAAAGTATATTGAGGGTGTACATAGGTTCCATGCAGACTCTATGCCATTTTATGAAAGGGGCTTAAACATCCTCAGATGTTGCCACCCTTGGTGTTCCTGGACCCAATCGGACCCCTGCTGATATGGACAATTATAAATGATAAAACTAAAGTTTTAGTCATCCCTTGCTTTGCATTTTAAGATATCTTGTGTGTGTGTGTGTGTGTGTGTGTGTGTGTGTGTGTGTGTGTGTGTAATATGTATAAGGGTGCTCACAGAAGCCTGAAGAAGGTATTAGATGCCCTGGAGATGGAGTCACAGGGGATTGTGAGCCACCTGATGTGGATGTTGGGAATTGAACTTGGGTCCTCTGCAAGAGCCCTTAACTGCTGAGTCAGTCATCTTTCCAGTTCCATGTTCCAAAAATTGAAAGATTCTTGATTTATGGTGAGGGTTACACAATTACAGAGATCCTAAAAGTGTTCTTACCTACTAAGTCATCTCTAGCCTTCTTGTTTGTTTGTTTGTTTAGTTACACAAATGAGCCCGGCTTGGTGGCACAAGAGGAACAGATACTCAAGGTCATGTTTGGCTGCCTAGCGAGTGTGAGGCCAGTCTGGGTGGATGACTATAAGGAATCAGTATTTTCCAGACACAACAGGCCATTTGCATATGTGAACCCACAGTGGCTGTCACAACATGCACAAGGCCTGTACAAGTTCAAGCCCAAGGAAATCTCAGCATGGAGAAGGGAAATGGGCATGGTCTCCTACCCCTAGCTGAAGGACTACTGGCAATAATGTTTGCTGGGAGACAGAGTCAGTTCTCTTTAAGGATATGTGGCCCCTGGGCGTCGCCTACACTCCAGTGATTCCTACACACCCAAAAGTAAACGTAAATTAAGAACAAAACTGACTCAATTGTTTAAAAAAAAAACTCTTAGAACTGAGTGGATAGGTAGACCTGGGTGAGTTGGGGAAGGGGGTGAATATGATCAAAATAAGTATATATAAATGTCTTATTATTTTTATTTATCTAAAATTACATATAATACATATAAGTGTGTATGTATACATATATAGTTTCAATGACATTGTGTCACTTGGGCAGACAATGCTCCCCACAAGAGCAATAGACTAACAAAAACCCCAGAATCAGGTGTGAGAAAGCCCTTTGAAGTTGTTGGACAGGGACATCCAAAAAACTCCTAAAATAATATAGGCTATTGTCTTTGGTTGCCCTCCAAAGGTAAAGGTAAATCCCTCTGGTTGAAGATACATGCACTTAGGATACAATACTCGAGGATCTGAGCTGGATCCTACCCAGAAGCCTCCTCCCTGAGGACTAGCTTTCATTGTACCAACAGGTGCTGTAGGGGTTTGAAGAAAGGAAACAACCAATAATTCTACCCAGCTGCGGCATCTATGACTCACAACAATGAAAGCTATCCTATGTGTACAATAGTGGCACTTACATCTTGGTAATGACCGACAACTGTCTAATTAGACTTAAGTCCTGCTCAACAAGGGGGAAAGTATGGTTGATACTGATGACTGGCCTGAAGCTAGTGAGGTCCTAGCTCTTACAAAAGAATCTACCATTTTACTAAGCCAGAATAATTTTAACCTGCAATTCTAAATACCTATCTTTATATCCACAGAATGCCATAGCTATCATCTGTCACCAAAGAAACTTCTCTGTGCAGTAGATGGAGGTCATCTGCATCACAACTCCAGCAACTAAGGCTAAGGGGACAATGCAGAAGAAGGGACAAAAGGGTTGTAAGAGCCAGAGGACTAGGAAATCTGCTGGGAACAGGAAAGCTTCACTCGTGATCCTTCAACAATATGAGTGCCTAGGAAGACCTGCACGATCACACCACCGACAGACGTGCTAACACAGAAGGGGGAGTCTCATGGGGCCCCAGCCCTAGACAAAGAACTCCAGACAATGTAGGAGAAAGTTATCCCCAGAAATGACCCCACTGATTATCCATTACCAATTGGCCAGCCATGAAGTGTGTGTGTGTGTGTGTGTGTGTGTAAAACATTAAAAGGACTAAGTAAGTTGTATTTATATGTTTATGCATTTATATTGTGATTGTAAGAATGAAAGCAGAAAAAGAGGCCACATAATTTGAGAGGAAGGAAGGGCCCAGAACATGGAAGGAATTAAAGGGAGAAAGAGAAGTGGAAAAATGGTTGATTATATATTAATTTTCGTAAAAAGACAAGACAATGCCAGGCACGATGGCACACATCTTTAATCTCAGTGCTAGGGTGACAGAAGCAGGCAGATCTCTGTGAGTTCAAGGACAGGATGGTCTACAGAGTGAGTTCTTGAACAGCCAGAGCTACACAGTGGGACCTTGCCCCCCCCCCAAAAGCCAAAAGCTTAAAATTCTTCATAGTTTAAATTCTGAAATCTCTCAAAAAGTAAAACTTATAGTAGAAGATGTGTCTTTGCCAAGGCGCCTTCTGATTGGTTTAATTAGGAGCTGAATGAGCTGAATGACCAATGGGTAGGCAGGAAGAAGTTAGCCGGGACTTCAGGGAAGAGAGAAAACGAGATGAATCTAGGTGTGGGAGAGACACCAAGAAATGCAAGATGGAAAGAGAGGTTAAAAAGGCATGTGGGAAAGTGTAGATTAATATAAATGGACTAATTTAAGTTATAAGAACTAGTGGGATAAGCCTAAGCTATAAACTGAGCTTTCATAATTAATAATTAATCTCCATGTCATTTTTTGTGAGCTGGCAGCCCAAAGAAAAATCCATCTACAAAAACCAGAAAAGAACTACATAAAGTGTCCAGACAGCTAGGGATGTGGTTCAGTTAGTGGACCGTGAAGCCCTGGGCTCCATCCAAAGCTCATCCATCATAAAACCAGGCATGGTGGTGCAAGTTGGTAATCCCGGTACGCTGGGGGTCAAGGCAGGAGGATCAGGAGTTCATAGTAATCCTTGGTACACAGCAAGTTCAGGACAGAATTGTGTTATATGAGACCTGTCTCCTCCTCTTCTTCCTCCTCCTCAATATATAGAAAAGCACCCAGTCTAACCTGGAGAGGCAAAGAACTTTCCAGGGATGTGTATGAAGATGTACAATGTGTGGGGAAATTAGGTTTTTGGTGTGAGCTGCATGCAGATGAGAGGTAACAGAACCAAGACAGTCTTCAGGGGCTTAAAGTCATAGCACAGAATTTAAACTTAACTGCAAAGGCAGCAACCAGGCATGATAGCAATGACATTCCCTTTGGAAGAATTGCATTGGCAGGAGAGATGGAAACCAGAGAGGGGCTAGAGATACAGCTCAGTGATAGACTGCTTACCTATTATGAGAAAAGACCTAGGTTTCATCCCTAATAGTACAATTTAATTCATAAAATTCTTGTATTAGCTGACTGTCAGTCTGTAAGTGCTTTCCCACAAGCATGAAGACCCAAATCCAATCCCAAGAGCCCATGTGAAAGGCCAGACATGGTGGACAGTGCTTTTAACTCTGGTGCCAGTCAGGCAGAGACAGAAGGACCCCTGGAGATCACCAGCCAGCATACCCTTGGTGGCAGAGGTCCTCCTGAGAAACCCTATCTCAGAAAACAAAGCAGAGATTAGAAGATAGCACAGTTGGTAAAGTGTTTGCCATCCAAGCATAAGGACCCATGTTTCTTCTCCAGCACTCACTTAAAAATCTAGGCATGGTGCTAGAGGCAGACAGGCAGATCTGCTAGCCAGCCATTCTAGCTGGTCACTGAGCTCCAGGTTCAGTTATTTAAAAACATAAGGTAGGGAGATTAGAGAGATAATTAGTTGGGTGAGAGCACTTGCTGCTCTTCCAGAAGATTTTTCTCAACAGCCCCATCAAGTGGCTCATAACCACCTAAAGTCCTGGCACACACACACACACACACACACACACACACAGAGGCACATGCACACACGTACACACACATGCACACACACAATTGCTTTTCCAAAAATAAGGCAGAGCTAGGTGTGGTGGTGAATTCTTTTAATCTCAGCACTGTGGAAGCAGAGGCAGAGGCAAGCAGATCTCTGTGAATTCAAGGACAGCCTGGTCTGCATAGGTAATTCTGGAAACCAGGGCTACATAGTAAGTAAGATTCTGTCTTAAGAAAAGAAAGGAAGGAAGGAGGGAAGGACATCATGCATGATGTCAAAGTCTGACCTTCACAGACATGTTTACACATCCAAACACACATATCACACACACAGAGAGACAGTATTTTTAGGTTATAGTGTAACACACCTATTACCCTGGTGTTCAAGAGGCAAAGGCAGGAGGACCCTGAGTTTAGGCCAGCTTAAGCTACAGAGAGATATGTGGGGTTTGGGAGTAGCTACAGGGTGACCAGAGGGGACACTCACGGCAGAAGCTGCTGTTCCTCCAGATGGGTGGCTTGAGCCCCTGGTTCTGGCAGGCATCCTGGAAGGACTGCAGGGCCTCACAGAGGGCACGGAAGAGTTCTCGGAACTCACAGAAGTTGTTCATACATCCCAGCAGGAAGGGCTTGAGGGGTACCCGGGAAGCACACTGGACCCAGGTAGGCCCCTGGAGCACAGCTTGGCAGTTTTCTTGGGCTTTCTCGAAGTCGTTGGGCCTGCATTTTCCATTCATGATCTCCTGCTGTTCCACTTGAATGTTCTGCTCTTCGATTTTCTGGCAACTAGAATGGGAAAAGAAAGGGCTCAGAAGAGCTGGGCATGACGATATATGCCTGTGATCCCAGCGCTTGGAAGGGGTAAGGCTGGAGGGTCAGAAGTTCAAAGCTGAAGCTGGTGAGATAGTTCAGCAGGTAAAGCATTTGCCACCAAGCCTCAGGACCTGAGTTTAATATCTGGAACCTACATAATAGAAAGGGAGAGAAGGGACTCACGCAAATTGTCCTCTGACCTCCGCACGTGTACCATGGTCCATGTACACACGTGCAAACACAATTCATTCAATTAAAAGAAAATGTTTTAAGTTGCTCAAGGAGGCTGGAGAGATGACTCAGTGGTTAAGAATGTGTTGCTCTTGCAGAGGACCCAGTTTCAGTTCCCAGCGTCTACGGGATCCTTCACAGGCATCTATAACTCCAGTTTCAAGGGATGCAATGCCCTTTTCTGATCACAGAGGGCACCAGGGACACATATGGTGCATATACACATAATGCAATAGATAGATCTTAAAAAAAAAAAAAAAAAAGTTGCTGGGCTGTGGTGGTTCACGCCTTTGATCCCAGCACTTGGGAAGCAGAGGCAGGCAGATCTCTGTGAATTCAGGACATCATGATCTACAGATTGAGCTCCAGGACAGCCAAGGCTACAAAAACAAACCCTGTCTCAAAATAAATGAATAAATGAATGAATGAAAGTTAGTTGTTCAAGGTCATCTTTTGCAACAGATGAGTTTGATGCTGTCATGAAACAAAATTCTGCCTTAAACACACACACCCACACACACACCATATACATAAACTAAAATGGCGGTTGGGAATATAGTTCCAGGGTATGCCCTTGTCTAGCATGTCTGAGGTCCCCTGTACTACAAAATATAAAAGAAAGAAGATAAGTTTGGTGGTGCATGCTTGCAATTCCAGCACTCAGGAGGCAATGGCAAGAGGACATTGGTGAGATCAAGGCTAACCTGGTCAACTTATTAAGTCCCGGGCCAGCCAGGGCTCCACAATGAGAGCCTGTCTTGAAAGGGTGGACAGGAAGAAGGGAGGAGGAAACGAATGGAAGGGAAGAGGAGGGGAAGGAGGAAAAGAAGAGGCAGGAAGGAAGGGAAGTACAGGTGGCCAGACTTAGAGGACCATTACTTTGGGTCGATCTCCTCATCTTTCCAGCTATCCATGAACTCCTGCTCATCCTGGGCTAGTTCATCACTAGATGTCATGAGTTCGTCCTCTTCTTCACCATTGAAGTTCCCACACACACCGCAGACCTGGGAGGGCAGAGGGGAGTGGCTTTTCAGGGCTAAAGGGTAGCAAGGGATAAGTGTGTTTTTGTTGTTTGTTTGTTTGTTTGTTTGTTTTGGTGCTGGGGATGGAACCCAGAGCTTTAGTTAGGTGTTCTACCACTGATCTGCAGCCCTCATTGCCCATTCATTATTTTAAATTTTATTCTTTGAAGACAGTCTTCTGCAGCCTATGCTGGCCTCAAACTTGATGTGTAGTTGAGGATGATCTTAAATTACTGATCTTTCTGCCTCCAACTCCTAAGTGCAGGGATTACAGGCTTGTACCACTACACCGTATGTACAGGGATGGAAACCAGGGCTTCCTGGATAGTAGGTAGGCACTCTTCCAAAAGAAGGAAAACCTGGAGGTGAAGAGATAGCTCAGTGGTTAAAAGCACTGGCTGCTCTTCCAGTGGTCCTGAGTTCAATTCCCAGCGATCACATGGTGCTCACAACCAGCTATAGTAGGACCTGATGCCCTTTTCTGGCATAAAGGTGTACATGCAGATAGAGCACTCTTTTACAATCAATCAATCAATAAATCATAAAAAAGTAAAACCTATACCTTCTAGCTCTTGAGACATGGTCTCTCTGGATAGCGTGCAACATGCCACCCTCCTTCTTTAGCCTCTTAAATACATGGATTAGAGAGGTGTGTGCCAATATGACAGGCACTAAGGGCATTGTTCATTGATGCATACTTGCCATACCTACATAGAAAGGAACATTGGGCCTTCTTCTTCTATGCTGGGCAAGGCCACCTCCTCATCAGCATAGCCAGGTGTTTTCCTTCTCACCTTTCCATTAGAGGATGCAGGGATTTTGACATCTAAGAAACTGTTGCTCTCAAATTTGACTTGAACTTCATCCTTAATTGTAACAATGGTATAGACGTCTTCAGTGGTGATGCTGACTCCTGGGATCTGGGTCATGGCAGGAAGGGTGACCTGTGTGTCATTGATCTGAAGAGGAAGACAGAACCATGAATAGATGGAGCAACCAGAGGCCTCTTCTCCTAGGGTTCATTCCTCCTTCTCAGCCCGACACTGAACCCAGCTCACCAGGACTAAATGGTTTTTTTGCAGAGTTACTCGGAAGCTGAATATGTCAATGTATATCTGATAGACACTGAAAGTCTTGGTTTTACTGCGGGTATCCTTGTCAATCTTGGCACTGATCGTGAAGAAAGGCAGGTTCGTGTTGGGGTGGCACACTTTGACCAAGATGTAAGTACACATGTCTTGGATAGGATGGCTATGGCCATCGAAGCTCACGATCTGAGAATCCTCTGAGACGTGACACTCTCCCATCTCTATGGAGAAAGAGGAGACTGCGGGATCATTCCAAAATCCCTAGGAACACAGTCCATCCTGCTCTCTGCCTGGTCCAAGCCAGAGAGCCCCAAGAGAGAGGAGGAGGACCACATTTAAGATAAGAATCAAAGTCTGAGGATCTTAGGGCATAAGGCTTGAGGGCTGGTAGGTTGTAAGTCACACAGCTAGGGACTTATAATATGCTATGTGTGCAAGTGGCCCCCATAAGCTCATAGAGAGTGGCACTATTAGGAGGTGTGGCCTTATTGGAGGGAGTGTGTCACTGTGGGGGTGGGCTTTGAAGTCTCCTTTGCTCAAGCTACAATCAATGTGACAGACAGTTCACTTCCTGTTACCAGCTGATAAAGATGTAGAACTCTGAGCTCCTTCTCCAGCTCAATGTCTGCCTGCATGTCATCACCATGAAGATAATGAACTAAATCTCTGAATTGTAAGCTAGCCCGATTAAATGTTTTCCTTTATAAGAGTTGCCTTGTCATGGTGTCTCTTCACAGCAATTGAAAACCTAAGACACCGTAGGAGAGTAGGTAAGGGGCCAGTGAGACTGGTGAACAGGTAAGGACGCTTGCAGCCAAGTCTGAAAACTTGAGTTTGATTCCTGGAGCCCACATGGTGGAAGAAGACAACTGGTTGGCTTGAGTTGTTCTCCATAAGCACAGGTGCATGCCCACTTCCCCACACAAAATCAATAACTAAATGTGACTTTTTAAAAATTAAAGAAAGAGCTAGGTGTGGTGGTACATGCCTATAATCCCAACACTTGGGAGGTAGACCCAGAAAGATCAGAAGTTCAGGATCAGCCTAGAGTGGGGGTGAGGGGTTGGCAGTTGAGTTCTGCCACGGTCCTTCAGGTACAGCCAGGCTATGTCAGCCTCCACAACAGGGGACATCGGGAGGAAATGTGGAGGACTGGGAAAGCTGCTCCCCGTGATCGCAGGTTCCCTTGCAGCGTGGCCCTGCTCACCTGCAGCACAGCGCAGCAGCCCATCCTGGCGCAAGCACACTTGGTTGGCCTCACAGGCCGTGGGGCTGCAGGTGACATTGCTGTGGCCCGAGCACGTGCAGAGGGTGGTGCAGGTCTTCTCTGTGTACCAGCTCTCCCCCAACTGTGGGGCATGGCCATCATCAGCAGAGCCAATAGGAAACTTGGAAACTGGAGATGGGTGGAGCCCTCCCCAACCCAGAAGGGTAACTGTATTTGGTCCCTTCCCTTTCCCCATCTTTCTCCCTTCCTTCCCTCCCTCCTTCCCTTCTTCTTCCTATGCTCCCTCCCCCTTCCTTCCTTTTCTCCCTTCTCGTCCTTCCTCCCCCACTTCTGTTTGCCTTCTATTTGCCCATCCATCTTTCCTTTGAGACGGGGTCTCACTATGTAGCCCACGCTGCCCTTGAGCTCACCGACCCTCCTGTTTCAGCCTTCCAAGTGCTGAGATTCCAGGTGTGCACCCCACACCTGGCTCTCCATCTCCATTTTCCCAGCCTCTCAAAATCTAGCCTTTCTCCTCGCCCCCAGCTCCGTCCTGCCCCACCTTTTCTTGTGCTCCGAGTCGTCCACCTTTCTCTTGCCTCCCCATGCCCACATGAAGCCAGAAAGGGAGAGTACCCCCTGCCATACGGCCTCTCACCAGGTGGTAGGAGCCGCCCTGGTCGCTGCAGCCACACTGTCTGAGGGGCACACAGGTGGTTCCACTCAGGATGTGGCCTTTCTGGCATTCACAGCCCTCGACACAGGGCAGGGCTGGACAGTCTTTTGGGGTGCTGAGGGTGAGGCAGGTGGCTGGGCAGGGGTTGGCACATGGGTTGTAGCTGCTCCCGGGTGGGCACCTCAGAGCTAAGAAGAACACAAATGTTAAGAAAGGCAGAATGGCAGGGCTAGCTCCTGACCTTGGGGTAACAGCTCCTGGAAAGATTCACTGATGAGTGAGGAACCCTGGTCTACCTATGTGATTGGTTTTTAAATCTTTATCTTCATTTGAGATAGGGTCTCATGTAGCCTAAGCTAGCCTTGAACTCGCTATATAGTCATATATGACCTTTAATTCTCGATTCTCCTGCCTCCATCTCCCCAGTTCTAGGATTACAAGTATATGTCACCTTGTCCTGTTTTATTAATTGATTAACTGGTTGACCAGTGCAGGCTACAGTTCTGTAGCCCAAGCTGGCCTCAAACTCATAGTCCTCCTTATTTCAGCCTCATAACTGCTGCAGTTACAGGCATGAACGACCACATAGGGCTCTCACGGCTCTACAATGAATCATTATTTAGCCTTCCAATGCAAGTATGACACAGGCTGGCCTCCAACCGTCCCTCCTCCTGCCTCTGCCTCCCAAATACAGGGATTACAGGTCAGCACCTCTAGCCCAGACTTGTGTCCACTTGTTGGCTGTGACTTTTGCGGGAGAATTTTGGTTCAAATAAGTTACTGTTTCCTGTACACATGCAGGACTGGATTGCAGGTCAGATGGTAGATCTACTTTACTTTTAGGAACTGCCATACTGTTTTCTCCAACCGGTTCAAATGGATTTAACTCTATGGCAGTGGATCTGCCTAGGATACACAAAACCCTGGGCTTGATCCTTAGCACTACAAAGAGGGAAAAGGAGAGCTTTAGGTCTCGAATCTCAGCAGGCAAGAAGCTGTTTGAGAATACCCTAGACTGTACAGAGAGTTCAAGGCCAACTGGAGCTACTTAACAACGCTCTGTCTCAAACTCCAAACAAATGTAATTGGGAAGATGGCCAAACAGGTAAAGTGTTTGCTAAGTAACTGAGGACTAGAATTGGGTACCCTAGTGGATGTGGTTGTCTACCTGTAATCCCACATTTCAGGAGGCTGAGACAAGGGATCCCAGGGGCAAGCTGGCTAACTAGTCTAGTCTGTGGAAAAGCTCCAGGTTTATTGAGAGATCCTGTCTCAGCAAATAAAGTGGAGAAACATCAAGGGAGACACCTGGGGTCAACCTCTGGTCTACACACACACACACACACACCTGCATACATGTGTGCCCGCCCATGAATACACAGGGGCCAGTAATGGATCAGGAAGTAAATGTGCTTGCTGACAGCGTGTTGACCTGGGTTTGATCCTCAGAACTGTCATGATGGAAGGAGAGAACCAATTCCTGCAAGTTGTTCTCTGAGCTCCACAAGCACACAATGGTTTGCACATAAATGCACACATGAAAGAAAGAAAGAAAGAAAGAAAGAAAGAAAGAAAGAAAGAAAGAAAGAAGGAAAGAAAGAAGGAAGGAAGGAAGGAAGGAAGGAAAGAAAGAAAGAAAGAAAGAGAGAGAAGGAAAGAAAGAAAGGGGGCAGACCCACATGCACACCACACACAAATACACACACAGTAAAAACCAAGTCCAAACAGAAAACAAAATTAATTTAAAACAATTCAAAGATTGCTCCTGGCTGGGAGAATGGCGCACGCCTTTAATTCTAGAACTCAGGAGACAGAAGGCAGACGGATCTCTGCACCTGATCCACACAGCTACTTCTAGGCAGCCAGTGTTACATAGTGAGATTCTGTCTCAAGATTAATTAATTAATTAAAAATATTTTTTAAAGGGTCTTGTTAAAACCTGGGAGAAGGGAACAATAACTAGACACAAGACCAAAATTTTGATGATATAAAAATCAGACAGTCAAGTATGGTGGTGCAATCCCAGCTCTCCTCACCTACACAGCAAGTTGGAGGCCAGCATGGGTTAAACGAGATCCTGAGATCCTGCCTCAGGGGGGAAGAAAAGAGGAAAAGGAAAAAAGAGGGAGGAAGGAAGGCTCTGGGCACTGTAAGACAGCCAAGCTGGGAGAGGCAGAATTCGGAAAGGAAGAAAGCTAGCTTCCTGTGGGTGTGGATGCGGGCTGAGGAACATAGCCTTGGGATGGGAAAGGACAGGGTTCTCGGGACTCACCAAGGGCTGTAGGAGCTAGAGGGGGGATCACTCACGGCAGAAGGTGCTGTTGCGCCAGGTAGTCACCTGGCCAGCTTGGGCACACAGGGATGCATAGGCCTGCAGAGAGCGGCACAGAGCCAGGGTGTCTCCTTTGGTCCCACACTGGCCGTACACACAGCTGGAGAAGCTGGCCTGCGGGGGCACTGCCTCGTGGCAATTGGAGAAAGGCCCTGGAGGATGAGACAAAGCAGAGAAGAGGAGGCTGAGCCCTGAGAGCAAACTGGAAACAACCTTGAAGCTTCTGTACAGCTAATTTAGGGGATATATGTGTATCTGTGTGTGTGTGTGCAGGTGCATGCATGTGCAGGTACATGAAAAGCCCAGAGGAAAACCTCGGGGGTCATTCCTCAGGTTTTTAATCTATTTATTATTATCACTGTGTGTATATATAATATAAATATATGGGTATATGTGGCATGTGGAGGTCAGAGAACAAGTATGTAGAGTTAGTTCTTTCCTTCCAAATTTACATGAATTCTGGAGATTAAACACAAGTCAGAGCAAGAAACTTTGCCCACTAAGCCATCTCACTGGCCCCAGCTCATATATATTAATTGTGTATGTATGTATGTAGACACACATGTGCCACAGCATGCATGTGAAGGTCAAAAAACAACACCCAGGAATCAGTTGTCTCCTTCCACCATGTGGGTCATAGGGATCAGATTTCATGGTAGGCACCTGTATCCTCCAAGCCATCTTTTCAGTCCTTCATTGACCAAGCTAGAACACACGGAGGCAGCTAAGCTGGCTAGCCAATGAGCTCCAAGGATTCGCCTGTCTCTGTGCTCTCAGCACTGGGATTACACATGTGTGCCAACATGCCTGGGTGGGGTTTTTAAATTTTATTTTTATCAGGCTGGAGAGATTGCTCAGAGGTTATGAGCACTGGTTGCTCTTCTAGAGGACCAAGACCTGAGTTCAATTCCCAGCAACCACATAGTGGCTCACAACCATCTGTAATGAGATCTAGTGCCTCCTTCTGTCCTGCAGGGATACAGGCAGACAGAACACTATAAAAAATAAACCTTTTAAAAATGATTATTATCATTTGTGAGGAAGGGGTGTATGCATGCCACAATACCCTTATGGAGGTCAGAGTACAACTTTCTGGAGTTGGTTCCATGTGGATTCCAAGGACTGAACTCAGGTCTTCAGGTTTGATGCTAAGTGCCTTTACTCTCCGAGCCATCTCTCCAGCCCCACGTTCAGGTTTTTTATTTGAGCTCTAGGGATCAAACTCAGGTCCTGTGCTTGTAAGACAAACACTTTCCAACTGAGCTATGTCCTTAGCCCTTGCACAGCTAATTTCATACCCTCTTGCATCAAAGTTTAGATGTAGTCAGGCATGGAATCACAGGTCTGTGATCTCAGCACTTGGTAGAATGAGGCAGGAGGATCACCATGATTTGGAGGCCAGCTTGAGCTACATGGAGAGACTGAGCCCCACCCTGGTCTGAAACTGAGAACTTACCTGAAAAAAACAAAAACAAAAACAAAAACAAAAAACAACCAGGACCTGGGAATATAGCTCAGTTGTGCTTGCCTGGCAAACCCTGGGTTTGATCCCCAGCACCACATAAACTGGATGTGGTGGTGAACATCTGTAATCCCAAGCATTCAAGAGGTAAAGGCAGGAGGATTACAAGTTCAATGTCATCCTGGGCTACACAGTGGGCTCAAGGCCAGCCTTCAACACCTGCAACCTTGTCTCAAAACGAAAACAAAGACAAAACCAAATGCACTGGGAACTTATTGCTAACAGCCTGTCAGTCACGGTTCCTAAGAAGGTAACCACCAGCTACTCCTGTTGGCCTCCCTGCCTTTCTGTCGGCTTCTACCCTGGCTCTTTCTCCCATCATGACCTGTTCTATCTCTTGCCCGGGGCAGAGGAAAAAGGGCCCTGGGAGGAGATGCCTCTCACCAACAGGGTTCATCAAGATGGCGCATTTTTTAATCCAGGTGTCATCCATGTTGTTCTCTTCACAGCTGGAGGACTTGCCCCCGACTAAAAAGCAGCTGGATGAGGGGGAGAAGAAAGATTAGAAAGGTTAGGCTTGAGGAAGAATTCTCCCAACTGCTAAGTCACACAGAGGGAAAATGGGAAGGAAACACAACTGAACCCTCAAGTGGGAAGGCCAGGAGACACATCAGGAAGGAGAAGGCTAGAGGCCAGTGGGACTTCTCGAATGGCTGTGTCAAAGACACACACACACACACACACATTTGAGACAGGGACTGTCTACATAGTCCCGCCTGTCCTGGAACTCACCATGTAGACCAAGCTGGCCTCCGTTTCACAGAGATCCATGTGCTTCTGCCTCCCAGATGTTGGGATTAAAGGCATAAGCCACCATGCCTGACTTGTTTACATTTTATTATTTATTCTTTAATGTTTAGTTTATTATGTTTAATTACATGTGTGTATGTCTGTGTGTGGATATATGCACATAAGTGCAGGTGCCCAGAGAGGTCAAAAGAGGCATCAGATCCCTTTTAGCTGTAGTTATATGTGTTTGTGAATCACCATATGGGTGCTGGAAACCAAACCTGGGTCCTCTGCAAAACAGCAAGCACTCTTAAATGCCGAACCATCCACAACCCTTTTTTGAGATAGGGTCTCATGTATCCCAAACTAGCTTTGAATTCACTACATGGCCCAGAATGACTTTGAAATAGTGATCCCCCTGCCTGCACCTTCCATCTGTTGGAATTAGTAGTTATGTACTACCATGCTTGATCTGGGTTATGCCCCAGCCCTGTTGGAACAACCTTCAGCCTTAGGACCTAGCTGTTGGTTAAGGGTGCATCTGTCATGGCAAAGCCCTGAGTTCCATCCCCAGTCCTGGAAGCTGGGAGAGGATGAAGAGCACAATTGACTGGATTTCTGGTAGTAGGGTGTGCAGCACAGAGGAAGCCCAGACACACAAGGGACACTCACTTGCAGACTTTCCCCCAGGGCCCAGTTTTTCTAGGCCTAGTTCATCAGATTCCTCGTTCCCCTAAGTCCATCTCCCTATGTCCATTTCTCCTAGGCCTAGTTCCCTCAGGCTCAGCCCCCACCAGACCTGCCTCACCCAAGCACAATTTACCAAGGCTCAACTCACCTAGCCCCAGATCCCTATACCCTGCTCACCCAGGCTCAGAGGCTTCAAGTATTTTCCAAGAAGCTCCCAGCAGAAGTGAGTTGCCTGCAGGCTTTCTGTCTGGACGTAGATTGTCATCCAAACTGTTATTGTTGTAGTTCCCTAAGGAAGAGAGACATCATAGGGGTGGCATATGTTGCATAGCATTGCCCTTGAACTCACTAAGTAGCAGAGCTTTAAGTCCACCCAGCTCTGAGGCCACCTCCTTCCCAACTAGAAGACACAGTGCTTAATGTCACATCAAAGCTAACCCTTTTGTCTTTTTGTTTTTCTAGATTTTTTCCCTTTTAAATGACCAGTCTAGTCTTGAAATAACTATATAGCTAAGGATGACCTTGAACTCTTCATCCTTTTATTTTCATCTTCCAAGTCCTGGTATTATAGGCATGCATTCAAGGCAAGAGCTCTACCAACTAAGTTACATTCCCATTCCACCTTTCATCTTTGTTTTGAAGCAAGTTTTTATGAAGCCCAGGCTGCCCTTGAACTCACTACCTAGCAGAGGATGAGCTGAACTCCTGATCCTCCTGCCTCTACCTCCTGAGTACCATGGTTACTGGTATGTACCATCACATCTGGAAACCCTTTCCTCTCTCTGTCTGGCTTTCCTCGGCACCTGTTTTGGGGCCTAGTGTCCTCCATTCATTTGTTGGTTGACAAGTCCTGAGGACACCCATTGGAGGCATGGGGAGGGGGCAGATTCCCCCAAGGGTCTTACCACACAGCCCACAGAGTGAGCCAGTGTATGAGGAAGGCACTGTCACCTCCACCAGGTGGTTTCCATCATATCGAACTTGAAGCCCAAAGTTTGTGTAGAGCAGGACAAAGATGCCACTCAACCTAATGGTCACCCGTCCTTTCAAAGGCCACACAGGTAGTGCTACCCGTTGGTTGTTCAGCTGCAGAAATGGGCAGGATATAGTAGAGAGAGGGTCAGCAACTTGGAACAAAGACCAAATGGGCCATAGTTTTAAAAAAATGGGGAACAGGATGGTGGTGTCTTGAAGCTCAGCTCTTGGAGGTGGAACAGTGGGGGTTGGTAATTCAAAGTTATCCTCAGTTACATTGCAAGTTCTGGACCAGTGTGGACACATGAGACCCTACCTCAAAAAGAATGATAACTGAAAGAAAACGGAAGGAGGAAGAAAGTGGGTGTTGGTGTGAGGTCTACAGAAGGCAACAGAAGACACATACCACGACCCTTCGACCTTTGAACAGGGAGATTTTGAGGTCAAAGACCTGCACATGGACAGCTTTGACATTGGAGACTTCCAAGTTGCCATTACGGATCTCGTTGGTGACGCTCACAAGAAAGTTATTTTCTTGAAAATTGGACAAGCAAGGCTGGGTCATTACATAAGTGCAGGTGCCCATAAAATGATGCAAAGCTCCATCGAATGTCAGGTAGTGGGGGTCACCTGAGGCAATGCAGGTGGCTGCACCTGGAGAGGACAGGACAGGCTTTGGTGTCTCGTTGTCCCACACCCCAGAAGCCTCAAGTCAAGGCTGCCACCTCGGGGAGGCCGTTTTGCGGCTGTACCCAGAACACATTCTTGGACTTTGGTTTCCTCTAGGAAGATGTGTTGGCTTGGCTCAGGAAGGCCAAGGAGACTGCCTTCATCAACTTCACTTTCTGAGCCCTTGAAGATGCTGATCCTACTCTGAAATTTGGATCTGGAATCCCAAAGACCCATGTGCCAGAATCTTAATTCTCTAGTTCACTATTATTGGGAAGTGGTGGAAACTTCAGTGAACCAGAAGGTTTGAGGTCAGTGGGGGGATGTTGTCGAAGGGGATTGTGAGATCCTAGCTTCTTTCTCATTCTTTTCCCTCATGTCCCAGAGATGACGTAAGGAATGTCTTGTTCTGCCATGTTTCCCAACAGGATGGGCTGCCTAATCATGGGACCCAAATCAACAAGATCAAATGATCACAGACTGAAACTTCCCCAACTTGGAAATCAAAGAAACCTTCCTTCTCGTCCTCATCTTCTCTCCCTCTTCTCATTCCTCCCTCCTTTAATTACATAATAAGACATTTACTGATTTTTTTCCACACAATCCAATTACTTCTACACAAATGGCTCCAAGGTAGTACACAGCCTCAAAGGATTGTGAGCTAACACCCTAGTCCTCAGACCTCAAGACACCTGCCCCCTGCTCTCAATAGTCCACGCTCCTCCTCACCCTTTGAACACTTACTGGCCCTAGGAAAAAAAGACCCGTATTTATAGGACCCTGAGTAGCTTCTATCTAAGCCCAAATGAACAAAAGTAGAAATATTTTCAAACCAATAAAAATTTGGAGAAACAAATCATAGCAGACAGCTTTAAATTTGGGGTTCTTACTGCCATCGTTAGTTTCAGATGACAACCTGACATGCCTGAAAAGAGGAGGGACCTCAACTGCAAAACTGGCTCCACCAGACTGGCCTGTGAGCATCTCTGTGGGGCATTTTTGTGACTCCTAGTTGATGAAGGAGGGCCCATTCCTCTGTAAGCAGTACGACCCTAGGCTGTTTAAGGTAACTGACTTTGGAAGCAAGCAAGTGGCATTGTTTCTTCTGCTTCAGTTCCTGCCTCCAGGCTCCTGCCTTGGCTTCCCTCAATGAATGGCCATTAACCTGTAAGTAGAAATAATCCTATTCCTCCCCAAGTTGCTTTTGGTCCTGATGGGTTATCACAGCAAAGAAAGCAAACTAGAGCTTAGGTTTGAGAATCTTGCTTTTGCTTCATGAGCTTTTAAGTAAAGTATAAAATACAACGCCAAATTAGAATTCCCCTGCTAAATTTTACACTTAACAGCTATTTCATTCAGCTATGGATTGATTTCAAGCGGAAACAGTCCTGCAGATTCACCCCCCTGTATAGTCTGAGGGCTGTAAAACCTCAGCCTGCTGATAGGATGGGCAATAATCGTGCAGCAGCAACAAAAAAAACCAAGAAACTCTGGAGGTAAAGATGAGTGACATTTAAGCCAATGTCAGCTTGACCCTAAAAACATGAACTCTCGACAAAATGAGTAACCACTAAGAAAAGAGGCCTAATTCTTTTGACTGCAAATTGTTGCATTACTTATTTCTGAAGGCAATAAATCAATAAACCCCTCCAACAAAAGTCCACAAACAAGTTAAATAGCTTATTTCTTGTTTGTTTTGTTTGTTTGTTTGTTTGTTTGTTTGTTTGAGGTATTTCATTGGTGAAGCTTTTTGTTTTGTTTTTCTTCCTCCCTGTCTTCCTTTCTTTTTTTCTTTTCGAGGCAGGATCTATCCATGTAACCCTGGCTGTTCTGGAACTCGATCTGTAGACCAGGCTGGCCTCAAATTCACAGAGATCTGACTGCCTCCCGAGTGCTGGGATTAATGGCTTATTTCTGAAAGTGTACATTGCATCTGCTCCAAAGAATAAAGATACCTTGCTGGTTGGTGGCGGCTCACGCTTTTAATCCCTGCACTAGGTAAGCTGAGGTAGGCAGATTTCTGAGTTTGAGGCCAGCCTGGAGTACAAAGTGAGTTCCAGGACAGCCAGGGCTACTCAGAGTAACCCTGTCTAGAAAAAAACGGCACAAAAGAATAAAGACACCTTACAACAAAGAATACCTCATAAAAAAGGTATGCAGCAGTAGAAAGTAATGAATCGAGTGTAGCTTAAGGTTATGGAAGGAAACACACTCTGCGATCAGAGAGGTTTCCCACGATCGGAAGCACGGAACAAATCACTTGATGTCCAGTGCTTCTCATTTTCTTTCTTGAAACTTCGGTAGGTGTCAGCATCCTTTAAAGGCAGTGTTGAGACCTCGGCTCGTGTACTCAGACAGAGCTGGCCCGTCTTGGGCAGAGTCCCAGGCTCCAGGACCTGCACTTGACTCATCTTCCCGGACTTTTCTTCCCACTCCTGGCGACCCCTGTTCCCTGTGGGAGCGTTCTCAGAAGATTCTCAGAGGAATCTTCGCAGCGTTCCTGACGGAAACTGCTGCTCCCGGAAGTGCCTGTTTGTGCGTTCCCTCAGCAGCTTCTCCCGGAAGTGCCTGTCGGTGTATGCAGCTCCTTCCAGAAGTGCCTGTCAGTTTCTTACAGTTGCTTCTCCCCGAAGGACCTGTCGCATTTCTTATTTCTTACAGCAGCTTCTCCCGGAAGTGCCTGTCACGTTCCTCACACCTGCTCCTAGAGTTCCTGGCTGAGCATTTGCTCTTCCGACCTTTCCTGCTGGGATTTTCTGTTGACTTTAGGAGCCCTACAGCACACAGCACAATACCCTGCCAAGCTCCTGGTTTCACAGACTTTTGCCTGGGACTACCATCTGTCGCCTCCCTCTCTTTTTTTCTTCCCTATTTATTTATTTATCGTGGGTTTGTTTTGTTTTGTTTCCCAGTCTCTGGGCTGGAAAGATGGTGCAGGGTAAGTTAAGAGGACTTGCTGCTTTTGCATCCAGAATTCAGTTCCCAGCACCCACTGTGTGGTGTTAAAGTGACTTCAACTGTCTGTAACTGCAACTCTGGGGAATGCGGCACCCTATCTGGCTTCTTCAGGTATTTACACTCACATGTACACCCAGTCACATACAGAGACACAAACGGAAATTTAAAATTAAATATTGACACAGTCCCGTGTAGCCTACATTGGGCTCAAACTAGCTATGTAGCTGAGGATGGCCTCAAACTCCTGATGGATTGCTCCACTTGCCTCCACCTCCCAAATGCTGGGATTACAGGCAGACACCACAGCAACAACTAAACTTTGCTTTTTTTATAAATGGGTCTTTCTCAGGCTGGAGAGATGGCTCAGCCGTTAAAGGCTAGGCTCGCAACCAAAAGAAATGGGTCTTTGTCGCTATTTGTCCTAGTCTCAGCAAGATGACAGACACACAATCTCTAGTCCAGCCCCTGTGTTTTGGGAAAGCTGCTTTTGGCAATGCTTTCTCTATTACTTTACTATATTTTACTTTCTATATTGTTTTACTATATTACTAAATCCTAACAAAAGCAAGGTAAGGTAGGAATGACGTGTTCTGGCATGCAGGGACGATCGTGGTGGGGAGGCATGGCGAAGGCGGTGTGGGACAGCTCCCACTGCACCCTCACTCAGGAAGCAGAGAGAGGCGAATGCCGACACTCAACCTGATTTCTCCTTTTTAGGTAGTCTAGGACCCCAGCCCATGGGATGATGGCACTTACACTGAGTGTGAGTCTTCTCACTTCAATTAACTGGATCTAGAAACTTGCTAACTGACACGATCAAAGACTTGTTTCCTAAGTGTTTCTACAACCTGTCAAGTTGACAATCGGCATTAACCGTCACCATCCTCTCGGATGAAGCCTCTGCTCACCTTCTGTGGGGACTTGACTGCTCACCTTGGGCATGACAGCCTAATATGCCATTCTTATGGCTACAGGCCTCCTGAGCCTTACACGACCAGGGCTGGCAGCGGATATTGTTGTTAGCTTCACAAGTGCAGATCTCTTTGCAGTCTGGGTTAAACCACTGCTCCTGTATCTGGGGTGCAGAGGGGAAAGCAGAAAGAGATGGCTTCCTTTCTGGTTCTCTTGTCTTCCTGAAACTCTGGGCTTAGGTGTAAGAGTCTGGTGCCAAATAGGCCTGGGAGCACACCAAGTGCGGTGGGAGGCCGTGTTCCCGGGAAATGGGGCAGCACGTGATAGAGCAGGGTGCCGGGCATCCTCCACCGGCCTCCACACCACACAGATACCACACAAACAAATTAATAAGATTAAAAAAAAAAAAAAAAGAGGGACAGGAGCTCCGTAAGTGGAGCACCTAGTGCCAAGCCTGTGGATTTGTATTCAGTCCAGAGACCCATGGGCTAAAAGGGAGAGCCAACTCCTTCAGATTTTCCTCTGACTGTGGCATTTGAGCACAGACACTCCAAATAAGTAAGTGCAATAAAGACATTAAAGTCAATATCGATAGATAAAAATGTTCCCAGATAATGCATGGACCAGTGGGGGAGGGGCAATAAGTAAACACATTTGTCAATAATTTTCCCATATAATATGCAACCAGTTAAAGCAGACAGGCAACCCAGGACGACTTCCCACCATGAACACCCACTATTAATACTTGCTACTCTTGAGAGATAGATTCTTTTTCTTTAATTTATTTTATGTGCATTAGTGTTTTGCCTGCATGTGTGTCTGTGTAAGGGTGTCAGATCTTGGAGTTAAGGACAGTTGTGAGCTGCCATGTGGGTGCTGGGAATTGAACCTGGGTCCTCTGGAAGAGAGCCATCTCTCCAGCCCCAAGAGATACATTCTTTTTGTTTGTTTGTTTGTTTTGGCCTGGAACTCCAGATCCCCTTGCCTCAGCCACCCCAATACTGTAGTTACAGATCAGTGCCACCACGCATGTGAGAAATGTCCCTAACTTAGTTATCAGGAAAGCTCCAAGCAGGAAGAAGTGTTGCAGCAGAGCCTCAAAGGAAGTGAGGGATTCCAGTAGGAAGAGGTGACTTAGAGACAGAGCAGGTATGGGGGAAAGGCTAGCAAAACAGTTTTGGTGATGGTTACATGTAATCCTAACACTGAGGAGGCAGAGCCAGGAGAAGTGAGTTTGAGGCCAGCAAAGGATGCTTAACAAGATCTTGCCTCAAAAATGAGGCTTAAAAAAAAAAAAAAAAAAAAAAAAAAAAGTAGAAAAGAACAAGTAAGAAGCTAGAGCTTTGGTACATTAAGTGGTACTGCAGCATGGTTGTAGAGCCCCTGCTTCAACAACATTCACAAAAGGGGGGGGCAGGAAAGAAGGTAATTAGGGTAGAGCCAGGGGAGAGAGGGAGGGAAGTATCAGAGCATGGATCCAGTATGTCAGCCTTAGTTACTCTTGTTTTTTAAACTCTGGCCTTCTCTTTCCTACCTATCCCCCTTCCTTCTCCCACCTCAACCCAGGTCTTCAGAAACTCAGAGCAAGTCCTTTCTGTCAGTAGGGCTGAGGGATTCATGCCAGCTGCTCACCTCGAAGTAGCGTCCCTCAATGTTGGTGCACCCACACTTTGATCGAGGGACACACTCGAAACCACTGAGGACAAAGCCAGGGTCACACTCGCAGGCTTCCACACACTCTTCTGGGCAGGGCTGGAGAGCAGAGCCAGGATGGCAGGTGTCCGGACATGGCTTGGCACACAGGGAGTACCTGCTGTTTTGAGGGCATACCAAGGCTGTGGAGGGAGAAGCTCAGGTAAGGAAACAGGCAAACTGGACGCGGCGGTACAGTCCCATGAATCCAGGACTCAGGAGGCCGCGGGCAGCAGGACTGGGAGTTTCAGACCAGCCTGGGCTGCATAGTGAGAACCTGTCTCAGAAAATAATTTCAAAAGGAGATAGATGAGACCAAGGTGCAGAAGGAAAGGGCATGCTAAGATGGTCCCAGCTAGAGAAATAGGGTATGGAGAAGATGAGACCAGGAGCTCAGCTGATTGTCAGGGTGTGCTCTGCTAAGAAACTGAGACAGCTGCCTGCCTTCTGAGGGTGTGGCTCACTTGGTGGAGTGCTTGTGTGCATGCAGGAAGTCCTGGGCTCCATCCCCACTGCCAGCCAATAAACTAGTTGTGATGGTGCATGCATGTAATTCCGGCACTGGAGAAGTGGAGGCAAGGGGATCAATAATTCAGTGCCACCTTAAGCTCCATTGGTGAGTTTAAGACCCTGACTCAAAAAAACAAACCAAAGCAAAACAAGCAAAAGCAGCTGCCTAAACCAAGCAAGGTCCTCCATGGAAGGCAGATGAGCTACGAATTAGAAGATACAGCCACTCTGATAGGTAGACATTCTCAATAAGCAAGTGTGGTACCCAGGAAGCCATGAGCAGCCCGGTCCTCGGGATGGACTTCTGCTAGTACAGTTTCCCAGAGGACTTGGGGGCGGGGGGGGGGGCGGCCCATACTAAAGCTTCATTCACCACAGTCTCATACATTCAGTCTGCACTGAACACACTGAAAACTTGGGGAAGCATGAAAGCACATTCTGCCCTTTAGAACCAAGTGACTGTGGGAAGTTATTATTCTGCCTTCTCCCCACCATCCTTTTCCTCTCCCTCCTTTTCTCTTCCTTCTCTTCTTCCTCCTCCTCATCCTTTTCCTCCACCTGCAACCTGCTCTTCTTCCCCTCTGTCTTCTCTGCCTTTTCCTACTCTTCACTCTCATCCCCCCTCACCCCCCTCCAGGGCTGAGGCTTCAATCCAGGGCCTTGGGCACAACAGGAAAGCACTCTACATCCAAGCCACACCCCCAGCTTCTCAATGACAGATTCTAGGCAAGCACCCCATCATTAAGCCATAACCCCAGCTCCTTGTTGATGGATTCTAGGCACATGCTCTACTGATGAGCTATGCACCTAGCCCTCTCTTTGCTTTTCATTTTGAGTCCAGTCTCCCTAAGTTTCCCAGGTTGGTCTTGAACTTGAGGTTCTCTGCCTCAGCTTTGCAAGTAGCCAAGATTATAGGACTGCTGTTCCAGCCAATTTACTGGTTTTTCTCAGTCTCTTGCCAACTCTCCCCACTACCCTGTCCTCATATGTAATTGGAGTAGGGGATCAACAGGGTGTAAACTGTATCTATAGAAAGCTGCACCAGATCATCCCCCAATGCCTTGGGTCCTAACTCACGGCAGAACTGGGGTCTCCTCCAGGGCCTCACGGCATAGCCGGCTTCTTGGCAGGTGGCAGTCATGGCTGACATATGAACACAGAGCATCTGCTGGAGCCCCTGGAAGCTACACATGTCCGTTAAGCAGTTATCCAAGAAGGATGAGGCCTTCATGTGGAACAGGCATGCCCTGGGAAGAGAGGCTAAGTCAGAGAGCAGGAGAGGGCAGAGCATCTATGCTCCACCTAAGAGAAACTAGTGCCTAGCAACCCCAGGCCGCCCATCCATCTTCCTCCATACTCAAAGGTTCCTCTTGGGTCAACAAGCTGGCCGCATAAGTTGGGCCCCAACATAGTTCTCCCCAAGGCTGAGTCACAAGATGGGGGGTTGTTCTCGTTCTGACACCTGGAAGAGACCCAACCAAAGCAGTCAGCAAGACTGGAAGAGCATAGAAGAGGTAGAACAGCTGGGTCCTCAGGTAGGGAAAGAGAAGAGGGCTTGGCCTTGACCTCCCTATAGTCCTGGAAACCTAAAGATCACAGGCAAGGACTAATAAGCTGTCCTCCAACCCCTATTACTTTTGCTGAGGATCAAACCCAGCATCTAGTGCATACTTGATAAGTACCCCACTAAAGAGTCACACCCTTAGCCCCTCCCTGGAGTATTCCAGGCAAGCTCTCTATCAACTGCCCCCAACTCTCATTGTGAGAATTGTAGTCAGGTGCTCTACCACTGAGCCACACCCCCAGCCCCTCACTGGGGGACTCTAGGCAGGTGCTCTACCACTGAGCTATATCCCCAGCTCTTGGATTTTAGAAACTGGATCTTGCTATGTCTGCAGCTCCTGATATTCGTTCCTGCTTCTTCTGAAATGACAGGCAGGAACAGTTATGCCCAGCTCTGATAGATCTTAAAATGGGGAAAAGCCAGAAGGCCTAGAAAAGGAGGGCCACCCTTGGTCCCCAGAGGGTATCCTCACTCACTCATTGTCCTCTTCATCTTCCAGCTGCCAGCTCCTCCCCAGCTCATCCTCATCATTTATCATGGTGCCATCTGGCTTCTGGTTATCATTGCTGCTGTCCCCGTCATAGTTCCCACAGAAACCACAGAGTTTGTTTGCATAGGCACTGTGGGTCCAGGAGAGGGATAAGTCATGACTGGGAAGAAGGGTCGCAGTTGTCAGAGACCACAGTAAGGGGGCAGTGAGCTGTATGTTCTGAAGGTAAGAGGCAAGAGGGGGTTGAGAATATCCACTCTTGCCAGTGGTGGTGCACACCTTTAATGTCAGCATTCAGGAGGCAGAGGCAGATGGGTCTCTGTGATTTCATGGCCAGCCTGGTCTACAGAGTAAGTTCCAGGACAACCAAGAGTACACAAAGAAACCCTGTCTTGAAAAGATAGACAGACAGTCAGGGGAGGGAGGGAGGGAGGGAGGGAGGGAGAGAGAGAGAGAGAGAGAGAGAGAGAGAGAGAGAGAGAGAATATGGAATATGCACTCTTAACAGATTCTGTGACAGATCCCAGGTACTTAAGGCTACCACTCAGGGCTCAGACTGAGCCATCTATACAGGATCTTCCCTGTTCTTTCTGCTCAGCACCCCTTGCTGTCACCTCTCACACCTCTCAAGGTTTTAAACAAGAAGAAGAATCTCTCTCTCTCTCTCTCTCTCTCTCTCTCTCTCTCTCTCTCTGTGTGTGTGTGTGTGTGTGTGTGTGTGTGTGTGTGTGTGTGTGTGTCTTCCAGAGGTGGAATTTAGCTCTACAGATAAGCCATATCCCTATCCCCAGGTCACCTTTCCCACAAGTCTGGTCTGTTCATCTGGGGAGCCACTCTTTGAAGAATGGTGTCCAGCAATAGCTCCTCTGACAGCTTCCCAGAGTTCCGGAGTGATTCTTCGTAGCACATTCCCGAGGCATTGTGTATGCATCCTGCTATTATCTCACTGCCCTGGCCCCTCTTCTACTGTTTCCCTTCTGCCCTCAGGTTAGATGCCTCCCAGCTTTGAGGACATATGCAAATGATTAACCCTGAGTGGCTGGAATGGTGGGGGGTAGGGTGGGGGTGGAGCATTGTGGGAGAGAAATGTCAGTTCGCTGACTAGGCTGCCTCCCTTACCTGGACACAGTCACAAAAAGCTGCTGGTCACCATCCCATCTCACACGCAAACCAAATGTCGTCCTCAGTTCCACAAATCGCCCACTTAGACCCACAAAGATGCTATTAGAAGGTATTGCTGGGAGAGAGACTCTCTGATCCCCAATCTGGCAGATAGAGGAGACAGAGAGTGGTACTGGGGTCAAGACAGAGAACCTTAAGACTCCAACATCACATCCAAGGCTAAAAGACATCACCCCTCCACAGCATCCCTCCAACTTCTCTCATCTCAGCTGGTTTGCAACATCACCATCATTATTTTGTTAGAACCCATCCCTAACAGGGTTTGGAGACAGGTGGGGCTAACTGTAGCCTGTCCTGGTGGGGTGAGTAAAGGAGAGGGCTCACCAGTGTGTGTCTGCCCCTGATCATGGTAATAGTAGTCTCTGGCAAGGTGATGAAAACTTTATCCAGGGAGGATACACCTTCTACTCCCCGTTCTTGGGCACTTGCTGTTATCCTAAAGAATGGGTCTAGATGGAGAGAGGAAGGGCTAAGTCACAAATGTTTGTTTGTTTGGTTGGTTGGTTGGTTGGTTGTTTTCAGACAGGGTCTCATTATAGCTTAGGCTAGCTGAGAATGACTTTGAACTCTTGAGAGTATTGCCCCCACCTCCCCAAAGCTGGCATTACAGACATGTGCCACCATTTCCAGTTTATGGGGTATAAAGGATGGAATCAGCCAGGGCTTTGTGCACACTAAACAAGCACTGAGCTGCATTTCCAGCCCGCCGATTTTCAGACAATCTTACTATGTATTCTAAGTTGAAACTGACAGTCTTCTTGCCTCAGCCTCCAGAATGCTAGGATTAAAAACATGACCCACCCCATCCCCTGCTTTCTGAGACCCTGTTGGTGGTAGTGCCTGGTTTGGCACCATGAAGCAGGCAAAAGGTCCAGTGACTCAGAACCCAAATGGAAAGGAACATGGTGTGGTTTTCTACTTTCGTGGTTGCCTGTCCCTCCTCCCCACTCCCACACCCTACCCCCCCATGAACTGGGACATCTTCAGGCAACCATGTTCATTCATGAGCCCTTGTCACCCTTTTTGTGAGACAAGGCCTTGTGCAGTCCAGGCTGGTCTCGAACTCTGTGCGGCTGAGGTGACCTTGAGCTCCTGACCCTCCCGCCTCCACCTGCACAGTGCTGAGAGGATAGGCGCGCACTCCACACTGCGCGCTTGAGATGCTCTGGCGGTGGAAGCTGATGCTTCATGCCCACTAAGCAAGCACTCTACTAACTGAGCCACATCCTCAAGCAAGAGTCCCTTTAGCAGTAATTGTCACCCTGCCAGGGGAACCTTCCACAATAGCAGTGAATTGATCTCCTTAGCTGCATTTCCCAAGGATTGTGGGCCTGATAGCTTTGCAGCTGTGTGTGTACATATCCCGACTGCTGCTTAGCAGAGGGCCTTGGTCGAGTGCAACCCCTTTCTGCCATTCATCACCACCCCTGTTCAAAGGCCTACTATGTCCCCATGCCTGACATCTATAATCTCAGTCCCTTCCCACCCCCCACTTCCTACCCCTACCCCAGCTCTGGCTCAAATCTCCTACCTGTAGAGTTGTCACAGGTTTGGGTCAAGATGTAGGTACATGTTCCTGTGAAGCCAATGTGCCTCTCATCAAAGGTCACAAAATGAAGGTCCCCATAGACCAGGCAGGTGGCACTACCTGCCAGAGGAGATGAGGAAGCTGTTTCCAATGTCCCTCTTGGCTGGATCCCATACCCCAGCCTCTCCTACCCAGACACATTCCCAGTTCCACTGCCCAAGGGCTCAGACCCCGTCTGACAGAGTGATGGTTTAGAGAGACAGGAGGGGTGGCTTTCTGGGATCAGAACAGAGCCCAAGCAAATGTGGGGACTGGAATAACAAAATGAATTCTAAAGGGCCCCAGCCACCCTCCCACTCCGACAGCATGAAGAGCAGTGCTCACCATAGGGCTGGCATTCATACTTGTCATTCTTCAGCTGGCATACAGTGTGTGCCGCGCACTGAGAGATCTGGCACTCCAACCGGCTACCAACCAAGCAGCGGCACCGTTCTGTGCAATTGGGACTGAACCATTCTTCCCCAGGCTAAGGGCAACAGATGAGAGAGAATCACAAAGCCATAGTTCTTAGGGATGTGTGTGTGTGTGTGTGTGTGTGTGTGTGTGTGTGTGTGTGTGTGTGTGTGTGTGTATACCTAGTATGAAGGCCTGAGGACCAAACCCAGGCCTTCACACTAGGTACATTCTATCCTGTCTGAACTATATTCCCAGCCAAATTTCTTTTTTTTTTTTTTTTGTGGGGGTGAGTGGGGGCATTGAAGAAAGAGAGGATCAGGGGAAGAATCTCAAGTTGCCCAGGCTAGCCTCAAATTCACTACATAGTAGAGGATGATCTTGAACTCCTAAACTTCCTATCTCCACCTTTCAAGTGTTGAGATTACAGATACATGCCACCATCCCTGGCTCAAGGCAGGGTCCTGATACATATCCCTGGCTGGCCTGGAATCCTTGGTCACCTTGCCTCAGCCTCCCAATCTCTTTAAAAAAAAAAAAAAAAAAAAAAAAAAGTGACAGTTGTGTGGCTTGACCCTCTTGTGGGACTTCTAACAGTGGGAACAGGGGCTGTCCCTGACTCTTTTACTGGCTTCTGGGACCCGACTCCTCATACTGGGTCGCCTTGCCCAGCCTTAATACATGGGGAGGTGCTTAATCTTACTGCAACTTGAAATGCTGTGTTGTGTTGATTTTCCTGGGAGACCTGCCCTTTCCTAAATAGAAATGGAAGGGGAATGGGTTGGAGGGAAGGAACAGAGGGAACATGGAGGGAGGAACTGGGAGGAGAGGAGGGAGGGCAAACTGCAGCTGGGATGTAAAATAAATTAATAAATTCATTAAAATAGAAAATGAAAATGAAAAAATCTAAATAAAAAGGTAGGTCTTGCTGTGCATAGTTGTTGTTTGTTTTGTTTTGTTTTTGTTTTTCGAGACAAAGTTTCTCTGTGTAGCTTTGGAACCTGTCCTGGAACTGGTTCTGTAGACCAGGCTGGCTTCGAACTCACAGAGATCTGTCTGCCTCTGCCTCCCAAGTGCTGGGGTTAAAGGTGTGTCCCACCACCACCTGGCAACTGTGTGTAGTCCTATGGCCATGGAAACAGATTTAACAATATAAACTTTCCCAAGGTGATACAGAGAAAAAAATGCTGCATCCATGTTCCAGCTCTGCTACCTGACTCTAGATCTGTCTATATGCTATAGTCCATCCATACCTAGTGACAGCTCTGGAAATGTGACAGTCAGTCTTGGGTTGGGGATGTAGCTCAGTGGTAGAGCACTATCCTAAAAACCCAACAGTGAGGGGTTAAGAGTGTGGGCCAGTAGTAGAGGCCCAGCCTAGAATCCCCCAGTGAGGGGCTGGGGTGTGGCTCAGTGGTAGAGGCCCAGCCCAGTGAGGGCTAAGGGCATTGCTCACTGGTAGAGTGAGTGGTAGAATCCCCTAGTGAAGAGGTAGGAGTGTGGGTTCTTGATAGAACACTTCCCTAGAGTACAAGGGGCCCTTGGCTCCATCTTCAGCACTGTAAAACCAAAGCCAGTGCTGAATGGATGATGTCTCTACCATTGTGTAACTTGTCCTTTGTGCCTACACCTTGGGCCTCTCTAAGCTCCGCTCACACAGAGAGCAGGGGCACCGGGGCCCAGGTGTCATGGCATCAGCCCCCTTTGGAAAGCTGGGCACCCCTGGAGGCATACCGTATAGTACTTGTTGCTGTAGAAGCAATTGCAGAAAGACTCATTGATGCATTGATTTTTACTAAACAAAAATCCAGGATTGCAGACACAGCCAGGATTGCAGGGGGACTGGCAGCTGGGCTTAGGGCTCTCACAGGATGCAGGGCACGCGCATGACTCAAAGTGGGCATTTGGAGGGCAGCTCTCTGAAAGCAAAGCACAGCCTCTATCAAGTCTCCGTGACACAGGTGTCCCCACCCCACAAGTCTCTCTCTTACCCTGGACTCAAGTTATTTTCTAAATAAGTCTGCATTTATCCTGCCATTAGAAAGGAAGGAAGGAAGGAAGGAAGGAAGGAAGGAAGGAAGGAAGGAAGGAAGCTGGGCAGTGGTGGCCCACGCCTTTAGTCCCAGCACTCAGGAGGCAGGGGCAGGTGGATCTCTGTGAGTTTGAGGCCAGTCTGGTCTACAGAGCGAGTTCCAAGACAGCCAGGGCTACACAGTGAAACCATATCTCATAAAACAAACAAATAAATAAATAAAAATAATTAGAATGAAATATGGGCACGGCTGCATCTGTGGGAAGCTGAGGTAGGAAGACTGCCAAGAGTTCAAGCCCAGCTCCATAGTGGATTTGAGGCCAGCCTGAGCTACATGACAGAGTCTTGTCTCATAAACAAAAACAGTTCTGACCAATGTTATAATGAGGTGGAAATCTTGAAGACATTGTACACATAAACATGTTATATGGTACCATCTGTGTGACATATTCAGGTCAAGGTCAGGTGTTGTAGTACATGCTTATCATCCCATTACTCTATAGACCAAGGCAAGAAAATCATCTATTTGAGGCTAGCCTGAGCTATGTAAGAAAACAGGAAGGAAAGAAGAAATAGCATGGGGTCAGGAGAAGAAAGAAAAGAGGGGAGGACACAAAGGATATGACTCGGTTTGTGGCTGGCGTGTCTACAGTCTAAGTGTAGGATTTTCACATCAAGAACCCCCCTCGCTGCCTTCTCCTGAGAGCTCCAGCCAATGTTCTGTCCACCCGTGTCATACCCGTGGTAGGTATACCTATAGCTGGAGTCATGTCGAGCATCGGGACACCTGGAACCTGTGAAGGGCTCAGACAGGGTGGGTTACATATTGTGGACATATTCATGACAGTAGATTGCTCTGTATAGACAGTGGACTGTTCAGTGGAGACAATGGTCCCTTCAGGAAGGGTGGTGGTCGTCTCAGAAGGGACACCGGTCTCTTCAGGAGACACAGTGGTCACTCCTGTAAGGGTGGTGGTCTCCTCAGGAGGGACACCGGTCTCTTCAGGAGACACAGTGGTCACTCCTGTAAGGGTGGTGGTCTCCTCAGGAGGGACACTGGTCTCTTCAGGAGACACAGTGGTCACTCCTGTAAGGGTGGTGGTCTCCCCAGGAGGAACGCTAGTCTCCCCAGGAGGAACGCTAGTCTCCTCAGGAGAGATGGTGGTCACTTCTGTAGTGGTGCTGGTTATTTCTGTGGAGACTGTGGTCACTTCTGTGGAGGCTATGGTCACTTCTGTGGGAATAGTGGTTTCTTCAGTGGGGACAGCAGTCACTTCTGTGGGGGCAGTGGTCACTTCTGTAGGGGCGGTGGTCTCCTCAGGAGGGACACTGGTCTCTTCTGTGGAGAGAGTGGTCTCTTGAGTTAGGACAGTAGTCGTTTCTGTGGAGGCCATGGTCTCTCCAATGAGGGCAGTGATGTCTTCAGACAGGACAGTAGTCATTTCTGAGAAGACTGTGGCCTCTTGAACAGGGGCACTGGTCTGTTCAGTGGTGACAGTGGTCGTTTCTGTGGAGGCCGTGGTCTCTTCAGTGGGAACAGTGGTTGCTCCTAAGGGGGGTATAGGGACAGTGTTTTCAGAAGGGCCAGTAGGTAGACCCAGAGGACCGGGAGAAACCTGTCTGTGGCAATATGCAAAGAAAAACCCTGCAAATTAGTCAAAATTAGACCGCCTCCCTTTCTCTCATCTAAATAGAAGTGGGTGGGTTCATGGGGGGCCAATCAGTCACCCCTATCTCTGCTTCCAGTCCCTAACCTTCACTCACTTATTCAAGAGACAGGGCTCCCAAAAACACATCTGACATGGTCCTAGGTACGGAAATCACAAAACTGAACCGGAGATAGGTCCTGCCTTCAACACCACTAGAGAAGGAAGAGTTGTGGATCCTGCCGCAGAAACTCATGCCATCAAAGACACAATCATAGCTAGGGAGAACGTGCCTGCCACTCTGTCATTATAGTCACCAGTGATGTCCAGGCAAAAGGATCACAAGTTTGAGGCCAAGTGAACTACATTGTGAGATCCTGTTTTACAGTGGAAATAAAATAAGCCTGGGAATATAGTTCAGTAGTAAAGTGGTTTCCTAGGATCCCTGCAGTGAGGGGCTGGGGCTGGGGCTCAGTGGTAGAGCTCCTGCCTAGAATCCCCCAGTGAGGGGCTGGGGTGTGGCTCAGTGGTAGAGCCCCTGCCTAGAATCCCCCAGTGAGGGGCTGGGGTGTGGCTCAGTGGTAGAGCACCTGCCTAGATTCCCCCAGTGAGGGGATGGGTGGGGCTCAGCAACAGTGCGCTTGCCTGGCAGGTATGAGCCACTAGGTTCTTTCCTTGTATTGAGGCAGGGAGGAAGCTGGGCCCTTGAATTTCATCTTACCCCGACATGGGCCATGAGTGATCAAGATGAAATTCACAGCAACGACAAAAGCAGTGCTGGTACCCCGGGTGGCCTCAAGAAACAACTGAAGGCAATGGAGGACAAAGGAGGAAGAACAGGAAAATAAATCCCCAGACACTCAGAAGTTCCACAGTGCATGTCCTCTGCCTTTGCTAGAGCCCACTAGTCCCTCACCACCCCACTCGCTTGCCCCTTAGGTCCACTCCTCCTTTGAACTCTTCCCTAGGACCTGAAACTGAAATGCCCCGCGTAGGGTTAGGTGTCAGGATACTTGGTCCTCATCTGGCGGTGCTGATTTGGGAGGATGTAGGACCTTCTAGATAAAGGCCATTGAGAGACAGGCATTTGATGGTTGTAGCCTGGCCTTACTTTTGGTACTGTTCCCTGCACCGTGATCTTTAGGACCCAGCTAGCAAGCTCATGCAGGATGAGTGCAGCCACCATGCCTTCCCCGCCATGATGGGTTTTCTCCCCCGCAAAACCCTGAGTCAAAATGAAACTCTGCTTGCATGAGGTGCTCCTGCCAGGTACATTGTCACACAACCCAAGAAAACGAACGAACGCATCACCTTTCTACCTCAGTTTACCCTCCCTTATTATCCGCCCCTCCATCTCTCACCTGCATGGGCTGCTGATGTCCCTTAGAGATGGTGATAGAGCTGTTTACCCAGCCAGTGCTCTGAGACCCAACACGGCTCCACAGAGAAATGGGAGAACTGCCCGCAGGACTCCCCAGCAGGAGCTTGAGCGATGTTCCTTCTCCAAGGCCATACATGTGGTACGCAAACATCACACAGATGTCCCCAGGGGCACAGAAGGGTGGACTCACCAATTTGGCAGACTGTCCTGCCTGGGATAACTTGACTGAATCGAAGTAAATATAATGCTCCCCTGGGTGAAGGAAGGGAACCAGAAAGGTGAGTCCACACACACACACACACACACACACACACACACACACACACACACACACACACACTGGAACCTGCATATAAGACAAATCTAGCTGCTTACTGTAGCGTGTCTAGCTTTCCAAGAGAGCACACAACAAAACATGAACAGTGGTATTTCTCTTTGCTGTTTTCTTTAGTTTCTGAGACAGGGTCTTATTATATGACTCAGGCTGGCCTAGAACTTACAATGTCCCCACCTTAGCCTCCCCATCACAAGCATGCATCACAGCAATGCATTCCCCTCATTCAGGGCTCTTAACTGAAGAAAGCCAAAAGATATGGGAAACCCCATCTGGAGTCCAGATTCTATTGACATCACCTGCACATGTCTTGGCTGAAAATAAGACAGTGGATTTGGAAGTTTTGGGCTCAATGCAGAGCAAAGCCTCAATTGCTCTCCATCCCACCTCCAAAGCTAGGGACAGAACCTCGGGACTTTCACGTATTAAGCAAGTGCTCTATTACACACACACACACACACACAGAGAGAGAGAGAGAGAGAGAGAGAGAGAGAGAGAGAGAGAGAGAGAGAGAGAGAGAGAGAGAGACCAGCCCCTCTCTGCAGGATTCTAAGCAACTCTTCTACCACTAAGCTGAGCCCATATGAGGAAGCCTGGATTTCCTGCTGGCTTGCAATGATCCCACTGTCTTGAGCATCCTCGGCATAGTGCACTAGCTGGGTCTGAGATCTCATGCATCTGCATGAGGTTGCTCCCTATGTCCTCCATCATCCCTAATTCCTCCATCATCCTCTAGCAATGACATCACCAAATCCCTAGCTAGATGCAGATGCAATGATCCATAACCTCGAGGGAGTCCTCAGTCTCCTCACCTCCGTATGGGAACTCTCTTAGGGGCCCTGAGATGGGGGTGGGTACACTTTTACTTCCCCAGCTCCAGTGTCCGATGTCTCCCAACACATGGTTCCAGTCACAGAAAGGATGGGCTTTGTCTTCAAAGTTGCACTGGGGAAAATTCTCTAGCAGATTCCAAGAGGGAAGTTTGAGACATTCGGCCTGTGTCCATCCCCTCCCATTTACTCCAACCCCTGACTCAACAGGGGTTCCCAAGGCTCTGCTCTCACCCCCACAGGGAGCGATGCTGATGCCGTCCACCGCTATTGCTGGCTCTGGCGTCTCTCCAAACACACCCACCACCATGAACTGAAAAGAAGGGGAGAGTGGGCCTGGAGTGATCAGGCCCACCAACCCTCCACCCCTCACGTCCAATCCTACAGTCCTCTTCTGAAGCCCAGAATTCATCATCAACTTGACAGAATCTAAAGCCACCTGGGAGGTAAGTTCTGGCCACATCTATTGGGGGACTATTTTGATTATATTAATTGAGGTGGGAAAACCCACCCACCATGGGTGGCACCATTCCCTGGCTGGGATCCTGGGCTGTACTGGTGGAGAAAGGGAGCTGGGTGGCAGCCATGCATTCTTTGATCACTGCTTCCTTCCTGATTGTGGGTGTGACGTGACCAGCTGCTTCAAGCTCCTGCCACCATGAGTTCCTCACTGTGGTGGCCTGTACCCTTGACCTGTCACCCAGAATAAGCCTTTTCTCCCTTAAGTTGCTTTTGTTAGAGTATTGTCACCTTGACAGAAAAAGAAGCTAAGACACCTCCCATCTGGCATTTCCAAAGACCCAGCTCCTGCTCCTGATGCCTGGACTCATTCCAAAGCTCAACTCATTCCAACCTTAGGAGAATCTACCATACACAAGGACTCCTAATGAGGCCCTTGTTCCTCTGTACCTGTAACAGTCCCTGTCCTGTATAATTGACAGACACCGCCTGCCAGGTGGGTCCATGGTGTCCTGAGAAGAGAGTATGTTTCCGGATGTTGCCTATGATGGAGAGAAACCAGAAGAGAAGGGAGTTTATGGGGACTTGAGTGAAGGACAAGTTGCACAGGGAACTCGAGGACAGTATTCCTCCAGATGCAAGCAATCCCCTGGCCTCCCCCCTTTCTCCTCTCTCTCTCTGTCTCTCTTAGAATGTGTGCATTCTAACTCCCACTCCTGCTTTAGTGTGTATGCATAATACACGAACACATGTATGCATTCTTGTTCTTTGTATTGCTCCTGCTTTGTGCATGTATGCGTGAGAGAGCACATGGATGCATGTGCACACCCATATGTGTATGTGTGTGCAGGTTTATATGCAGATGTGCCTATACATGTGTATGGAGACCAGATTAGCTTTCTACGTGGTTGGTGGGGACGGTAGTCAGGCCCTCAGACTGTGTGACAAGCACTTTAGTGACGAGCTGTCTACCTGGCCAGTTTGCTTTTGTTTCTTTTTAGACAGTTTCCTGTAGTATAGGCTGGCTTCAAACACACTTTGTAGCAGAAACTGGCCTTGAACTTCTAATCTTCCTGCCCATACCTCCCAAGTGCTATGATTGTAGTTATGGCCCACTATGACTGACAGAGCCTTTATTTTTCTAGAATCCAACGCCCCTCGTATTTCTAAAACATGGAGCAATCTCACAGTACACTGGGTTTTCCTAGACCTTGAGGAGATAGTCCTCCTTATTTCCCCATCAGTCCAACCCTCCCCCAGATGTGCCCAGGTCAGTAATCTCCTCTAACCCAAGAACGTAGCATAGACGAAAAGGCCTTCGCCATCAGACTGGCCACGCATTATGTAGTGGAAAGAGAGGGTCAGACAGCCGCTGGAATGGCTCAGGGGACTCAGAAGTACAGCTTTCTGTCCTGGCCTTGCATTAGTAGGGTCCAGGAGCATGTAGTAGCCACCTGTGAAAGAAAGGGCCAGTGAAATGCCTGGGATGCAGGGGGGTCGGTAACAAAGGTGTAGGGAACTGGGGAAGGTAGGGGCCTGGCTGAGGAGAGCTCCGACAGCAGCCAAGAATGTGTCAGCAGTGAGGGGTTACACCCAGTCACGACTGGCAGTGTTTACACTGGGTAAAGATCTGGTGTCACTACAGTAAATGCAGACATCCTCCCTGAAACAGCTATTACAGTCTTGCCCCTTGAGTGCTGGCTGACTCTTCAGGAGCCCCGGTCAGAGCCAAAGAGCCAAACAGCCAATCAGCCTGAGCTTTGCAACTAGTAACCAAGGAGAGAGGAAAGTGGGCACTGACCTGCCCGGGAGGCTCACACGGGCATGCTTGTCCAGGACCCATTGGCTCCCTGCAAACCTTGGGCTAAGGGAGGCCAAGCCAAGAAAATGAGCAGGTGTCAGGAAAGCAGGAGGGGGAAGAAAAGGAAGAGGTTAAAAGGCAGAGGAGAAAGCAGGGAAGAGGAATACAAAACAACGAAGAAACAAGGGCCAGGCCTGCTCGTGCCTGTGGCCCCTGCGCCATTGTAGGACCCTGAGGCAGGGGACTGGAATCCAGCCTGGGCTTTGAGTCCTTTCTCAAAGCAAAACAGGAAAGATTAAAAACCCAACCAACACTACTAAAACAACTGATGTTGGACTTAGTGTTAAAGGCTAACGGTTTCAGAGAGGAGATGGCCAGTTTCATTTGAAACTGGGGGTTTCAAATGAGAGGGAAGGGGAGGGTGAAGAACTTTCTAGAAGGTAAACCTCCAGGATCAGGGAGATGAACAAGTATAAACTGAGGATTGGAACTGAAACATCACTTGACCTTTGACCTCCAAAACTTGGCGGATGCAGGGACCATGTGGTGATAAAGAGGAGAGGGACTCTGTGAGAGCTCAAAGGAAGGAGTGGACAGCAGAAACAGGAAGAGAAAGCCCAGGCGGGAGTACAGGAAGGCGGAGGAGGAAGGGCTCACCATGAATGGGAAGGAGCATTTTGGCTTAAGTGACTGCAAATCTTCCTCAGTAGTCCCTACCAGCCCTTGCTGTTCGAGACAGTGGCTTCTTAGCAGGAAATCCAAATGGCATTAAGTCAGGGTTGTGCTGATGAGGCCAGGTGCTTGGATTACAGGTGTTTGTCACCATGCCTCCCTCTCTCCTTCCCTCCCTCAATTTCTTTTCACCCCTCCCCCCCACCTCCCTCTCTCTCTCTCTCTCTCTCTCTCTCTCTCTCTCCCTTCTACAGCACTGAGAACAAAACACAGGGCCTTGTGTGTGATAGGCAAGTACATTACCGCTGACTTTGTCCCCAGACCTTAGTTTTTGTTTGTTTTTGAAACAGGGTCTAGCCCAGGCTGCACTTGAACTCACTACGTAGACAAGGCAGCTCTTGAACCTCACATCCTCTTGCCTCGGCCTCCTGAGTGCAGGGCTTACGGGTATATACCATCATACCTTTATCCTTGCTGGTTTTACACACTGATTCTCAAGTTTCTGGGACACTGTGAAGGGTATTCACCCAGAAACTACCAGATGAATAACTGGATAAGTGGAGAGTGGGAGATACCAAGGGAAGGATTGTCAGCAGCCATCATGGCAGTAGAGGAGCTGGGGGATACTTGAAATCATGCCTCTTTTTAAAAAGTATTTGTTTAAATGACTTCCTTATTTTTGTGTGCATTGGTGTTTTGCCTACATGTATGTCTGTGTGAGGGTGCCGGATTGCCTGGAACTGGAGTTACAGACAGCCGTAAGCTGTCACGTGGGTGCTGGAAACTGAACCCAGGTCCTTTGGAAGAGTAGCCAGTGAGCCTTCTCTCCAGTCCAAAATCATGATTCTTGCCATGATGCCTGAACTGAAAGAAGCTTGGGGCTCTTGGGATTCACCTGGCCTGGCTTAGGGATGCCACTTTAGGGGACAGAGGTCACTGGAGCGGAGGTTCAGAGGATATCTTCAGTACTCACTGCCAGGGCTAGAGAAGTCATCAATAGGCCCCACGCCCAGCTTCCCCGATGATCCCTTCTTCTGGGTCCATTTGGCCCCGGTGGCAGTTGGGACCCAGCTCCAGCCGCAGAGATCATTTAGAGTATCAAAGGTACACATCTGGGACATGCAGACTGAGAGGAGAGAAAAGAAGAGACGGTGCTGGGGTGTGGCTCAGTGGTAGAGCACCTGCCTAGAATCCCCCAGTGAGGGGCTGGGGTGTGGCTCAGTGGTAGAGCACCTGCCTAGAATCCCCCAGTGAGGGGCTGGGGTGTGGCTCAGTGGTAGAGCACCTGCCTAGAATCCCCCAGTGAGGGGCTGGGGTGTGGCTCAGTGGTAGAGCCCCTGCCTAGAATCCCCCAGTGAGGGGCTGGGGTGTGGCTCAGTGGTAGAGCACCTGCCTAGAATCCCCCAGTGAGGGGCTGGGGTGTGGCTCAGTGGTAGAGCACCTGCCTAGAATCCCCCAGTGAGGGGCTGGGGTGTGGCTCAGTGGTAGAGCACCTGCCTAGAATCCCCCAGTGAGGGGCTGGGGTGTGGCTCAGTGGTAGAGCACCTGCCTAGAATCCCCCAGTGAGGGGCTGGGCTGTGGCTCAGTGGTAGAGCACTGCCTAGAGTTTCCCCAGTGAGAAAGTAGGTCTTAGCAGTAGAACTCTTGCCCAGTATTCCCCATCAAAAGGCTAAAAGTAAAGGCTGGAGAGAAGACTCAGGGATTGAGAGCACTGGCTACTCTCCCAGAGGACCTGGGTTCAGTTCCCAGCACCTGTCTGTAACTGCAGTTCCAGGGCTTCTGATACCTTCATACAGATATACATTCAGGAAGAACACCAAGGAATATAAAAATAAATTATGTTTTCTAAAAAGAATCCCGTTTGTACAAAACATAATACTAATAAGAGTGCAGTGTAGTCATAGAAACTTATCTAAAATCCTCCAAATATGGGGCTTAGGACAGGTCTCAGCAGTAAAGCCTGCCAGTGAGGGGCTAGAGCCATGGTTTGGTAGTAGGGTCCTTGTCCAGAACACTGCAGTGAGAAGCTATGGGCATGGCTCAGTGGTAGAATATTTGCCCAACATACACAAAACCCTGGTTAAATCCTAGTTTCAAAGGGAAGTGGCTATGAGCTTTCTGCCATAGGAGGAAGCTAGAGAAAAAAATGCCCCAGCTTGGGATCCAAACTCTGAGGTTTACCCTCAAGGCTGTAGTGAGCTCTAGCAAGCTTTGAGGACAGCCTGATCTGGGCAGAGATTACATAACCTGCCCAATCCCAGACTTCTGTCTATAATAAGCTGGGAATCATCTCTGTGTAAAGTTTTAAATTAAATTATATTTGTGAAGCATCTAGCCTAGGCTCCATGTTCAGTGAGTAGTTCCCTTCATAGCTTCTGGATTTTTCCTTTCCAGTCATCCTGAAAAGACCATTCTGCAATTACCAGAGTAGTATGTAGTATGGGGTTAACACCCACAGAGGCTTTAACATTCAGGTTTTCGTGGAACCAAAGACGCCTTTTGTTTTAGAGACAGCGTGGGATGTAGGCCAGGCTGGCCTCATATTTGCTGTGTAGCCCAGGATAACCTTCAACTTGGGATCCTCCAGAATGCTGGGGTTAAAGGTGTGTGTCAGTCAGCACACCTGCTGTGCGCAGTGCTGTGGATAGAACCCAAGGCTTTGTGCTCGCTAAGCTTTCACTCTGCTGACGGAGACTCATTCTTCCATCACACCATGGGTTTCTTGACACACAGTTTCCAGTGCTAAGATAGGCCAGCCTGTGGCCTTGTATCCTGGTCAGTCACTGTAGACCAGACATCCCCTACAACTCCATGTTGACAGGGACCCTCTTACAGAGTGACTTCTTTAGGAGCCACAGAAAACCAAGGGCCTCAACTCATGAGAAACCAGGGTCCTGGGTGCTGAACTGTCTCATCCCTACTTCAGGAAGTTTGGCAGGGGTCAGGAGGGGGAGAGGCACCCAAGAGGGATGGGAACTCACTCCGATTGCAGGTACCCCGCCGGATAGAGAGGCCATCCAGAGAGATGTCCAGGTAGGCGGTGTTTCCCCTCATACCCTCAAACATCAGCTGTGGAATTAGGAACAAAGAGACCCTGACCCTGTGAGTCACACGAGTTGCTTCCCTTCTCGGTGGTTGCTGGTTTCCACCCTGAATTCAGATGCCTGGGGATCTAGGTCTCTTTAAAAACTACATTCATTTATAGCACATGGCACAACTGTGAGAATTCGAGGACATTTGGGGAGTTGGCTCTAGCCTTCTACCGTATGGGTCCTGGAGACTGAACTCAGATCACCAGGCTTGTTGCAACAAGACTCCATGATTGCCCTCTGGGTCCCCCCTCAGTCAGAGCCTACCTTTCTAAGCCCCTTCCTCCAAACCCCTTCCCTCTCAGACCTCTAGATCTGCTCCCAACCTCACCCAGCTTGGTATATCACGATTTGCTGGCACATTGACAGTGGTGGGCATCCAAGAGGGACTCTGGGTGTTAACGTGTTTCCAGAGAACATTGGGCCGGTGGTGCTTCCGGCCCCTGAGCAGCAGCAGTCTGAGCTGGGCACCCCATGACAGCCCAAACATGTGGTAGGCAAAATGGATGCAGAGTGGGCCTTGCTCCCATATGTCGGGGCTACGCAGGCGTGCCACTCCGCCCCGAGGGAAGTTTCTGGCATCCATGTGCAGGTAGTAACCCTCTATAGGGAGACAGAATGGGGGAGGCTGAGACCTTGCTGTTCCCAGGGGCTGACCCGTCCAACCCCTGCTCAGCTGGGCTTCCAGCAACCCCCTCCCAACTTTATGCCTTCTCCACTGCCCTCCTCCAAACTTTAGGCTTCCCTCGGACTCTTTACCTCCATTAGGGTAGCCCCCTGGGGGGCCAGAAGTGCCAGAAGAGGAGGGCCCAATAGTTCGAACCCAGTCCCCATCATCTGCAGACATTTGAGACCAATCGCAGAAAGGTCTGGTATTATCTTCAAAGTCACAGCTCGAGAGAATGGCTAGGAAGAAAGAGCCTCAGTGAGGCCTCGGAAAGGGCATAGGGCAGGGGTCAGGTCACAGAGCCACACTGGGAGGTGGGGTCAGCAGGGTCACTAAGCTTAGAGAAGGCTACCACTAAGAGTTCAGATTCAGGAGACAGAATTCCTAGGGAGAAATGTCAAGCTGGGAAGTCGGGGAGCACAAACCAGAGTGTGGGCTGATTCCGTCAGACAGGCCTTGTCTTGGCGTGTGTTTTATTGTGCCTGTTATTACTATTATCTTGGGGATGTGCATGTGTGTGTGTGCATGTGCACACGTGCATGCATGCAAGCAAGCAAGCAAGCACATGTGAACATGGTGCATGCATGTAGAGACCAGAGGTTAACATCAGGTGCCCTCCTCGGTCCCTCTCCATCTTATGTTTTGAGACAGGGTCTCTCATGACCCAGAGCTCACTGATTCAGCTATGCTCACGGACCAGGGAACCCTAGAGATCCTCTTGTTTCTACCTCTCTAGTGCTGGGACTGCAGGGTGTTCTCCCAACCCAGCATTTTACCTAGATAATGTGGATGGAACTCTGGATGTTATGCTTATGCAGCAAACATTTTACCTACTGAGTTACCGCCCAGCACCTTCTCCCTCTTAAGCTAGGTCTCCTGTTCTCAGGTAGCCCAAGGTGGCCTTGAGTCCAGATCCTCCTACCTCAACCTGTTGAGAGCTGGGATTACAGGTGTGCACTGTAATACCTAGCTAACTATTGTGTTGTTCTAGATGAGGTCTTGTTACTGGACAGTACAGGCAGGATTTGAACTTATGATCCTCCTGCTCTGGCCTCCCAAGTGCTGGGATGACAGGCCTGTGCCAAAATATCTAGTGCTTGTCATATTGAATTTGAATGGGATCTTTCAGGCAGAGTTAGATAAGGGTTTCCCACTGTCCCCTCTGCTCTTGGCTGTCTGCAGCTGCCCTTAGCATATTTATCCCATGTTGTGTTCTGACAAGCCCTGTGCTAGGGACCGGAGTTCATGGTTAGAACATGAATCATGGGGAGGGAGAGGAGGCCTGAACAGCCTTAGTTCCAACTCACAATTCTCCCTCGAAGTGTGCACCATCGATTTCCGGTCCGGAGAGGTCTGTCTCCTTGGGATTGATTTGGAGAAAGCAAAACACGCTACCTTTTGTCATTATTAAAATTATCATATATATCATATATCAAAATATAACTATGGTTACATTTTGGTGCTGTATCTTCCTATTTTCCTTCCTTTACTCCTCTCTCTCTCTCTCTCTCTCTCTCTCTCTGACAGCGTCCCAGGCTACCCTCAAACTCCCTGTGGAACTGAGGATGATCTTAAGATATGATTCTCCTGCCTCCACCTCATGAGTACTGGAATTACAGAGTTCGCCACCACCCCTAGCTTGTTTTCCTTTTCTCACAATCCTCCTGCCTCCCTCATCCCTAGTGCTAGGATTACAGGTTTGTGCCACCACACCCAGCCCTTATCCCCACTTTACAAACCCTTGTCTTTTCCTCTCAGCCTGGAATGTCACCTCAGTTTCAGGTTGTGGAGATGTGAGGCTCTCCTCATCCTGGTCAGTAGGTCATCTTCTCCCCAATTCCACTGACCTTTCTCCCTAGTCTTCTGCCTTTTCAGTTTTGAGGCAGGGCCCCATGTAACCCAGGCTTGCCTAGAACTTGATATATAATCAAGTGTGACCTTGAACTCCCGATCCTTCGCCTCCACCTTCCAAGTACTAGTGTTACATCCCGAGTCACCACACCAAGTTCATGTGGTGCTATGGCCTGAACCCAGGGCTTTGTGTTTGTCAAGTGAGCCCTCTACCAACTAAGTTACATCCTTAGGCTTTCCTTTTTTAGTTTGTTAGGGCTTCCTGCTCCCTCTGGCACCCCCAGATGCAACCTGGAAAACCCGCCCCATTCGTCACTACCGTCCCCAATCCAGCTTACCGCACAAGGGCAGCCATTTGGTCCTGGCCCCAGGCAGCCCCCACCAGCAGCACCAGAGTCCAAACTGGAGGAGCCATAGGGGACCTCGGAGGTGGCCCTCAGGTAGAGAGGAAGATTACAGTGAGGGTCCCAGGCCACTTTATAAACACCTGGCCCTCCTCTCTTGTCACCCTTCTGAAGAGGCCATTAAAAAAAAATCACAGCATTCAAGAAGTCCCTGGGAATGTAAAGTTACCAGAGTTGAAGTTGGAAACCCAATAAAAGAGTTCTAGACAGAAATAAAGAGACAACAAGAAAAAGTGAGACAGAAACCAGTCATGAAGTACAGCATCAAACAAAAATAATTAAAAAAAAAATAACAGAGGAAAGGAAGAGAGAGAGAGAGATAGTCTCACAGAGCCCAGGCTGGCCTCAGATTCATGATGTAGGCCATGCTAGCCTTGAACTCCTGATCCTCCTGCCTCCAAATTCTGGGATTATAATCTTGGTAGGCCATCTAAGAAAGCAAGAGAACAGTCCCAGAGCTGAAGCACCCAAATCTCTAGATTAAAAGGTACCTAGAACGGTGGATTCAGAGAATCACAGAAACTACTGTGTGGAATTTCTGACTATCAGGGCTGAAAATAGGGAACCCTTTTAGTTAGTAAGGAACAGGTCACATACTAAGGACCAGGGATCCTCATGGCTTCCGTCTCCTTGGTAGCAACCATAGATTCTAAACGCAGCAGAACACTAGCTGCAGAATTCTGATGGAAAAATCATTCAAACCTAACATTCTACAACTGGGGACAGTGGCAGATGCTGCTGAGAGCCAAGTGAACAGCTGGAAATAATGAGGGAGAGAAAATCGAAGGAAGAAATGCAAGATGCCAGGAAACATTTGAAAGGGTGTGTGGGGGGGGGGCATTGGTTCTGTCCTTTCACCGTGTGGATTCTGAGAATCAAACTCCAATTGTTCGGCTTGGCAGTGAGTTAAGCCATCTTGTCGACCCCTATTTCATTTTTCTAGGACAGAATCTTGTAGCCCAGGGGGGCCTCCAATTCATTATGAAGTTGCGGCTACAGTGCTGCCATATGCCAGTTTATGCGGTGTTGGGCGTCAGGTACCGTGTATACTAGGCAAGCGGCCCACCGATGAGCCGCATCCCCACCTTTTCTTTTTTTCAGACAGGGTCTCACTCTGTAGCCCAGGGTGGGACTCACCGTCTAGCCCTGAGCCACTCTCAAACTAGTGCGCGCGCGCACACGCACACAGAATTTTACTTTGTTATTTTATGTGTGTGTGGAGAGTACACATGTGAGTGCACGTGTCCAAGGACGCCAGATGAGGACCTTAGATTCCTAGCAGCTGGAGTTACAGCTGGCTGTGAGTTGCTTCACCTACATGCTGGGACACAAATTCCAGTCCTCTGAAAGAGTAGCAAGTACTTTTAACTACCAGTCCATCGCTCCAGCCCCATGTTTTAAAATATTTATCTTGTTAAAATTTTCAAATTAAAACTGTATAGACTATACATACTATCTATATTATACTGACTACATATATTCAAAATACATGTCTATGTATATATGACGTGTGTGTGTGTGTGTGTGTGTGTGTATGTGTGTGCGCGCGCGCGCGTGTGCACCTCTGCTTCCATTTTGAAGAATCAAGCCTAGCTAAAAAATTAAAATGAAAACCTACATACAGCCAGGTCCATGCCTTTAGTCCCAGCACTCAGGAGGCAGTGGCAGGTGAAACTTTGGAAGTCTGAGAGCAACCTGCTTTACAAAGCGAGTTCCAGGACATCTAGGACTGTTATACACAGAAACCCTGTGTCGGAAAAAAGAAAAAGAAAAGGAAAAGAAAGAAAGGAAAAAGAATTTAAATTGAAATGATTGACATAGTTGGACAGGATGTTGATTGACAGTTATAATCTCAGTGACAATATGCATATTGGTGAAAACATTGTGACAAAGTTTTAATTGTGCACACAGGATTTCTTAAATTTATTTATGTGTGTCAGTGCATGTATACACACACATGCGCGCACACACTCACACACCCATGCCATGGCATGGTTGTGGAGTTCAGACGACAGCTTGCAGGAGTTGGTTCTCTCTGTCCTCCATGTTGGTTGTGGGTATTGAACTTGGATCATCTGACTTGCCAGCAGACACTTTTACTGCTTAACTCTCTTTCCATCTCTTGTTTTTGTTTTGATTTTTAAGATAGAAACTTTGGCCCTTGATGTCTTCAGATTTGAAGTAATCCTCCTCCATCAACCTCCTGGGTTCTGGGATCACAGGCATGAGCCACCACATGGAAATGGTTGTTTTTTAGTTAAGGATCTCACTATGTAGCCCAGGCAGACTTGGAAGATTTCCTGCTTTAGCTCTGGGTATTGAGATAACAGATGCATGCCCACATCCACCTGTAGTCAAAAACCAAACAAAACAAAACAAAACTACCAAAACCAAAAAAAAAAAAAAAAAAAAAAAAACCTTGCTAGACCCATAGCACAGTCCTGTCTGAGGCAGGATGACCTCAGGTTCAGACCAACTCAGGCAACTGAGCGAGACCTTGTCTCAAAATGAAAAAATTTTTTATTATTGTTTGGGTTTGATTTTTTGTTTGTTTCTTTCTTTTTGCTTTCTTTCTCTCTCTCTCTCCTTGCCCTCCCCGCCCACCTCTGTGTGTGTCTGTGTGTCTGTATGTAGGTCACAGGACAATCTCAGGTGTCATTCCCCAGGAATCTTCCACCTTTTGTTGGAAACAGGGTCTCTCATTGGTCTGGAGCACTCCAAGTAGGCTGGGCTAGCTGGCCAGTGAGCTGCAGGGATCCACCTGTCTTTACTTCCCATCTTGCCGCCACTGAGATTACAGATGTGCATCACCATATCCATCTTTTTACATGGCTCTGAAGGTTCAAACTCAGGTCCTTGTGCTTACAAGGCAAGCATTTTGCCAGCTTATCTGTTCCAGCAAGACTTCTTTATGCTGTCTCAGAGGAAACCAAGAGCCCATGTTTGTTGTAGTCAAGATTTTCAAAAGGAAAAGAACTGGTAGAATTAATACACGTACACACATATACATACATGCACACATATATACACACATACATATATACACATACAAATACATGCACACACACACATGAATACATATGCACATATATACATAATATATATATGCAGAAGCATACATACAGCCACATATATACATATACATATACATACACATAATACATATATACATGAAAATTACATATACACACATATGCACACATATATGCACACACATAGATACACACATATACATACATAAACACACACATATGCATACACACATTTATATATATACACACACACCTATGTATACATATATATATACATATATACATATATATGTATACACATAAGTAAAATAAATCCCCTTTGGGGGGGTGTGTGTATACATACATACATACATACATACATATGTAAAGAGGATTTACTGGATTGACTTACAGGATGAGGTCCAGGAAGCCCAACACTGACTGTCTTGTTGCAGTAATCTTGCTGGAATAAATACTCCCAGTGAAAATGGAGGAGAGATGTCACCAGTGGACCAAAGCCAGGACAGCTCCTGAAAGACTCTGGTCCTGGGCCCAGTTTATAGTCTCAAGGTATACTCTAAAACCACGAGGTGGGGCAGGGAAGTGAGATTTTACAGAAGCACACGTGGCCGTCAGCAGACTGTGAAGGGCAACATTGGCTGTTTCTCCAGGTCATTCTGTTCCAGGTAGCAAGCGAAGTCACACTAAGCAAATAGGAGGGGCCAGCTGTGCTTCCAGCAAATCAGCCAATAAGTCTTTTCTGCCTAATTCTCCTTTGGTCTCACACTAGGGAGATCTAGAAGTCACTCAGTTCACAAGGATGGATGTCTGAGTGGTCCTAATCTGGCACTGAAGCCCTGATCTTTGGTCCACATTAGAATCCAAAGATTCTGATATTGGTGAAGGACAACCACAGCAACATGAATCCAGACTTGTCAGTGAAAGTGAGGGCAAGTAAGCCAAAAGCAGTTTCTTCTTTCATGTCCTTTTCCCTGGGCTGCTATCAGAAGGTGACACTCAGTCCAGGTGGTGGTGGCACACGCCTTTAATCCCAGCACTAGGGAGGCAGGGGCAGGAGCATCTCTGTGAGTCCGAGGCCAGTCTGGTCTACAGAGCGAGTTCCAGGACAGCCAGGGCTACACAGAGAAACCCTGTCTTGAACAAACAAAAACTACAACAAAAGATTGACCATAGCAATGTTCAATTATTGCTAACAAACAAACAAAACCAGGATGGCTCTCACTACATGGCCCAGGCTGGACTGGAATTCCTGGTCCTTTGCCTCAGACATCTGAGTGCTGGAATTACAGGCTTGCATCGCCCATCTTTAAAATGTGGAATCGTGAAATGTCTGAAGAGAGGTTGGGAAATAGGGTCAGATCCCTGAATCACAGCGAGAAAGGAAAGCCAGCTACTTAACGATTTCCATATCTGAGACTTAAAAACAAACCAAGCTAAGATGCTGTGATGTCCTTGTCATTGTCAACTTGACAGGGTCTAGAACTACCAGAGAGAACCAGCCTGTGGGCACATCAAGGGAGGGATTGCCTAGTTCTGGGTTATTGAAGTGAGTGTTCCCATCATTCTCTGCCTGGAGTCCTGAGCTGCATTAAAAGGAGAGAGCAAGCTAAGCAGTAGCAGCATCCATCTCTCTCTGCTGCCTGACTGGGGATACCATGTGACCAGCCGCCTCATCTTCCTGGTGCAATGCCTTCCCAGCCATGAGAGATCGTGTCCCCTAGAAGGAAGAGTAAGTGGCAGTGGAAATGAACCCTTTCTCCTCCGAGTTGTTTCTTGTCAGCTATTTGGTTACAGCAATGAGAGAAGGTAGACAAGACTCTGGGTTGGTAAAGGTCAAACTCATGGCCAGGTGACAACTGTTTATTAGTGCTTTTCCTTGATCTTACAAGCCAGACTACCTGAGGTTGTAAGGGCAGGAGAGCTGTCCCTGCCCCCACCCCCCACCAGCTGCAGCACTTGGGAGAGGCCCCAGATCTTGTCTGGGCGGCACAATAGTGCCAACCCTGTTGGTGGAGGTTGGGTGGGCCGGAGCTGAAGTTGTGAGCATGAGAGAGCTGTGCCCACTACTGGTCTGACATGTGGGAGTGTTGGTGGGGAAGAGGTGCCCCCCTTACTCCTTGAGCCTTACTGCCCCTCCCCCCACGAGCTGCAGCACTCAAGAAAGCGGCCCTGCATCTCACCTGGGCAGCACAGTAGAGCTGGCCCTGTTGGCGGAAGTGGTGGGGAGCCATCCCCACTCCTCATCTGTCATGTGGTGGCATGGGCAGGGGAAAGGTGTCCTCCTCCCTCCCCAGCCCTGTCCCCGCCACTCACCCCCATCAAAGCCTGAGGCAGGTGGAAGAGCTGGCCCTGAAGGGACCCTGAGGATGTGAAATCAGGGGAACTGGTCCCGCCTCTTGCTCTCGCCCTGGTGGAGAAGACAGGGGAGAGTTAGCAGGCCGAGCAAGCCTGCAACCACCCAGGCCCAGAACCAGACCAGCGTTATACATTCTCCCACCCCAACATTCAACATCTGTGATCTGCTGGAGCATGGGGGGAGGGGTCGGTCCTGGGGACCCAGGGGCAGCAACAGGATGTCCAGAGGAGTCCCAGTGTGGATGGTGCAGCAGAGACCAGGGACCTCAAACCTGACCAAACCTGATTATTTGCGATTAATGCCTGCCTGTAAAAAAAAAAAAAAAAAAAAAAAAAAAAAAGTATGGATAAACGTGTTTTCTGTGTGACTTGCTATGTTATGCTGCAGCTTCTGTGACAAGATTTTCCCTTTCTTCTCTCTCTCTCTCTTTTTCACTTAAATTTGTTGTTTTATTCTTGGGGGAAGGGTGGAATCAGGAAGCACGACGTGAAAGACACAAAGAATAAATAAAAAGTCTTAAAGAAATTTAAAACGTAAAACTAAAGCGGGGCATGGGGGCACAAGCCTTTAATCTCAGCAGTCACCAGGCAGAGGCAGGTGGATTCCTATGAGTTCAAAGCCAACCCGGTCTATAGAGTGCTGGAATTACAGGACAGCCAGAGCTACATAATGAGACCCTGTCCCAGAAGCAAACAAACAAACAAAGCAAGACTAATGTGGCTGGAAAGTCAACACAGTGCTTGCTACTCTTACAGAGGGCCAGAGTTCGGTTCCCAGGTCCTACATTGGGTAGCTCACAATTTTCTATAAGTCTAGTACTAGAGAATCCAACCCCCTCTTCTGGCCTACACGCACACAAAACAAAGTAACAAAGAAAAAAAATAACAAAACTAAGTCAGATATAGTGGCCCAGGCCTGCACTCCCAGCACTTGGGAAACTGAGGTAGGAAATTCTAAGTTCCAGGACTGCCTGGCAATTTAGCCCGTTTTGGTCTCAAAAACCAAACAAAGACAAACACCAACCCCACCCCTGAGTCTGTTAATTCCAGTTCCAACAGCCCACAACAGATATTTCGCCCTTGCATGTTCATAGTGATGGAGGCAACAATCGGATGTCTGGTGTGGAAACTAGAATAAAACATTGTACTGAAAGGAAGGAGCCTGGAGAAAGGAAATTACTTGGAAGGCTCCCTAACAGTAACAGTTCCCAACTGCGCCTGAAGAGGGCACTGTAGTCCAAGAGCTAAGTTCGCCTTCCCCAAAATTCTTTAGTCTTCCCTTTTGCAGACTCCTCCCACCTTAATTACAGACACATGAGCACGCAAGAACACACACACACACACACACACACACACACACACACCCCTAGTAAATTCTCTCCAGCCCCCAACTCCTTCAATGTGCATGCAATTTTTCCTGCAATGGACTGCAAAGATATTCAGCTTTCAGGCTGGATTCTGCAGGTCTTGTTTTGAAAACAGAATGGATGACAACCACATAGGATAATAGCCGGGACTGGGGGCCTGGTACAATGTGGGTCATCTTTGACTCCTTGTGTGGGTCTCTCCTAAGCATGCTTTCCCACCTGAAGCACTACTTTGGGGAAGGAGTCACCCTTGTCCCCTGACTGTGGTACCTATCACTCCTGCATCTGTTGACTCTCCTGCAAGTTGCAGGGCAAACCCTCAGAGTGACCTTTCAGAAGATGAAAGACAAAGGTGGTTGGGTTCACAATGGGTTTATATCCTAAGGTAAGTGACTAGTGCTAGGGACATTTTGATCCATTAACCAGGGTTGGCCCTTGCCACCAACCCCTAAAGGGGAGTCCCCATGTACTGGCTCCTGTTCCCTCAGCTCACTCAGCACTTGTCCTAGTGGGTTGGCAGCTGCCCACTAAGAGACAGCCTTGAATGGAGCCTGCTTATTGACCAGCGTGGGCAGGCATTGTGGCCTCAAGCCCAGTGGGGTCAAGAGGTCAGATAGGCCATGCAAGGCAGCACGTAGGGCCCAACCCCCTCCACCTCTGGTTTCCCAGATCTAATGCTTGGCTTCCAGGTTGCGGGGAGGTAGAGCCAGGAAAGCTGGCGGGGGGCGGGGGGACACGAGTGAAGATAAACAAGCCAGGAGATAGGTTGGTGATTTCAGCTGTTGCCAGTGGTATTTTAAAAAGACACAAAACTTCAAACCCCTTCCCTCCCATGAAAGCAAGAGTCGGTTACCATTCTATCTTCGTGGTTCCCACCCCTCTACTGTCCAGTGGGTCATGGTGTCAGGGGAGAGAGAACCCATGAGGTCTGGAAAATTCATGCCTTGCCCCCTAAATTCTCCAGTCCCTGTGTTCTTCGCAGTTGCCACAAAGATTGAACCACAAAGCTTTCCCTGCAGAGTATCAGTTCCGGCAGGGCACTGATTGCCTTTCGATGTCTGTCCCTGAGTTCTAAGCTGGTCTCTGGGTGCTGAGGATATAGTTCAGTTGGTAGAGTAAGAGTGCTTGCCTAGCATGCCCGGTGCCACAGCTTCCATGTCCAGCACCCCATAAATGGGGTGGGGGTGGTGCATGCTTGCAATCTCAGCACTCAGGAAACAGAAGCACGAAGATAAGGAGTCCAAAATCATCCTTAGCCACATAGCGAGTTCCAGGCCAGCCTGGGCTATGTGAGACCTTCCTGTCTCAACAAAAACAAAACAAATCCAAGATGGTTCTTCAAGTCTCTCCTGCCTTGGGGCCTCAGGCTGGCCCAGTAACATCTTGAGATTTCAGAATGGAGCTCTGGAAAGTTCTTCTGGCTCCCCCAAGAGATCACTGCTGGTGCTGGAGTGTCCATAGGACAAGCTGGTGAGGAGGTCACAACCCCTTTGGTGAGGGTTGGGAGTGATGGAGGGTTGGCGTGACACAGGCAGCGATGGTGAGCAAAGTTGGTGGATACGTCACAGTGGCGGCGGCAGCTCACCTGTCCCCTCTCCTGCAGGCCTCCCCTGTGTACAACTTCAGTTTTCCCCGGAGGAAGTTGGAGTAGACCCGGAAGAGTTTGCAGAAAGTATCCACTGTGAGTGTTCGGAGTGGAGACGGTGAAGTAGCATCTGGAGATAATATCGATTCCTTCTGTCAAGAGAAAATGGGATGTCACTGAAGTGCTGAGAACTACAGATGAAATGTGACAGAGGACAGGTTGGGGGGAGTGAAGAGAGTCCTCAGTGTTATCTGTGGGGGCGGGTGTATGCGCGTGCACGTGTGTGGGTATAGAGGCCAGAGGTGTGTGTTCTTCAGTCACTCTCCACTGACTGGATGTGAATGTGTGCAGATGCTGAGAGCTTAGCATCCAGCCTCAGATCCCGAGAGCTGGACTTGAAGGCGGCTGTGAACACCTGATGTGGGTGCTGGGAACTGAACTCTGCAAGGGCAGCAAGCTCTCTTCATCACCCAGCCATCTCTCCAGCCCTTCCGCCTTAGTTTTTGAGACAGCATCTCTCACTGAACCTGGAGCTCACCATCTGAGTAGGACTGGCTGGCCAGTGAGTCCCGGGAATCTCCCAGCCCTGGGGTTACCTGTATGTCCCACCCTACCTCCCTTTTGGTTTGGTTTGGTTTGGTTGTCTATTTGTTGTGTGAACAGATATGCTAGAGATTGAACTCAACATTTGTGCAGAGAGCACCCCAGCACCCCACCTCCCAGCGTGAGCTCTCAGTATCCTTTGTTTTAAATTTGTTATTACATCAATTCATTTATATGTGCCTATGCACCACAGCAGGTGGGTGGTGGTAAGAGACCAGCTTGAGGGACACTCTGTGGCTTCTAGGGACATTAAATCCAGGGCATCAGGCTTGGTGGCAGGCACCTTTACCCACTGAGCTATCTTGCAGACTCAGCCCTCAGTACTCTTTAGCAATTCTTGGCCCACCCTATAGAAAGGGCAAGTAACAGAGTGCACACCCATGCCTACTCACCTGGGCTCCCAGCACCCGGAGCAGGGAAGTGAGGCTACGCAGGCCACTGATGGCTTTGTCTATATGCAGCTGAAGCATCTCTGGTGGTTGGGAGGAGTTGGCTAGCAAGGCCTGGCCCTGCAGGATGGCTTCTGAGAGCAGGGACAGGCCTTGCCAAACTTCTACAGCCTGTTCTTCCACCTAGATGAGGCAAAAGATTTAGGAAGAGCAAGCCAGAGTCCTTCCCTGTGTCTCCCTGGCTACCAGACACCCTAGCGGCTAGGTGGATGGAACAGAAAAGCATACAGTAAGGCTAGCTACATGAGTGGGTGGATGGATGAGCTAGCATATCCCATCAGCCATTATCTTTATCATTCTTCCTCCCACACTATCAAGGTGTCAGACTAAGACCCACCCACCTCTAGGAAGGAGAAAAAAGAAAACAGAACTCACCCCCATTCTTTTCCAAGCATAGAAGTTGACTTTGGTATCTGGGACTGTAATATTCTCACTCAGTCTGGGACCTTCCGCACAGCCCATCTAAAAGACACAGCACTGGGTCAAGACCTCCGAGGGTTTCATTCACAAAAAGCCACCAGATACTCTTTGCTTTGAATGTTACTGGGCATGTGTTGGGTGCCACCAGCTTTATTATTCTTTCTTATTTTAGACAGAGTTTCATGTCGGAGTTTCAAGTTTGAGGCTGGCCTCGGAGGATCACCTTGAATTTCCGATCCTCCTACTTCGCCTCTCAAGTACTGCGAATGTAGGTTTGAGCGCAGTGGGGAATTAAACCCAGGGCTTCTGGCACACTAAACTAAGCAAGCACTCTACCAAACTGAACCACAACCCTCTCCAGCTTTATCATTGGGGGAAGGGTGGTGGCGGTGGAAGAGGTTTAGGGCTAAACATCTCATCTTGACCCTAAAAGCAGTGCCCAGGAAGGAACCCAAATTCCCAGCTCCCCAACAATCAGTTTCTTTCTTTTGTGGGGCCAAGGAGCTTACCGTGACGTTCTCTGCCTCCTTGGCCTCCAAGATGTACCTCTCCAGAACTCGGCTGTCGCAGATGAGGCGTGGGGGAGCACAGAGGACTGGAAGGCCCAGAGGAAGCAGGAGCAAAGACAGCAAAAGCGGCAGGGTGGGACGTTCTAGAAGAAAGGCGGGCTGGGTGTGAGGCAGGGAGGGGAGGGGGCGGTGGGACTACAGAGAGAGGCTGGTTTGCTGAGCGAGGCTCCTCTGTCTTTCCAGTCTCTGCTGACCCCGACCTTGCAATTGCTTAGGCTCTGCCTGAGTGGCCTTCTTTCTATCTCTCGGCGCTGCACACCCCACCCCCCAAGCGACCGGCATCCACTTCTCGGCCAAACTTCACTGTGAGTGCGCGCCAGAGGCTGGCAGATCCTGAGACGCAGGTAATTCTTTCAGAAGCTTCTCACCCACGGAGCAGCGCCTCAACTCCCTAAAATCCTAAACTTTGTCCCTGTTCTGGATCTCCCCTTTTTTGTCATTCACGGGAGGGCTCCCCAAACCCCTGAGTGCACGTGGAGGCTGCCCCACCCCCCTCTCTCTTCCTTGATCCTTGGCGAGTCGCAGGTCCTTGTACACGGCCACTTCCTGGCCAATAGCTTCAGATGTAAATCCTTGCTCAAACAGGAGCCTCGGAGGTCACAGGTCCCTAGCCTGTGAATACTCACCGGGCACCCCCATCTCCGCGCCTGGCTGCCGGGGCCCCTTAGTGACCCGGGGCTGGGCCAGTGTCCACGCTGCTAGTCCTCATCCTTAGAAGATCTGTGGGACCAGGTCACCCCACTCGCCTGAAAGAAGGTGGTCACCGTTCAGGGAGCGCGGGCAGAGTGGGGACGCGGTGGCCCTGGCCACGGATCTGTTCGGGAACACAGCAAGAAGCAGCCACCGGCCAGGCTTGGTCCGGGGACACTGTGGCTCCGGTCGGGGGTCGGGGATGTTATCAGCCTGTGTGCGTGCGCGGGTGGGGGTGGGGGTGAGGCTGTGTGTGCGTGAGGGGTCACCAGGGGTGGGGGCCACCTGGGGTCAGAGCAAGGGGCAAGACGCCTGGGTCTGGGTCTTGCTGGGGTGGAGCGGGCTGTTCCAGGCACGCACGCTGTCAGGGGGGTCTTCCTTGGGGGGGGGGTGGACAGATTCTGATTTCCAGGAGGGGAGCCCAGTGGGGTGCACATCTATGAGATGTGCGGGAAGCCTAGACTAAAGTGAGGAGTTGATCTATGAATGGCTGGACACCAGATCACTTCCTCTGGGGGGCGTCCTTATCTCGGGACAGGGATTCAGATCAGAAACACCTAGAGCTGGAGTCTGGAAGCAACCCAAGTGCTTTTCCTCCTTACAAGTCTTTCGACTTGCTCTAAAAGCCAGAGTTGTCCCTGCTGAGGAATCAGATACAGAGAGAGTGAGGACTGTGGGGTTCCTCCCCTCTCGCTCCTCCTTTTCTAGGACCCAGAAATGTAACTTTCAGGACAGAAAGCCTGTGGCATATTGCTGAGGACATATGGGCACGTTGATATTGGGTCCTTGCTTTGTTTTTGCAGTGCTGAGGCCCGAACCCTGGGCTTTCTGTACATTTGGCAAATGCTCTGTAACTGAGCTCCCACACCCTTATTGAGGGATTCTAGGCAAGCACTCTACTGCTGAGCCACACCCCCAGTCCCTCACTAGGGGAGTCTTGGCAGGCACTCCACTGCTGAGCTAACCCCTATAGCCCCTCACTGGGGGGAGTCTTGGCAAGAGCTCTACTGCTGAGCCACACCCCCAGCCCCTCACTGGGGGAGTCTAAGCAGGTGCTCTACCACTGAGCCATGCTTCCTCCCTCACTGGAACCTTCTAGGTAATTGCTCTACAGATAACTCAGGTCCCCGGAACTAACATCTGCTTTGTGCAAGACCCTTATTCACTTTGCAAGGGGGGAAAAATGTATTAACACCTAAGTCCTGCCCTTGCTGTAAATAGCAAAGCAAGTTCTGTTCTGTGTGTGACTAATAGGCAATGTATCAGAACTGGAATGTGCAGATCTGAGGCATTAAGAGCTCAGGAGAGGGTGAGCAAGCTCATGTCCAACTGGAGAAGTTAAGGCAAATTGGATGGCAGAGATCACTATGAGATCAGACTTGAGGACTGAGCAGGTTGGATGTAAAGTGACCTGAGGGGTGTGGAAGGAGACTGGGGTTACTGGGAGGGAGGGCAGGATGAGGAGATGCCCCTAGGGAGGACTCAGGTTGTATAACCGTTTTGAAAGCTATTCTGAATAACTAGGATTTTTTTTTTTTTAAGAGTAGGATATTTTGTTCATTCAGGAAATTTCCAAATGCTGGTGTGGGGGTGCCCTCCTGTCCCAGCACTTAGGAGGCTGAGGCCAGCCTGGGCTATATATTGAGACTCTATCTCAAAAGATAAAGGGGGGGGGTCGCTGGAGAGATGGTTCAGGTTAAGAGCACTGATTGCTCTTCCAGAGGTCCTGAGTTCAATTCCTAACAACCACATGGTGGCTCACAACCATCTGTTTTGAGATCTGGTGCCCTCTTCTGGTGGAGGCATACATGAAGGCAGGACACTATATACATAATAAAAAATAAATAATTTTTTTAAGATGAAAGAGGGGCTAAAGAGATGGCTCAGTGGTTAAGAGCATATGTTACTCTTGCAGAGGACCCAGATTCTATTCCCAGCATCCATATGGTGGTTCACAACCATCTATAACCCCAGTTCCAAGGAATCTGATGTCCCCTTCTGACCTCTGTGGGCACCAGGCACACATATGGGACACACACACACACACACACACACACACACACACACACACAGGCAAAACACCCTCACATAAAACAAAACATATAAATCTAATCTTAAAATGTAAAGATGAGAGAAATGTTTGTGGAATATATACAGCTGACTAGGAAGGGACCTGAGGACTGAGTCATGAATGGCAGAGTCTGGTAACATTCTAGTGGGGAGGGACAAACAATGGTCAGAGACCTTAGACAGCATTAAGAACTAAGTAGAGGAGGCTGGAGAGTTGACTGGCAGTTAAGAGCACTTGCTGCTGCTGCACAGGAGCCAGGTTCAGTTGCTAGCAACCCCACAGCAACTAGTAACTGTGTAACTCCAGATTCAAAGAATCTGATGCCTCCTTCTGGCCTCTGCAGGTACTGTACCCACATTGTGCGCAGACACACAGGTAACGTACCCATACATATAAGATCGAAACAGATAATCTTTAGTATATGATGTGTTACATAACATACAAATATAAATAAGAATGGCAGGGGGAGCTGAGGAAATGACTTAGTTGTTGTTTGCTTCATATACATGAGGACCTGATTTAGATTCCCCAACATGCACATCAAAAGCTGGGCATGGAGGCATGTGATTGTCATCCTAGTGCTGGGGAGATGGAGACTGGGGTCCCTGGAGTTCACTGGGCAGCTAGTCTAACTGAATCATTAAGCCCCAATTTCACTAAGACACTGCCTTAAAAACTGAGGCGGAGGGCCAGGGACATGATGATTCAGTGGGTAAAAGTACTTGCCACCAAATCTGATGACCTGAGTTTGATCCCTGAGACCCCCCCCCACATTGTTCACATAGAGAAACAACTGCTGTGAGCTGTCCCCCAACCTCCTACGTGTAGAGATCATACACGTAGATGCACACACAATTAGTTTATTACAGTCACAAAAACAAAGGGTAGAAGCAACTGAGAAAGACATCACGAAGCCAGCCTCTGGCCTGCACGTTTGCATCAACACACACACACACACACACACCTCAGGAGGAAAGACTCAGAAGGTGCACCAGGAAGTTGCAGTTGTCATTGAGCAGTCAGGATTGTCAGGCTGTCCACATGACATGCTGGAAGAAGGGGTTTGGCTGGGGAGAGCATGATCAAGGCAAGGTGTCAGGTTAGGGCAGGAGACAACTCTGGTGAGCTGACTGGAAGCCACATGAACCTGATCTTGCTGACTCTGGACTATCTCCCAGTCACTTTGGGCCTTCTCAGAGTTTCTTCATGACCCTGCCATCCAGGCTCAGCACTCGGAACCCAGCTCTGCTCCCCAACTGTGGCCCAACTGTGAGACATACACTCAAACACACGTTCACACACGTCCGCATGTGAGCTCTGTCCCGACCACCACACCCCTCCCACAGGCTGCTCTTTCCAGGGCCCCTGACTCCTGCGTCACTGCTCTGACCTATCTACTGGAGGAGAGAGGGCCAGGGGTGGATGGGGGCAGGGGGGACAACATGGCCTGACCTGGCCTGAGTCTCAGAAGGAGGAGCCTTTGGGGCTGTAAGACCTATTCCTTCTCTCTCAGTAACTTTACAGAACCCTAGAAGAGGGGCCAGGCCATCAGCTTCTATATGCTGGAGCCAGCAGTATTGTGTGGCCTGTCCCCTGGGGTTTCGGAGAGAGGAGAGAGGGGGAGAGGAGAGAGAGAGAGAGAGAGAGAGAGAGAGAGAGAGAGAGAGAGAGAGAGAGAGAGACCATTGTATTGAGGGGAAAGTGAGAGAAAACCAGTCAGTCCATGACACACCTGACTCTAATACCACACAATAACCCTGGGTGTTGGTTGAGGGGCTCTGGGGACCCAACCAGTTCCAATGTCCTGGTATACTGCCAAACACAGTCTGTGCATCTGAAGACAGGTGACTCTGAGGGACAGGAAGGAAAACAGGAGGCTGCTAGTCCAGTGTGCTGGTACACACCTACAATTCTAGCACCTGAGAAGAAGAGGCAGGAGATTCACAGTGAGTCCAGGCAGCCTGGGTTTCACAGCATGTTCCAGGCCAGCCAAGGCTTCACACCAAGATCTGTCTCAAAGCAAAACACAAAGCAGCTGGGGTATGGCAGGGCACACCTGTCACCCCAGCACTTGGAAGGTGGAGGCAAGAAGGATCAAGAATTGAAGGCCATCTTCTGATATGCAGTAAATTGGAGACTAGCCTGGGCTACATGAGACCCTTGCTCAAAAAGAGAACAAGATAAAAGAAGGCAAAGCAAAATTCTATATAGCTCCCCGAACCAAGGTCCATCGTGCTGTCTGTCTTCCAGCATACCCCAGCTTGCTTACACTCTGCTGGCATAGTCTGTCACTGTCAACTCATCACTATGGAGAATCTCAAAGCCCTTGATTTTCCTTCCTGACCCTGCTACTCCATTAATTTTCCCACTGAATCGTCTTGATCACATCATGACCCCGAGCAAGGATCTTTTTACCTGTTGTTTGTCATTGTTGTTTGAGACAAGGTTTCATGTATCCCCAGCTCGCCTTTAACTCCTTATGTAGTCAAGGTTGACCTTAAACTCATGTTCCTCCTGCCTCCACTTCCTAATTCTAGCTAGCATTACAATCATGCACCTTTTCACCCAGTTTATGCAATGCTGAAGATGGAACCCAAGGCTTTGGGTACGCTAGGCAAACACTCTACCGACCGCGTCCCATCCCCATCTCCCTTGAGCAGGAATCCACAGAGGTTTCCCACGCCTCAAAGTAAGAATCTCCCGTATCCAGTCACACCTTCCTTCTTATTACACTCATTACGTGTGTGTGTGTGTGTGTGTGTGTGTGTGTGTGTGTGCAGGGGCACGCTCATGTGTGCCACAGCATAGATGTAGAGGTCAGAGGATCTCTCCACCCTTACCAGCCCCATGCTGTGACCATCCAGCAGAGGAGCTTGGT